AGGGTAAAACATCTTTAAGCAACCTAGTCGGGATGGGGTCTAAGAGGCAGGTTGATGGTTTAGATGAAGAAATTATTGAAGTTAGTTGGTAAAGATTGAGGGAAGCAAAACAGTCTAAACATATATCTGGTTCTACAGCTGTTTCTAAGGTTCCTGAGTTAAGAGATAAGTCGGTGCCAGTTAAGGGCAGGTCTTGGTGAATTTTGTTTCTAATAGTTAGAATTGTATCATTGAAGAAGCTCATGAAGTTGTAACTACTGAGAGCTATGGGAACACTTGGCTCAGTAGAGCTGTGACTCTCTGTCAGCCTGGCTACAGTGCTGAAAACCTTTTATCATATTATTTAGGACTGTGACTAATAATGTATCAGTGATGAGTAATGATAGGTGTGTGTGTGTAGGGTGTGGGGCTGTGGAGTTTTATTTATTTATAAAATTTATTTTGGAGCCAACTTCTACTTAATACCCAATACTCAAAATACCTATGTTTAAAATTAATCTCACCATGTAAAATAAATACTAGATTGCAGCCATGACCCTGAACCACACACCCATTAGAAATGACACAGCATTCACAGGTTCATACTGAGAACCAATACAAATGCCTTCACCTTGGAGGAGTTTCCTGATATCACAGTATCTTTATGAGACAGTGAATTTCACACACACACGAACATAAGTGATGATTCACATAACTCATGTTGATGAGGATTTTTTTTTTATGATTTAAGTCCAGCCACCACCTACAGAAAGGCTGAGTTTAAAGGTTAATTTTGTTTTATTTTAAGACACTGCTTTCACAAGTAAAACCAGAAGTATTGATAATTTAAGTGATTTTACTCATTTTAAAATGATGCACAGGATTATTTCATTATCATTTTTTGTTGGAGTAATCAAAACAGCTTCACTGCAAGATTCACTGCAAGTTAGATAAATTATAGCATTGATCAAGAGCCCTTTGCATGCATACAACAAACGTAAGACAGGACACAGTGTGACTACTTGCCATTCATTACACCCATGTGACTCAAAGAATGTCAAACCTTCAGAGAAGCTGTAAAGGTCAGTACAAAAAAAAAAGAATATTCTTGCATTGGAGCAGTCAGAGAAAGCTCTGAGAAAAGAGAAAACTAATATTCTATATTTAAATACTGGCTGAGTAGGTACATTTTTTAAAATCCTTTATTTCTTAATAAACGCATATTACATTTAATATAAAATATATATAGAAGAAGAAAAAAGACAAATACGCTATAGTTAAATGCTAGGGGGGATAAAGATCTATATAAAGTTTTTTTAACACAGTGCAAGCTTGATTTTTGTTTTAGAGTGTTGAATTTAATAAATGTATTGTTTCTCTTTAAAAACTTTTAACATTGTTTTCACCTGGACATAATATATGAATGAGTTGAATGAATGATATATGTCCATTACTTTGTTGGTGATTAAGTATCAATTCCAAAGAATCCATATCCACAAAGTGATTACATATGAAATCACATATAGTAATTTAGTTATATGTATTTGTAGCATAACTCCTATAGATCTGTTGTTATTACCAGAATAACTGGACAGATTTTACTTATGGGAGTGTATTTTGGACATCAACCCTTGGCTGAGATTTGAACAGCATACAGATTCCAGTGGGTATTAAGACTTTTGCATAATCCCCAAGTGTTAGGGATATTTCTTTCTGACAGAAACTCTTCATAAGTAAAGAGAAGACCATACCTAAATAACTGATCTAACAACACAATATTATTGTGAAACCAATATTCAATGAAGATAGACTGATGCTAGAAATGAAGTGATCTCATATCTCCACATCCACATGTCTGATTAACACAAAACTTGGGCTAGTAGTTTCCTGTGCCACACAGAGCTTGTGTGAAAACATTGGTGCCAATTGGCCGCTTTTGTTGAAAACCCATGAAATACACACAAAAAATTCCAAATAGCTGTTAAATAGACCAGTATAACATAATTTTAGTGACATTCTGACCTTTTGACTGTGCCACCATTTCAGCCCATTTTCAACCCATCTGCATCAGGTGTGATAGTATAGAGAATGACAAAGTCTGCAAGTTATTAAAAGTTTTATTACATTATTTTACATATGTGACTTATGTCACGTAATGTACTTATTTCATCTGAAACCGCGATCTTTTCCTAAAACCTAACCAAGTGGTTTTGTTGCCTAAACCTAACCAAACTGGGCCATTTGAAAACGTTAACCACATCCTAAAGGGCGTTTCATATGGACACTGAAGATGCCTTGTGCCCTGTGATGAGAACATGTTGACTATCTTGTTTACGACAATGTATACTGAAAACAACTCACCAAGTTACTTGAAATTTGGATTTCTGTGATATGGTATGGTGGAAGATAAACCTTGATATTTTGGTGACACTCTCACTTGACCTTTGTCCTAGTGGCTTGTAGCACTGGGCTTGTAAAGCTGCTTATTTCACTGTTGAGCGCCAATTTAACCACAATTTTCAGAATTAATGATCCTTTGTTATTGGAAGTGGTTAACCATTAATTATCATGAAGATATTTTGGATTAAATCTGATTTTTTTTTTATTCTGACAAAAGTAATCCATGGATAAAAGAGAAACAATTACAACTTGCTGAAAATATAATTTTATGAGATGAGAGCCAAGCCTTTTTTCTCATACACGTGAACATACATTACATGTCGAAAAGGTGTGTCCATGTGATCAAAGTGCTCTGTTTATTACACAATAAGCTCTATAATGTCTTACAGTACAAGGGTTTGATTGGCATCCCCACCCACCATCTGAACTGCTGAGAGGTCAAAAAGCTCACATACACACAGGCTCAGATACGCACCTGCAAATGCACAAAGAGAACACACCCTGTCCCTCTTGCACAGTTACTCATTTACACATTTTGCAACAACATGTAATGCAGCAATTCAGCATCCACACCACCCACCAAACACACCCACCCTGGTTTCCACAAAGCAACCCCCTGACCATCCTAGCCCTCTATATAAAGTCCTCTGCTCTGTCCCTATGTCTTCTTCTTGTGCTAACTAACATTTAGCCATGGATACATTAAAGTTTCTAATCGTGCTGTTGTGGATGTGTGACTGCAGAGCAGGAGGACAGGCACAGCACAGGTTAGTTGTTCTCCAAAAGGAAGCATGTCTATCATGACAAATCACGTCATATATTGACAATTGTACAGATTCTCTTTATGGGTGTCGAAATGTTCCACAGGGGGTAGGATATTGGGAGGAGGCTACGTGGATCTTGGCTATGGCTCTGCATTTCTTTATGTATTGGTAAATGTTAGCCAAAGAATGTCTTTTTCTGATTAAGTCATTTTGAAGATTTGTGTCCTAATGAGGCTGTTGCAAAAATATGGATATTCTTTCTTATCTTGTTAGTCAAGTTGCAATCTCTGAGATTCCAGACCCTCAGGTTGGGAACAGCTCTTATGCGGTATCAATTTGACTTTAATTTATTTAGAGTGCTTTATGTAATAGTGAGTTAAAGGGTACTTAATTATATTTTTTATCTGATGGTATTGAATACTCCTATCATTAACTTGATACAGTTTTACGGCTGTAGGTATACCATCACTTTAGCTGACTGTCAACTGCATTATAAATGACAGTGGTTTCGACAAAACTACACTTTACATTTAAGGCACATTTATTCTGTTATATTATATGCATCTGGCCTACCTTACATAACCATAGAAGTGTTCCTTAGTATTTGAAATAAGTTCATTAAAGCTAACAGACGTTAACTTGATTCTATTTGTATGTCTTCCTCTCTTAAATAGCTTGCAGAAAACTCATGGAGAAAATGGTAGGTTGGTTTTGATTATCCAATATCAATCATCTGTGTATTTTTACCAAAAATTAATACACTTACACAAATTAAATGGCAGACCAATCTAAATACAACTGTATTACTTGGGTGGAATGCTCACACAGAGCTGAGGCAGCAGCACAGCATGTGATCCACTTTTTGTCTCCCACACTTTTACAGTTTGAATTTCATTTACTACTTGGTGGTGGTTGAGATGAGTCCCCCTGAAGCACTCCTATCTATGATAACGTGCTATATAAATGTAATGCATTATTGTTAATATTATTATTAGTACTAGTACTACTACCACAATCTCTCTAACAGAGTCCTCTGACTGTTGCTGTCAAAATGAGAGAAGAATAATGATGAATATACTCATCTAAATCACCTTCAGTGATGACCGTGCCATCACATCAATAAAGTGTTTTAAGCAAATGTGTTTGTCCTGGGTTCACCTCTCAGGCTACATACAGGCTGCTATACTGTCTGAATAGTAGAGGTAGTTGAGGATGTGTACACTACTGTAGACACTAAAACTCAAGGCTGAAAAAAAGCTATTACAATTGAACATCAATCAAAGATAAGGCAGCAACTAGTTCTTTGTTGTGAAAATAGAAATACAACATTTTCTTCCAATTAAATTAAATGTGATTTTAGGTGTTAATGATATATCCCCTACTTCACTGCGCCCCTTCACTTCTGAAACCAAACATGTACCTATCTATCTGTCCATTTATAGTCAATATTCACCCATTCACTCACACATTCATACACTGACGCTAGAGGCTGCCACATTAGTCCAGCCCTGGTCACAGTTTTTTGGTGTCCACTTTATTTGAGACTGCTGAACTTTAAACCCATGGTCTTCTTGTTGTGATGCAGCACTGCTAACAACTCTGCCACCATGAATATCCATATCACATTTTATTCCAGTCAGACAAGTTTTTGCCTAAACTGAATAATTATTACATAAATAAATAATTGAAAAATTTATGACACACCTAAAAAAATCTTGGTAATAGCTACATTTAATCATCTGTCACAATGATCACATTCTTTTGATGGTAAATTTTTTTTTGTTGCTATTCTCACCCTTATTTACATCTACAATATCCATTTGTCTATCTTCCTGTGTTGTGTTTGGGTTTCTCCAGCTGTAGTGCTGACCTCCTGTGACTTTAACCAGGACAGTGACCCGTTCTGCAGGTTCAGTCAGGACAACACAGACAACTCTGACTGGACTAGACACAGAGGTCCTACCCCAACATCTGGAACTGGCCCAAGTGGAGACTATCCTAATGGAAGTATGTCCTGAATGCATGGTTTATTTGAAATATTATATTGTACAATAACGTCATTGGCAACCAGGCCATAATTAATTCTGACTCATGATTAGATAAAAACACGTCATTCTTATGTCTCAATCTATCTGCAGCGGGCTTCTATATCTACCACGAGTGTGACAATGTATCTAATGGACAGAAAGCTCGCCTTCTGAGCCCTGCCCTCTCGTCATCAGCCTCTGAGATCTGTGTTCAGTTTCGATACTACATGTACGGCTCAGACAATCAAAATGTGTTGAGGGTTCTGGCCAGGAGGCCCAGCGATGAGAAGGAAGTCTGGAAGAAGACAGGTATCCAGAGTCCGTCCTGGCTGAAAGGCTCTGTCACCGTGTCCACCACAAGCAGTCAGAACGTCATTGTGAGTGTTACAAATGCTGACTTATAGCAGAGAGCAACAAAATGGCAACTGGGATCCAGTCTGGTCATGAAGGGAAAAATTGATTTAAATTGTTTCAGAAAAATCTTCTGAAACCCCCAATAATACTTATAATGGTACTGTACCTAAGCTTTTTTCAATTTCCATAATGATTACTCTGAAAATCATGTACGTATCCCACAGTCTTTTAAAGCTTGTGGCTTCTTGTATAATGTATGCATGAAATAGCCAAACTGTATTTTTAAGTATTGAGAGCTACATTAACATTACACTTCCTGATTTCTCTGAAGTCACGTGGGAGAGAGCTTGGAGAAAATATGGGGATTGTGGGTGCCATTGGGAACTGTAACAAACGCTTTATAGCTTTATAAGTTTTGGGAGAGAAATGCTAAACAGTCCTATATTGCTACAAAACACATTCATCAAACTCTTATGACTGCACACAAACATGTACAGATTATTTTACAGTGACTCTTATCTCCTTATACAGTCACAGTAAATATATTTCACATTGTTTAAATAACAGTTGTTAAACAATCTGAGCATCAAGAGAGAGAATAAATGAGTGTAGAAATGCTGAGGTTGAGACAAACCTGACAACAGATCCGTGATAACACACTTTAACACACTTTCATAAAGTCTCCAGTAGTCGAACACACCAAGTCACAACCTGAACAATAAATCTGAGCCGTTATATTATATTGTATGCTGTCTGGGATTTCTGCCTGGCTTCATCTCAGTGGAACGCAATTTATGGAATTTAACTTTTGGTGCTCGCAGCATTTAAAAAATGACATTCAAAGCCAAACTGACATTTTAAACTGTATGTAATTATAGTAGTGATACTATGGTTAAACGGTAGAAACAATGCTAATTCTTCACAGAATTTAAGGAGCTAACTGGTCACTGGTGAAACTAACCCAACTGTGGTTTAAACTAAACACAATAGATGAATTTAAGCTGCACTAATTAATATTTTTTATATTAAAAGGATAGGTTCACAAATATTAAAGTTTGTCTTTAAACAGTAGTGAAGCCCAAATGGACAGAAACTGTTTTAACTTGGCTGCAATCATTCCTTCTGTTCTTACTGGCCGCAAAGAGATTACTTCCAAATGCACTTCCAATGTACTTGATGGGGAACAAATTCCATAGTCCTCATTAATACAAAAACAACAACTAATATAAGGCTTCAGCAGTCTGAGTTAAACAAATTGAGTTGATATTTCCCCCTTTTTTCTGCTATACCTCAAGTCAAAAGCCAAGTTTCCATCCAAATTTAGCACAACTTTTCAACAAAATTCCAGAAAATTGGCTAAATAAAATGTGAATTAGTGCAACATTCCATTCACTAACCGTTATGTGAATATTAGGGGACACTGTGGCGCTAATTCTCTAGTCGGGTGTTATTAAGCAATAAGATAACTGTTGTTATGAATTGGTGCTATATAAACAAAATTGAATTCAATTGAATTTATTGTTGCCAAAGAAGAGAGTGCAACAATCTGGGTGGGGAAAGGAGCTGGAACACAGGAGGTGGAGTGCTCCCGGTTAAATCTGGTGGGACTTCCCTCTACGCACTGTCTTGCTTCTGGAACCGTACTCCTGGATGGAGACATCTGGAGAGGCATGATTGGGAGGAACGGCCTTCCTGATCTAAACCCAAACTGTTCTTTGTTGTTAGAATTCTGTGCTAGTCATTGATTATATATATATCTATAACAAACACCATGTTCGAAAATAAGGATGCTTATAAGTGTACGTGGTACCAGAGCACTCTAGGCCAAAGGGCGATGATCGATTTTGTCGTCTGATCTGAGGCCATATGTTTTGGACACCCTAGTTCCACCATGAGGATCAGTTGACAGACCTGGTAAACCCAAACGGGTAGTGCGGGTGAACTGGGAACGTTTGGAAGTGGCCCCAGTCAGAAGGATTTTCAACTTACACCTACGGGCTCAGGGGGGATGCCCAGCTGGGAGAAGGTCTCGGGGAAGACCCAGGACTAGGTAGAGAGATTGTATCTCCCCATTGACCTGGGAACGCCTTGGGATCCCCCAGTCCGAGCTGGTTAATGTGGCTCAGGAAAGGAGAAAGGGTCCCCCCTGCGACCCGACCCCGGCTAAGCAGGGTTGTTTGTTTCATGTATTATTTAAGGAAGGTAACAATCTTCTTATCGGTCCACACAGATCTGATGTTTTCATGTACAATTTTTCATTTCTCCTGTGGAGCACAAGCTTCAGTGGACATTTGCTTCATGTATACGTCATCGTTAATTCACAAAATGTGTTTCCATTGCACTTTGTCGTCCTTACTTTTATTGATACGTCAACCTTTCCACTCCAGCCATGTGTAAAACATTATGTGTGATATTTGGACTTTTTGAATGTCCTGCGTTTTTGTAAACAAAAATTTTGCATAAAAACGGGGGAAGTGAACTGATTTATGAACTACAAAGTTGAGCTAAATAAGCTACAACTTAATAACTGTAACTCGAGTTAAATTCCTACAATACTGTTGTTTTAATATTATCATGTATGACGATAATGTTTTCTCTCTGTGTCAATAGATTGTGTTTGAGGCTCAGAGAGGCTCCACTTCTTCCTGTGACTCTGCTCTGGATAACATTGAAATTACTGAAGGAGCATGCCCTTGTGAGTTTACACACACACACACACACACACACACACACACACACAAACACACATTGTTGAATCACTGATTGTCTAAATATTTTGTCCACAGCTTGTGTTTCTGGTTGCGATTTTGACACTATGGGTGACCTCTGTGGATGGATGACTCAAACTGGAAATCCTGATGTGTTTGGCTTTGATCAGTGGATTGGACCAACGGACACCGACGGCACCGGACCTGATGATGACTTCTCCAAACCTGGATGTAAGTGGTTCCTCTTTTCAAAAGTCTGTACGGAAATGACTGTGTCACAGAGTCTGCCAGAATAGTTTGGAGTGTACACTACAGTGCAAAAGGTTTAGACAGGTGTGGAATAAATGCTGTAAAGTAATAATGCTATCATAAGGACGTGATAATAGAGTATATTTATCAATTAACAAAGAAGTGATTGAACAGAAGAAACATCTAAATCAAATCAATATTTGGTGTGACCACCCTTTGCCTAAAACAGCATCAATTCTTCTAGGTACACTGTATGTAAAAGAACATTCTGAAACCATTGTGCATTTAGGCATTTAGGATTGGGCATTTGGACATTAGGGATTTAGGATTGAGGTGTGTATGCAAATAAGGGGGCATGGTCCAAAGACTGGAGGCTGGGTTTGAAACGGCTGGTGCCTGGAGGCACCAGGGGGAGCTCTGAGTGCAAAAGGACCACACTGAGCGATTGAGCAGAGATGCTCACAAGTCTTTAAGCTAGAGCCCAAGTCAAGTCTCAAGAATGTTGTATCACCTGCTGCTTTCAATCCACGCAGCTTAGAACATTACATCACATGACATTTATTCATTTAGAGTAGCTAGGCGTTAAGTGTCTTGCTCAGGGACACATTGGCGGGTAACAGTGGGAATTGTGAGTCTCTCACACCAAAGGCATGTGTCTTATCCACTGTGTCATCACCACTACTATTACTATATTGCTATTAATATTATATTACTATATTACAAGAATAACATCATCATTTAATGAAAATTCATAATATTTTCAAACAGTCTATCTGCCCCATACTCTGCTGTGCATTAGCTTGCGTTGTTGCTCTGCTGATTTGGCCCCTTCAGACTTTCAGCAGATACAGAACCATTTGGGACTGTAGCTAGGGGAGACCGGGGGCAATTGTAACTTCTTGAACTAATTTGATTTACTTTTTATATTTATGTAAGCATTAATGTTTAAACTGTGAACACTTTTTTGACATTGTTAGAAAGATACTATCATCTATTATTTTCTATTCTGGGCTTAATAAATAAATTAAAGACTAGGCTACTATTACAACCCAAAAATCAATTTAATGTTGATCTACTGCTACTCATACTTTTGATAAATATGTTGATGGATTATTATTACAAATTATTAATAAGTTAAGACAAATTCTCATTCATCATTTAGACAATGAAGATATTGAAAGCATGAGAAATTGGCTCTTGGTGGGAATTGAACCCCGGTCCCCAGAATGAAAGGCAAAAGACTATTGGACAATGCTGCAAAACACATACAGGTGCTGGTCATATAATTAGAATATCATCAAAAAGTTGATTTATTTCAGTATTTCCATTCAAAAAGTGAAACTTGTATAATGTATACATTCATTCCACACAGACTGATATATTTCAACTGTTTATATTTTTAATTGTGATGATTAAAACTGACAACTAATGAAAATCCCAAATTCAGTATCTCCGAAAATTCTTCTCTTTTTTGGGCCCCTGACAGGCTGCAGAGTTCACATAAAGCGACTCGCTTTTGCGGGTCCTGCACATCTGAATGGCCAAATGTTTCCACCCTACCATTTTCACAATAACAGCAGGGGGTGGGTTATCAGATGTATGAAATATGTTTTAATGATAACAACACATTTATTTATCATGTAAATAGATCTAAAAAGTTTTGTTATTCATATAAGACAGTCAGTAAAGTGTTGTACTTGAGCCCCAGTGTCAACCATTGACCTTTGCATGGGCACCCCCTGGGCCTTGGTGCCAGGGTCATCTGTGCCCTTTGACTTCCCCTGACGGTGGGCCTGGTCAGGGGTACTTGGGTTGATTTGAACACCGAACCTTCTTTCTGCACCAACATTATGGTATTCATATTATTTTACTCTAAATGGCAGTTGGGTTGTTTTATTCATCCATTTGCAGTGGGTGCATACATGTTGTTGGATTCTTCTGATGCTGTCCCTGGAGTCAAGGCTCAGATCAGAAGTCCTCTTATAACGCCTTCCTCTGGATGTCTGGAGCTCGCCTTTCACTACTACCTTTTCGGCACCAGTACCACTATGGATCTCAGCGTTTACACCATCACCACAGGTAAAGGACTGCAATTATCGTGATGTCTATACAGACAGGAACACTGACAGCATGAAAATGTTTGTTTGGCTTGAAATGTGTTTTTCTATTTAACAGGGGGAAGCCTTGGACCTGCTCTCTTCACTGTCAGAGGGAACCAGGGTCAAGTGTGGAAGCCTGCCAAGGTCCACTACCTGGGAACTGCTGCAATTCAGGTAATCATTAGAATTCTGTGTGTCTCTGTATGTGCATATGTGTGTGCACATAGGTTTATATAAACTTTTTGTCACATTTATGTATTTCAGTTTGTGATTGAGGGTACCTATGGAGAAACTCCTCAGACAGATATTGCTGTTGATGCTGTGTGTGTCATGGCCTGCAAAGGTGAGAAACTGACCAGAGTTACTCTTTGCACCAGAAGATGATACAGCATACATATCAGAAATATGTATGCTGTGTCAGTGATAGCTTATGAAAAACTATTTATTTTTCATTTATAGCTCAGCCAACAACTCCTCTGCCACCTGTAACAACTCCAAGACCAACCTCGGCTAAACCAACAACTCTGGGACCAACTACACCAGGCCCCTCTACACCTAAACCAACTACTCCCAGTCCATCAACACCTAAACCAACAACCCCTATTCCACCAACATCTAAACCAACAACTTTGGGACCAACTACACCGGGCCCATCTACACCTAAACCAACAACTCCTGGTCCATCAACACCTAAACCAGCAACTCCTGGTCCATCAACACCTAAACCAACAACTCCTGGTCCATCAACACCTAAACCAGCAACTCCTGGTCCATCAACACCTAAACCAGCAACTCCTGGTCCATCAACACCTAAACCAACAACTCCTGGTCCATCAACACCTAAACCAACAACACCCAGCCCATCTACACCTAAACCAACAACTCCTGGACCAACTACACCTAAACCAACAACACCCAGCCCATCTACACCAAAACCAACAACTCCTGGACCAACTACACCTAAACCAACAACACCCAGCCCATCTACACCAAAACCAACAACTCCTGGACCAACTACACCTAAACCAACAAGTCCTGGACCAACAACACCAAAACCATCAACTCCTAGACCAACTACACCTAAACCAACAACTCATGGACCAACAACAGCCAAGCCACCAAGTATGACATGTCATTGTGAAAGTTTGGTTTTGGTTTTCAATAATTAATTCATAATTCTTTCTTCCTTATATACATTATAATTCAATGTATTAATATAGTGCCAATTAATAACAAAGGAATCTCATTACCCTTTGCATTTAGAGAAGGAATGAGAAGGCACAAGACTATGGGAGAGGGAGAAGTCGAGTCAGGAACATGTATTAATGGGATAAGAATGCATACAGATGGAGAGGGAGAGGATGAGAGAGAAGCTCAGTGCATCATGGGAAGTTCCCCAGTGGTCTAGGTCTATAGCAAAGATAAGACTATATATAAGGATATATATGTTCTCCATTTTGTATTAAGCAATTAATTTTCTTTCTGCTGTACAGAACCATGTCCTCCTGATGCAGAGTATATAGATTGTGGTCCAGCCTGTATCCCTACTTGTATGGAGCCCTCCACCAACTGTTCTGGATCCTGTATCAGTGGCTGCTTTTGTAAACCAGGGTTTGTCTTCAAGGGACGACGCTGTATGCCACTTGAGAAATGTGGCTGTCTGGATGGCCAGAATAACTATTATGAGGTCAGATATCCTAGTTCATATACCCATGTGCATACATTCGGCTGTGGCTCAGGAGGTAGAGCGGGCTCCTCCTTGTTGCATGGGCAAGATACTGAACCCTGAATTGTTCTGCTGCTCTATGAATGTGTGTGAATGTTAGTTTCTGTTCTTTGAGCACTTAGGCTCAGTGTATGACTGGTGAATGCAGATGTAGTGTAAAAGCGCTTTGACAAAAAGACTAGAAAGGCGCTATACAAATACAAAGCATTTTATATTTACATTCCTGCATAGTGGAGATATAATACCAAGACAGTAAATGACCAGAAAAGGTTGTATTGTGTAGATCTAGTGACATACAATACACCTTGCCAGTGTTGACCCTTTCTTAAATTTTGTTTCAGCCTGGCGAGATTGTATTTGGTGATGGCTGCTCAAAGCTGTGCCGCTGTGTAGGGAACTACACTTTGGAATGTATTGATAACTCCTGTGACCCCACTGAAGAGTGCCGCGAGGTTAATGGTGTTGCAGGCTGCTATCCTAAAGGTAATATTGTCTGGTATGTTGCTAGAAGAACCTGTACTAGCAGATCAAAATGGTCGAGTTTGAACAATGTGTTGTCCAACCACATCTGAAGGCCAAACTGCTCCTAACAGCCACACTCTGTCTGTCTTCAAAGAGAGTGGCAAGACAGGACAGTTGTTGTAATGGGGGTAACGTTGCGTATAGTGGGCATGTTTCTCATGTGTAAAAACACCCTAAAAAGTGTTGGTGTAAAAGCAATATTGTTCAGACTAGTGAAACATATTTGTAACAAAATACCTGCTAACTGACAGTTTATCATTTGCTATTCTCTTAGGTACATCCACATGCATAGTGTCTAGTGATCCCCACTACACCACCTTTGACAAACGCCAGTACAACTTTATGGGCAACTGCAGCTATTTGATGTCTAAACCGTGCAATGAAACATCTCTGCCATACTTTGAGGTCCACGCTGACAATGAAAATCGCTACAACAATCCCTCCATCTCCTATGTGAAGGCTGTACATGTATATGTCCACATGGTGAAGATCTCCATCCTCAAAGGTGGCACTGTACAAGTAAGACATTGGTGGCAGGATGACAACAATCATACTATTGTCATATCTATGACATATCTACAAGCTGTTGTTCAGAAATCACTTGTATTCTCTGCAGAAAATGCACCTTTGGAGTTGGTGAAGCCATTCTAACTTTAAAGTGTAAGATTCTATACACAGAGAGACTGTTTCTGTTTCCTCAGTAATCACTCATTATGTTATTTACATTTTTTCCCCATTCAGGTTAATGGGACCAACGTAAACCTTCCAGTGACTCCGGCCCCTGGTGTCTCTGTGTTCAAGTCAGGAAAGCACCACACTGTGTCCATGAACTTTGGTGTGACTGTGCGCTATGATGGAAACCACTTTATGGACATCAAAATGATCAAAGAGTGAGACAGAATTCTATTTTTAATGTATACGTTTTAGAATGATGTTGAAAATAATAATATTTTACTTTAATGAAGCAAAACTCAGAGAATCAGTGAAAAACACCTGGTTAGAATGAAAACAAGTCACAAACTCTTGGAAATGGTTGAGAAGTGGCGAGATGTAGCTCGAATTGAATTGTTGCTCTCAATTCCACAAATCACTGACTTGCAGATTTTCTTGTAATCTGCAGCTATCAGAAGAAGCTTTGTGGACTGTGTGGAGATTACAATAAAGATGCCAAAGATGATTTCCGTAAACCAGATGGATTGTTAACCAACAATGCCAATGACTTTGGAAACAGCTGGAACACTGATCCAGAGTGAGTATCACACACGTCTACAGACACCCACATACTCACTTTCAGAACGTTATCTGACCACCAACCTCCCTATCTCTGTAGATATCAAATAAATGTAAAGGGTTACTTCACCCAAATCACATGAAAAGATGTTTTTGCAGTTAAAAATACCCCAGAAAGTAGCTGAAATTACCTCTGTGAAATCGTGAATAGAAGCAGGATGAAATAACATTTCACAATAATGAGCTTTTGGAAGAATCTGTATGAATGTAAGAATGTATGTTTTGGAATATTTATCAATGTGTGATGTCTTTTGTTATGATTATTAATGTCATAATGTATTTTAGATTTTTTAATATTGTGTACTTTAGGTATCCATATTTACATACAAATAGGTATAGATCAATTTTCCTTTATTGTAATTAAAAGGGATGAAAACAAACCAACACACAGAGCTTCTCTAACTGACTGTCTGCGTTGACAGGTGTAATAAGAAACCCAACACCACCATCCCTGAGTGTAATGAAGAAAAGCAGGAACTGTATGAGAGCTCTGGATACTGCGGCATCCTGCTGGACAAAAAGGGTCCCTTCGCTGTCTGCCACCCAAAAGTCAACCCCAATGTAGGTCAAAACACACGCATTCATTCACACACATGCACACGTGTGGTTGATGTGACTTAGTGGTAGAGTGGGTTGCTCACTAATCGTAAGCATGGCAGGTTGAACGTTGGCTCCTTCCCACTCCACCTTGCTGAATCCTGCAGGGAGCAAGGTGGAGTGCAAGGAAGGAGGTCTGTCAGATCAGCAGGGGATATTTTATGGAGAGCTTTGAATGTTACAATATTTTAATCATTTGTGACAAAGGGTAATTCTGACTTTGTCTGCAAGGCAGGAGGCAAAGTACTGACATGTCCCCACTTGCAATGTTAGCCAGAGGCACGGGAGCATCTGCCGTCAGTGGCTGAATGTGACATGTAGTGTACGCTGCTTTGAAGTACATTCCATTACAAATACTCACATATAGAGGACACACAAATATAAAGCAGTTAGGTCTTTTGATGTTGAAAGAATTCTACTCTATTGCAAAAGTCTTTATTGGATTATTGAGTTAATTATGGATTGACAAACAAGCTCCTAATGGCACTCCACGAGAGAGAGATAAGGTAAAGAGAAAGAATAAAGCATTGTAGCTCAACAAACTATGTGTGTGTTTTCAGAATTACTTCAGGGACTGTGTCTTTGACCTGTGTGAGTTGGGTGGAGCCAAGCCCATTCTGTGTGAAGCCATCGAAGCCTACGTCAATGAATGCCAGGACCGTGGGGTCAACATTGGACCTTGGAGGAATGAAACCTTCTGCCGTGAGTGTTGGGTGGAGAAATGATAAGTGGATGAAGGAATATAGGGAGGGTTAATGGAAGCAACTAGGGAGCTGCTTCCCAAGGGTCAGTAAGGTTTCTTAATTGATCAAGCATCTCAGAGTAGGAAATCTCCCAACTGACCAAAAATTCGCACATATGAAGAATTTGCTTTGCTGATAAGGTGCTACACCCAGACAAATGTACAGGTGACATAAATAAATGGATGGAATAAACAAATGTAAGTTATATAAGAATAATAATAAAATAATAGGGATAGATATAATAACTATTACATGTGCATTACTCCGGTGTGTGTTGTGCAGATGTATTGCAACGGAAGAGAAAGTTGTGTAAATATATAAATTGACAATACAAAAATATAGAACAACGATTAACAACACATTTGTGCAATGAGCCAGGTTTGAGCATTATATGAAATGAAGTAAAAGTTAGACGTGCAGAGACATTTGCATTATTCAGCCAGCATTGTTCAGCCAGAGTCCATGCAAGGAGAGATGTTTTAGATTCTGTGTACCATTTTTTATATAGTCTGTCTGTCTTTTATGTGGCAGAAGGGAGTTACAAACTCAATTTCACTCTATAACCTGTTATATTGTGACAAAATAAATCTACCTACCTACCTACTCTATGTCTACAACATCACTAACCTCAGCCTTCCATCCTCTCCTTAGCGCTGAGCTGCCCCCCCAACAGCCACTACGAGCCTTGTGCAGACCCCTGTCAAGAGACATGTTCTGGGAAACCTCCCTCCTGCGGTGGGCCCTGCTCGGAGGCCTGTGTGTGTAATCCTGGCTACATCCTGAGTGCCGGCAAGTGCGTCAAGAAGAGTTTGTGTGGTTGCAAACACACCAACGGCCAGTACTATGAGGTACAGTCAAGATGGTCTGATAAGCCACCAGGGGATAACGTGTCTGCTTGTGTGCTTGTATTTCTATCTTTGCTAGGACCGTTTTTAGTTTTAAGCCATCAAAGAGAGAACATTTTGGCATGATGAGACATTTTGTGCCGTCTTCATTACTACTATTAATAGAGAAGGCACTGAGCTCACACCAGCTCTTGAGTATGTTTGAGATATGTTGACTGCTTAGCTGAGTCTCCCATCTGCATAAGACCAGCAGCAACCACCATGTCATCAGCATATTTATACAATTGATATTGAACATTCACTGAGAGATGCTGAAAGATGATTGACTGTCACCCTTTCCCTACATTTACATAAAATGCTTGTCAATGTGACTGGTCTGAAATCATTGAGCTCTGTTGCTCTGTGGCTTCTTAGGAACAGGAAAAATATTGGAGAATTTTGATATTTTGGGAAAAGAATTTTCATTTAATAAAAGCTGGAATAATTTTGTGACTACTGTTTTGAGCTGAAACCTACACAATTTGATCATTCAATTCATATTTATAACTCAAGACAACCTTTGATTTAAGCCTTCCCCTGCTAACACAGTTTTTGTGTGTGTGTGTGTGTGTGTCAGCCTGGACAGGAGTTTTATGTTGAGGACTGTAAGCTGAAGTGTAGGTGTGATGTTCCCTTCGTCACCTGTGTGGCCTCTGAATGTGACCCAATGCACGAGTGTAAACTCCAGGATGGAATACTGGGCTGCCATCCCACCAGTAAGTTTACACCCACAGCAATACTTGCCAAGCAGTAAACAAACTGAATATAAATTAAACTGCAGCTAGCGTAGCATACAGAGTGACATGCTATTGCTACAGCTTATCAGAAAATGTATTCACTCATGAATTTAATATAAAGCACAAACATATTGTGGTAGATGCTGATCACTGTTAGTGAGTAAGTAGGGCTTTATATTAGACACCAAAACGTATTTTACCTTTTGTCTACATGGACGATTCAAAATTTCAAACCACCAAAATCCCAACAAGGGAGCAGTGGGAATGTGTTTTCTCAAAAAGAGCCTCTGCTTCGTCCTTTGCCAAAGTCCAGATCCCACGTACAGGCTGTGCCAACAGCTTCTTTAACTCAATACAAACTCCCATTGAGGTTTCTTTGATATGTCTTCATGAAAAACTGAAATGTGTTCCAAGGGTTTAATGTCTCTGTTCTAAGAATCTTGACATCTGTGCATATATCTCTTCAGGACCAAAAGGACAGCAGCAAACTGGCTAGTTATTTGCTGGAAGACTCCTCAAACTGTCACATGAAATAAATTAACAGTGTTATGAGTTGATTTAATTCAGTGTGTTTCTGATCCACCAACCAGCTTGTGAGAAATAGTGAGAAATCTTAATTTCTGAAACGATTTGCCTCTTCTCCCATTGCAATAGCACACCTAACCAATGGAGGCTGGTAGCAAACTGAGTCATTTTTGTGACTGCTCCTATGATTTCAGACTCAAATGCTAATAGTGTTGAAACTTTTCCAGGCCTGTAACTGTTAGCTCAGCTGTGTTGTAGTCTAATGTTCTTGTGGTAGTCACACTGCTTGTCCTTCTCTCTCAGGCTCTCAGGACTGTGTGGTGTCTGGAGATCCGCACTACAACACATTTGACAAGAAATTCTACAGCTTCATGGGAACATGTACCTACACACTTGCCAGAAACTGCAAGAACAGCACAGGTAGGAACAGGTTTAGACACTGAGAATTGTCTTTCATTTTCATTGCACCTGAACAGATTTTCAACCATTTAAAACTTTTGAACACTGTTTTCACTGCTGCTACAAATTCAACCATTCTTCACCAAATTGCCACAACTCTTAATTTCATTGTCCACATTTAGATGACACATGCATATATTTACTTCAAGTGATCACGTAAAACATGATGTCTTTACACCAGGAGGTGGCACTATGAACATATAACCATAGTAGACATTAGTCTAACTCATACAACTTTTTGCACATTTCATCCATGTATAAATCCAGAAACACTATTTTCTGATGAAGGCACATTTGGTGGTTCGTGGTAGAGCCTGACTGATATGAGATTTTTTAGACCGATACGATTTCGATATTTGAGGATTTAAAAACTTGATATGCCGATATATCAGCTGATATGCTTTTCAAAAACACATAATATAAACAAAGATTTGATGTTATGAGACCTCATTAAGATAATAAAATGTTGAGCAAAAGTACAACAAAATATTTTAAAGTTTTGATAAATAAGAGTCAAAACTACAAAAAAGATTTAACTACTAGTATTACTACTACTGAGTATTAAAAAAATTGTGTATGTAGCTTATTGTGCGGGACTGCCAAACAGAAACTATAAATAAAAAATATGAATGTACTACTACTAGTACTAACAATAATAATACCATACAGTACTCAAGTCATTACAATTATTAAATTACATTTTATGATAAACAGTAGGGTTGGGCCGATATACGATGCCATCGGCCATCACAACGTTGAGCAGGCATCGTGATTGTAAACCCCACCACCCCCCTGCCAAAGAATCTAGATGTTTCACATTATACCACCACGTGAAAGCAGGTTTTAAACACAACAAACATATAAACTTTAAATATGCTTCGCTCATTCCTCAGATTTTTCTCCCCCCCCCACACACTCAGACACACAGACACACAAGAGGCCTAGACGTCAGGTAAACACATCGACTTGCCCCACCTCTCTCTACTGTATGAAGGAGCCTAAAAGACACAGAACTCGTCTTTTTTCTGTATTTCTCCACCTGTGATCCGTTATCACTGCCGCAGGTGAGCCGCTTGTGGGCTTGTTAATGACGCAGCCTATCAAACAACCGAAACCAACATCTGAACTCTGAGTGTTTAATGCTGCTTTAGCTGGTCTGTGCTTGTAAAATATCCACCGCGACTTATAACATCATGTAGACATTGTCCTATGGAAATTTTGTAGACATGGCCCAACCCTAAAACACAGCTCTCCTACATACGCAATATATTTTTTTGTCATGCAGTAGTTATTACCTTACACATAATCTGTCACAATGACTATTTTCAATGTAGCACATTCACATTACGTCATCCCTTTTCCAGCACGCTTTTAATTCTGTCCAAAGATACGAGAATCTTTCAACCACCATCTATGTTACAGTGACCCAGAGGAAACGCTGTTCTTGAATGCATCTAATACTACATGACTGTTTACAAGGACCTGCAACTGTGAGATTTCACACCAACGTTGCACATTTGAAAGGGGAGCTAGATCCCTTTGTTTGGCAGGAAGTCATGTTAGATACTTGTTCAGCTCACGTTTATTTACATGTCCCTCTAGTTTCATTTCCGACGCACTGACTGTAACTACAGACAAGCGGGTCGCAGATATACTGTATTTAGAATCCATTAAACACCATAGTTTAACCGCTGACTAATGTTAGCGCTCTTCCACTGAACATGCCATTAGCTTTGTGCAAATCTAATTTAGCAAAAAAATATTTCAGAAATAAATCAACAATCAAGTCTGTCAACAGCATAGCCTCCACCGCTGACCTCCTGAAACATTAACCCGCTACAGTAGAACAACCTGTCATAGCCCAAGCCATGCTGGACTGGAGGCTGAAACAATAAAATCTGATAACATAATATCAGCCAACATATTTTTATTTATTTATATCATATCTTTGGTTATTTATGGTGTTCTGCTCCGTGTGCAGGTCCCTGGTTCTCAGTGGAGGGGAAGAATGAAGAAAGAGGAGTGTCAGGTGTGTCCTACCTGAGGAAACTCTACGTCACAGTGAATGGAATCACTGTGATTCTGATGAAGGCCAGGAAGACACTGGTCAGTATGGACAACATTAGACATAGATAGTAAATCATAAATCATATTTTCATTGTCATCGCAATATCAACATGCACAATTAACACATCGCAAAAGAAAGACAATGAATAAGAAAAATCTTTTTATTTACATACATACTGGGTGTATTTATTTATAATCTGCTCTATCTTTTCCAACTTTTTGAACACATATATGGTAATATATGTAGCAGGGCGCACATTGCTAGTACACAACAAAATTGGAGGAGGAGGAGGACAGGAGGAAGGACTGATATGGACCAGAGTTTTTCATTCTTTCTAAACATCACTCAGTATTTTGATGTCAGGAAAATTATTTATTTTAGACATTTTAGATTTATTGCCACTGAGACATTATTGAGTTTATGTAATGACCTAGCAGTTTTAAACTTTACTGTTGCTGCTCTAGAAACATTTAGTTATATGTATATTTTTTTAATTTATTATATATGTATTATATTCTTATTATTTTATTATTCTTATTATGCTTATTATTATTATTATTATTATTGTAATCCTCTTGACAACCAGGCAGCCAGTATATACACTTCAATATTTCTTTATTTGTCACAAGTCATTTCATCATTGCAATATAGAACAATGTTTTTGCACAGATTTTCCTCATATTGTGGCCTAAATTGCATCCAGCTGCAACATCCTCACCGCACTTTTATGAGTGTAAAACAACTGTAACTGTACCTGTAGCTTCTGTTTAACTTTGTTTTTGTGTTTCCTTCTCTCCGGCAGGTGAACGGACTGCGGGTGGCCCTCCCTCACTCCCCCTCTCCTCTCATCTCTCTCAGTCTGGCCGGTCAGTATATTACCCTGCAGACGCCCTTTGGCCTCCAGGTGCGCTGGGATGGAAACCATTATGCCCGAATCTCAGTTCCCAGGTTGGTATAGAGGTTCCTTCCTCTCCAGGTATTTTGATAATTTAAAAATAGCTGCTGTTTGAATAAAATGAACAATGTTTTGATATAAGATTTCCTTGGCTGCTTGCATAGATGTGATTTTTCTTTTTCTTTGGAAAATTGTAAGTAAATGTTTCTATCATTTTCTATCTTTTCACTGATAATTCGGCTTTGATTAATTCAAGTTTTGGAGAAAGTATAAGGCAACATAGAAGAAAGAGATATAAGAGAACACTGTAATAGCTAATAACACTGATGCAGGAGCGTAGGCCATCTACTAACCTGCTGCCATCTCCTCCAACATCGGCTGATTATTGCCGCTTTCAGTGGGTGAAAACTTCTCCATTGTTCCATCACTCCTACTACAAGGTATACTCTTGCGGCAGCCATCTAGCTGTCCCCGTCCGGTTTGGCCTCAAGCCTAGGACTGATACATCTGCAGTTGGTAGCTAGCTGTCAGCTGCCTCCAGCTAGTCCTCCGTGCCTCACGCACCCCACTGCCATGATATGGACCATCTCACTGTGCAGTCTTCTCTTTGTTTGGCTAACGGCTAGCTCCAGGCTAACACTTTCGGCGACCAGCATAAAGCTCAAGTACTCTATCCCGCAGCTGCTAAATCTCAACAACCACACCATTCCAACGTGCATTGCAGCCATCATAGATCTTCGACATATGCGCCTACGTCGTTACATCCCATAGAGGTTCCCGTCAAAAGTTTGTTTACCATAAATTGCTTGGTCACTCTGCTTCAACCATTCCATCAATCTAGACAACTGTTGCACGTGTGCCGCGTCAAGAAGTGACGCTCTCGGTGCTAGTAACACGGGAAACACAGTGAGATCTCTGCACACCAAGCAGGCCAGAAAACATGGAGTGGATTCCAGTGTACTACGGCCTCTACAAAGAATAACCCCAGCATCATTGCTCAAAATAGAACTGCTTAATACACAGTCCCTCACAAATTAAGCATCCTTCATACAAGACCACATAATGGAAGTGGGATTAGACTTTTTGTGCCTAAGAGAAACATGGTACCAGCCAGGGGTTTAGTCAGTGTTTAATGAAGTCTGTCCCCCCAGGTTACAGCTATCTGGAAAAAGCCAGTATTGGGGCCTAGCTGTAATACAGAGACAGAACTTGGAGCTATCCCCCCCTCCCTCTGCCTACACTGTCCTCCCTGTCCCAACTTCCAACCCACAGCCTTGGATTTCCCAGGCTGCTGTTTTTCTGACATCTCACAGCAAGAGGTTGAGGACATCATCAAAAAGATGAAACCCTCCACCTGTGCCCTGGACCCCTTCCCCATAGCCCTCGTAAAATCCAACATCCATGCCTTAAGTCCACTGATCACTAAGGTCATTAACCACTGCCTGCAGGCTGACTTTGTTCTGTCGATCGCTAAATCCCTGGCACACTACGTCACCTGTGGTGTCCCTCAAGGCTTAATGCTCGGCCCCACCCTGCTTATTCTCTACATGCTCTCCCTTGGTGTAGTCAACTATCGTGGACTTCACTTCAGTTCATGCCCCCCAGAGTGTACACTCAACTATAGAGGTATATATATGTAAGAAATCAGCTGGGCATCTATGCAAGTTGTAGTTCAAAGGTCATAGTGATATACTATTTTTGATAACTCTACCCAGCATTCCTAATACTTTGGTTATGTATCTTCCTTTGATGATGCCCTGATTAATGATATCAGATGAAGACATTTCTGCATTCTGTCACTTTGCCAAACAGTGTTTGACCATTTAAATCTTCTTAAGACGTTCCTCTTCATCTCTTAATCCCGTACTCTCTTCGTCTTTGTCCCTCCAGCTCCTACTACAACCAGACGTGTGGTCTCTGTGGTGACTATGACGGGAACCCAGACAATGACTTCACCAAACCAGATGGCACTCTGGTAGGAAATGTCAATAACTTCGGGAACAGCTGGCAGACAGAAGAGGATGAGGATGACACGTGAGTTTACACGCATTCACCTTTCTGCTGTGTTATGAGAATTTATGGATTCCCTTCAAACTCTCTTGAAGGCTCATGTATGGACTCTATAAAGGCTGCCTGTATTCAGTTACTAATAGTTTAGGAAAGTTGTCTGTGGCTCATCAGGTAGAGCAGCTTGCCTGTTAATCGGCGCTTGCATGTCGAAGTGTCCTTGGGCAAGATACTGAACCCTGAATTGCCAACGTTTGCTGTTCCATCAGTGTGTGTTAGGGAATGTGATGTAGTGTAAAAGCACTTTGACTGGTCGGAGGACTAGAAAGGTCGTTGGAGTCACCCGAGGCCAAGTGTGAACGACATCTTCACATGACGCCAGAAGAGAACGTTTGTTTAGTTTCCTGAGAAGTGATGAAAGGACAGCAATATAAGTAGAGCCCGACCTATATGCAATTTTTAAGTCCGATACCGATTTCGATATTTGAGGATTTTAAAATCCGATAGCCGATATATCGGCTGATACTTTTTCCCCCTTATTTTAGGAAACGCATGACATAAACAAAGATTATCCCTAAAGGTTTGTTATGTTAAGACCTCACTAAGACACCATGACATAATGCAGTATAAATAGAAACTTTTTTGTTATAAATAGTACTTTGAACAAAAGTACAACAAAATATATTAAAATTTTGATAAATAAGAGTAAAATGTATGTAATAAGTGTAATGTAATAATGTAGTATTGAACATTAAAGTAAATAGTGTATTGTGGGGGCCAGCAAAACAAACTATAAAAAATGCCTATATACTACTACTGCTACTTCTACTATTAATAATACCATATATCATATCTCATGTCATTGCTATAATAATAATTATAAACAGGGCTCTCCTATATAGGCCAACAATTATGTATATATTTTTTGGCATGCAGTAGTTATTAGTTTACATATAATCTGTCACAATGACTAATTTTTACTATGTAGCGTGTTCACATCTAGTTTATCCCTTTAACAGCGCTGTTAATTCTAGCCAAAGCTACGAGAAACCATTTCCTAATTGCGCTCTAAAACATGCCGTCTATGGTACAGTGACCCAGAGGATCCATTAACGTTAAACCGCCACTGACCGGTGTTGTGCCAAGGTAAGTGTTCCTGATAGAAAGTGTTCCCCCTGCCACGTGAGCGTACGTGCAAGTGCATTCAACAGTGAAGGGGGACTTACGACTTCACGAAAGTGAATGAAAAATATCCATCGTTTTAGCATTGTTTAATCAACAAGGTTTTTGCAGAGCAAGCTAGCATGCGGATTATAAGAAAGCTTTTAGATGCTAATGTTAACGTTTCGTGTTATTGAACTTCGTATTATTCATTGCCCTCATAAAGCAAACATTTATTTTGCGATAGTCTGACTGTGTTATAACTGAGCACGTAGTTGATCACTTAGTCATCCATGTTACTATTTGGAAGCTAGATCCAGACACTGAGAGAGTGTGAGAGCTACCAGGAGCTACTCACCGTAGCTCTGGTAGAGCTGCAGATCGCCCTCTGGTGGGGAAACTATGCAACACTCATGACCTGAGGGAAGGATCCGACTGTCTGTTTCTTTTTTAATAGTCATATATCGGCTGTTATAAACGCCTGCAAATAGCTTATATCTGCCCATAATATCTGCAAAAGGATGGATCGATCAGGCTCTATTTATAATTGGGGGATAAGTGGTGTCACATTCCTCACTGCGTTGGACAGCATACACTAGGTTGCTCTTCTTGTGTTTGGGTGTGTGGTCTTTAGGGTGGACCAGTCTTAGCGTGTTCTTGAGTTTAAAAACCACTGGGATGTCAAATGATTTGTTAATATAATGTCACAGGTTACATAAATACTGTCTAAATTCTTCCTGCAATAATTCTTGAGTATAAATTAGACTGAACAGACTGTTGATTTCAGAAATTGAATGTGACCCTCTTGTTGTGTTTGTATTGATCAGGTGTACCCCAGGCACCAAGCCTGACCCAGACTGTGACCCCAAACTTGAGGCTGAGGTGGTGAAGCCAGACAAATGCGGCAAAATCAAGGACCCTGCTGGACCCTTCAGGTCAGCTTCATTTTCTAATTATTGGTCCAACTAAGATAAGAAAAAACCTTTGTTTGTCCCACACTGGGGAAATTGCGGTTTCCAGAGAAGAACTGTTCTACTTTTTCTCAGATACAGATTCAGAATCTGAACAAACTTGTTTTACTCTAACAGGAAATATTTTTAAATATTTTACTACTTTCAAATTCTCCTGTAGTTTTCTATTTTCTAATTTGATTTTCATCCCTGCTGAGTCAACACAGACGTAGGCATTAAATGTGCATGTGGAACCAATTCAAATCAATGAATTAGTTCATTTGAATTCATTAATAACCCCTGGACTGAATAGTTCCTAAAACTAGGATTACTCCAAGCGAAAGAGAATATGGAAAAACTACTTAGCAGTAATTGAAAACAAAGTTGGCCGAAGCACTTTACCACATAAGAGACATATAGTTACTGGAGGAGAGACTGTTACACAGAAATCATACACAAGTGTCTCTAAATCACTCCATAACGCAGATGGTAGTATCTTTAAAAAGATACAAAGATTATCTAACTCTAACTAACTATAGCTTGTTCTCACACACACACATACCTGAGTTGCTTAAAGGCTATTTTACTTATAGGATTCCATATTCTTTGTAGTTTCTTAAATCCCATGAAGAGACCATACCAACATTGTGTTTGGTGGTTTGGGTTTGTTTGACCATCTGCATTCTCCTACTCAAACTGAGTGAGTGTTTTTCTCTGTTCCAGGGAGTGTATCAGTGTGGTGAATCCTGCTCCATTCTTCCAGAGCTGTGTGTATGACATGTGTCAGTTCAATGGCCAACAACATGTACTGTGTGACCAGCTCCAGGCTTACACTGATGCCTGCCAAAGTGCCGGAGCCAAAGTTCACCAGTGGAGGACTCCATACTTCTGCCGTAAGTCTTCAGTATTTGAATTTGACAAACATTTTTCCAAAGAAGATCATTGTTTCCTCTGCTTCTGGTTTGGGCACAGGACATCCTGACTGCAGAACATCTCGACAGTTATCAGATGTATTGCCATGAAATTTGCTACAGACATTCATGTTCCCAACAATAACTTTGGTGATTCCCAAAGTCGAGTATTTACAGGAAGTATGGAAAAGTTTAATTGGAGTCATTTCCAAGTCTGAATAAGTATAGAAAAGAGAAAAATAATATTTGTTTCCAGACTATTGCCCCTGTTCTATTTTTTAGGATTGTCTTTGTTCAGTGCAAACTTGACTGTCTATCCGAAGTGAATGACGCACACCTCCATCCAGTGTTGTCTACATTGGTAACCATAGATACCGTAAATCACTTCCACCCTACGTAGCATACAGCTTAACCAGCACAACACCTCAGCAGATAAGTATATGTTGGCCTTAAGCCAGTAGCTTACTATACCCAGGTGTTACTGGACCAGGAAAAGCTCCAACAACTACCATCCCCCTACCCACAACCTAACATTCTTCTTTTCATCCATGTCCTGCTCCTTCTTTTATTTATCCTTGTCTCTACCCTACCCTCCTTCCTACCACCCCTCCCTAATCCATTCATCCATCCCTCTGTTCCTCTATGCAGCCCTGGCCTGTCCTCCCAACAGCTCCTACTCTCTGTGTGTGAGTTCGTGTCCAGAGACGTGTCTGGGTGTGGTTGGACCGCCCGGCTGTCAGGATGTGTGTGTGGAGGGTTGTGAGTGTAATCCAGGCTTCATCCTCAGCAACGACAAGTGTGTGGCCCTGAAAGACTGTGGCTGTGTGGACACCAGTGGATCCTATCACCCTGTAAGTGAGAAAGACCTCAAAGTGACTTTAATCACATTCCATTCTTCAATAATAAAAGGCACATAACTTCATGCTCATTTTGCAATGAAGTTTAAGTTGGGATCTATATTGAAACCTGACTGATTTGCATAACATGATCAGACAAAAATAGTATCAGATGTAAAGGATAATTAAAGCTGAAGCAGCGTTGGGCAGGCCCTCGCATGTGTAGCATGTGCAAAATCTCGCATGTGATTTTGGACACCACGCCATGTGCACGCCATTTCACAACAACTCACCGTTTGTACAACATTTAATCGTCAATGGGATTGGACTAGAAAGTGTAAAGTTGAAGTCGATCAGACTAATTCCATAGGAGGAGATCAGAAATGACCATTAAATCCAAAATGGCCGACTTCCTGTTGGGTTTAGGGCATTGCTCCAAGAGGCATTTTGGTACGTATACAGTCTATGGTCTGGACATGAAACATGTGCCACAGAAATTTCATACATGTAGGTGAAATGTGCTGTGGGGGCTGCTTCGTTGACTGTCACTTCATGTTGCCAGCAGGTGGCGCTATGACTATGGGTAGATGTTGGCATGTACATGTGTTTCATGGCGGGACTCTTATTAAACGTGTAAAATCTGGTACAGATCTGAGCATGTACAGTCAGGTTACACAGCTTCTTGTGTCAAGGGTGAAGCGTTTAACTTCACCGCCATTCCACCTCCACGTCGTTAACCGAAAACTCACAGATTTGACAACATGGATTAATCAATGTGGGAGTGTCTGAAGAGATTTCTGGTACAGTTTTGAAGTTGACATGGCCTACTTGCTAGGAGTAGTTGATCACAACATAAAAGGTCATTTTAAATACGTAATATTTTGGCACTTCTGACATGTTTGCAAAGTTTGGTGAGTTTTTGAGCATGTTTACGCTGCCAAAAATGAGCTTACTTTGCAGAGGGAAAAATTCCTTCATTTTCAATAGGGAATGTTTCACGCTCAGGCCCTAATAACAGCCCAGTGAGTGGTTCACTGGTTCGTTCAGGTGAAGGAACATTAAATGATGTTGTCTAAGTGAAGAAGAGAGCTGCCAATCATGGGTTGTTCAGCTTACTTAAAATGACATCATCTGAAGATAATTGCTGCTTAGCCTTGATCCAGCACTTTCATACTCCACATCACGCTGCTGTTGTGATAGACTGAGTGAACATTGAAGGTGTGAAACTGGGTTGAGATTTGGTGACTGTAAAGGCCATAGCTTTTCTTGAAATCTTGAAAATATTCAGCAAAATATTCAGTGAGTCCTGGTTCACTGAATCATCTGAATTTTATATGTTTCTCCTCTCTTTTATTCAGGTGTTTCCCTTCATTTACAAGTGTTGATACATTCCTGGTGTTCATATTTAAAACAATAATTCAATCACATATTCAAAAATTAAATCCACAATCCACTTTTTATATTCTATTTTTAGCATTTGGTACTTTTATTTGGTAAGGTATATTAAGATTATGTGCTGTGCATCTTAACCGTTTGGCTATGGATGCCTTGATGTAAGCACTTTTTGTGAGAGCATCAGAAATTATGGTTGGAGATACTGAGTAAATACAATAATTTTTAAGATGGATTGAATATTATACAAACGAAGAGCTAGCAGGTGGAAGCTTGTGTCCAAAAATGTTCACATCAGTTGAGAAACTGAGAGAAGATTTTCAGTCACTGTACACTTGGGCAGCCTCAATGGGCTGTGAATGTATTTGACATTTTCGTGGAGGCTTGATGCATTCATGCACTGACTGTATTGCATACTGTATTCTATACAATGTATCATTTGCATTTTGTGTGTTTGTCAGATGGGTGATGACTGGTACTTGGAGGGTTGTGAGCAGAAATGTGTGTGTCACAGTGGAGGTTTGATCCAGTGTCACAACAGCAGCTGTAAACCAGCCACTGAGAGCTGCCAGCTACAAGATGGAGAATATGAATGTCACCCTCTGGGTACGTTAAACACACACACATTACATTACTTTTACATTTACTCATTTGGCAGACGCTTTTATCCAAAGCAACTTACATTTGATGAACAACATACAAGGATCAACAAATCATCAATACAGCACGAGATCTACTAGTAGTACATACTAGTAAGAGCAGCAATAAATACTAGTAAGAGCTAACAGCACATATGACATCCATGGGATTACCTCGGGAAAGAAGTAAGAGTTAACAAAAAAGTGCAATCAATACAAGAGAATTGTAAGGGGATAGAAGAAGTAGAGCACAGGAAATGCATGTTAGAGGTTAGGGTTTAGAGGTGTCATCAATCATGACACACAAGTTTCTTATCACCCTGGTTGGAGTGATGGTTGAGGAGTCAGTTTGTAGTTTGATGTTATGGTGATTATGTGATTGTTTGGCTGGAATGACCACGAGGAAGTGAGAGGAAGATAATTGCCGCAAAACATTGTAGGAACGCCCCGAGAGGCAAGATTCAAACCACAGGAGCGCTTTGCCTGAGATGCCCATTGCTGAGAGTGCAAATAGCAGGATCCTGTGGTTGACTGTCAAAGGCAATTTCTTAACTTAAGATCAGTGAAGCCTGTAGATGATCCTGTTTAAGTTTTGGGATCAGTTATGATTGAGAAATTAGAAAAGCAAGTCAAGCATATTTTTTTTAAATATAATAAATTTAGTTACAAAATAAAATTTAGCTCATGTGGAGTTCCTCAGGGGTCATTTTTAGGCCCATTACTAAGGTAAGGAGCTTTTTATCCCAGGAGAATGCAGAAAAAAACTTTCATGTTTTTATTAACAATTGGCTAGTGGTTGTTCAAAAGACAGCACAACATATTCTGGGTTATTCAATACTGAATACACAATCAGAATATCAATAACTTCACATGCATGCACATGGTAGAAATTATCCTGTGCCTCTGAGTCTGTAGCAGAAAGTATACAGAAGTGGTGCAGGTTGAAGAGGATTTAAAGATTACTCCAACTTATTTAACTTACCTTGTTGTCCTTAAGAGTTGAACACTTGACATTTAATTCATCAGCTTCACTCTATCAGTAAAATCAGATACACCAGAAAAGTCCACATAGACGCCACACAGCTAAATTCTTACCTCTTTTGTACAGGAAATGGTATGTGCTCAGTATCTGGTGATCCACATTACATCACCTTTGACAAACACGCCCACCATTACATGGGAGCCTGCTCCTACACCCTGACCAAATCCTGCAACATCTCATCCGGTGTGCCACACTTCACTGTGGACACCCAGAATGAGCAAAGAGGAAGCAATAAGATGGTTTCCTACGTCAGGGCTGTGGTGATCAATGTGAACGGTGTGACTGTCATCCTCGGCAAGGGCCGCACAGTCCAGGTATGTTACCTGACATGTTGGTTCTTTCACAGCAACTGCTACACTAAAGATTTAGTTTTGCTTGAGTAGTAATCTCTACTGTCCCCATCGCTGACTCTATGTACTACCAGCTTACATTTGAAGGGAGAGCTTGCTGTACAGCACCAAAGAGAAACAGGTGCTTGTAATATTTAGCACTGAAACGATTATAAATCGATTAGTCAGTTCACAAAACAGAATCAGCAACAATTCTGATAATCAGTGTACTCTTTTGTCATCACTTTTGTGCAATAATGGCCAAAGATTCACTGGCCCTAGCTTCTTCTATGTGAATATTTACTGGTTTTCTTAGCCCTGTATAGGAGTAAATTGAATATCTTTGGATTTTGGACAAAACCAGACATTCAAAGAAATCATCTTGGAGCCTGAGAAATTGTGATGAACATTTTTGTTGTTAAATTGGGGGGCTGGAGAACAACCAGGAAAATTGTATAGATGAAAATGAAATGAAAATATATTATTTTCACAGCAGACCAAAAACTTTCATGTTTTTATTTACAGTTAATGTCCAAAAGACACCGCGATCATATTCTGGGTTATTCAATACTGAATACACAATCAGACCATTTTGCCTTCAAAACGTCAAACACAGGTGTAACTAATAACATTATTCATTCTGCATTTCATTGCAATGATTCCTGGAACTGAGTCAAAATTAATGTTTTTAGTTACATCTTACAGTTACAGGTCTATCAGTCTCATCTGACAGGAAGTTTGGCAACCTCTGGTTTAAATGAATGGCTCCACCTACAGACACTGTCTGTCCTGTCTTCTTTGCACTCTCTGCCCATCATCAGAATAAATCTCTCTCTTCTCTTCAGGTCAATGGGACAGTGGTTGTCCCACCTGTCACCTCCATCAGTGGAGTTAAGATCTACTTGAGTGGCAAGTTTGTTGTCCTGGAAACGTCCTTCGGCCTGAGGGTGCGATTTGATGGTGACCACCACGCTGACGTCACTGTGCCCACCTCCTACAATGGTCTGCTCTGTGGCATGTGTGGTAAGAACCAGTATGATTTATTCATTTCCATTTCAGCAGGGATGAAAAGAGTACTAGAGTATTATAATCAAGTAAAAGTACTCTAAATACATTTTAAGCAAAAAAAGTGTTTTTGCAAACAGCTGATTATCAATTCTTCTATGGTCAAAATGGCATTATGTGAACCTTGTGAGCCACAAAGTCCTTCACAATCTACCCAGATGTGTACGCACCCTCCAAACCCCACTGACACTCAGCCAATGAACGTAAACATGTAACATGTACATTTGTAGTGTCAGCTGAGGTGCAGACTGTCACCTCTCTGGACATCATACTCCTGAAACTGAAATTTGAAAGCATAAGTCTGACAACCAGAAGCCATTTTTCACAATAACTGATCCAATCAAAATGTTGTTGACAGTTACTTGGTTCATAGTTTAATACATGGTTCTCCAACCCAGAACTACCAGGCCAACCAAGATGCTATGCCAAAGGCAAACCTGAATGTCCTTTTCAGCATGTTGACTGATCTCTTACCGTTTGTTGCCCCGGCAGGAAACTTCAATGGAAACCCCAAAGATGACAACTTGAAACCAGACAATACACCAGCTGCTAACACCAATGAACTGGGGGGCAGCTGGCAGGTTCCTGACCCCCGGCCAGAGTGAGTCACATCATAGAATACATAAATACAGAACTAGACTCTGTCAATCAAACATACTGACGTACCGGTAAATAGTGGCTTTATTTATTTCAGTAGCAAAGGGAACCAGGCCTTTATTTATATCATCCTTTTATTAGAGACAAACTACATTTTGTCTATGTTTACCTGTTTATAAATTTAGGAGACAGCACTATTGCACCTTGATATACAAGTTTATTCCATTTACCATTGAACTTTTAATGTGAAACATCTGCCCAGGAAATGTTACACTTGGATAACACCTTTCTTAATTCCCTCAAAGCGCTACATGTCACATTCACCCACTGATGGCAGAGGCTTATCAGAAAGAAGCTAATCAAACTCACATAGCAATTTGGGGTTCAGTATCTTGCCCAAGGTCACTTTGACATGCAGACAGATTTTAAAAAACAGTAGGCCACTCCACAGGCCACCTTAGAGAATGGACACTCAAGGTGGCAGGCATTTACATTTTCTCTCAGTCGCTTTGGTGCATTTCGAAACTACTTGTTCAACCTCCACGTCATCTATTCACTTGTGCACATCATTAAAGCAATTTCTCATTCTTTTGAACAAATTGCAGATACTTTTACACACTGATACAAATGATTATGTACAATTGTCGGCTGTTTCCTACATTATGAATTGCTAATGTCATGCTAATCACAATGTATTATACCAGTCTCTGTTGTATAGTCTAACCCTTCAAAACATCTAGGCATAAGTTCATTGCATAAGTTGATAAATGCAAAATGATTGAACATGTTGTCATGCAAGTATAAAGCTGAACGAAATGTGGTTTCCTATGGACCATTAATAAAGTAAGAATAGACAACAACAAATCACAACATGACCATTCACCCACAATACTGTTTTATATGAATGATAATTTCAAAAGCGTTCCCAGTGGGTTCCCAGTGGTTTGCTCAGTTGGTAGAGGACAGGACTCACAGTCAAATAGTAGTGTGTTCAGTCCTTACTTAGGACCATGGTTTCCTTTTTTATCTTTTTATTATCATTTAAACAAAGACTGTTTCACATGCTCATGTGCTGGGCTGTGTGCATCCTGGCGACTGGCCCACATCCATCAACCTATGGACTTAACAGAAGTTGAATTTATAATCTTTGGATTACAAGTCCTGTGCTCTACCAAGTGAGCTAACTAGTGACACTAGAAATTTTATTGAAATTATCCTAACACATCTATCCTACACACCTGCCGTCGACTGTATACAGCTATTGTTTATTTTCTCAAACAAAAAATGATCCTGTTATTACAGGAAACCAACATTCATTATCTCGAGACAAGGTACTTATCCCGTTATCACGGGAAAATGGCGTAAAATAAATATTTTAATAATCTGAATTGTTAGTGAATGAAAACAGTTTGGAAGAGACCGAATTGTACGTTATGCAAAATTCAACTGGAGATACTTTTACCCACCCCTCAGGCTTTTATTTGTTAATGTTGGCCACGCCTTCTGGAATTTAAGACTTCACCATTATTCAAGGTCACCAAAAATATTTTATCCTCATGGAAGCTAGAGTATCTGCAGCAAACTTTACAGTTATGTGACCAACATGTTTTGAGATAAAGTATGGTGCTCTGGATAAAAGGTTGGGTGGGCAGACTGACTATGTCATCTATGTATACACAAACATGCACACAACAAAAATCATCACTTTTTTTCCATTCTACCTCCACACCCCTTCTCCAGCTGTAGCAATGATGGAGGACAGGAAGACTGTAATAAAGAGGTGGAGGAGGAGGCCAAGAAGCCCACCAGCTGCGGCATGATCACTGATCCCAATGGTATGGCATGCACTCATGCACAACAAGTGCATTGTGTTGAGAAGTACACTCTCCAGACGTGCCACCTGCATATCCTAATAAATTGACCACTCATCATCATCATCATCATCATCATTATCACTGTCATCACAATCACAAACAGGCTACTATGCCTAAGGAACATACAGATCATCAACATCAATGCTAAAGTCATTTTTAAAAAGGCATATTTTAAGTATTACTGAGAGCGATGCTCTCTTTTTTTAAAGGAACACCCTGATCACATTCACACAGTTACACATTCATACGTGGAAGCTGTCCAGTACAACCACAGTCTGATGTGCCGGCCACTGAGCAGCTCCATTGGAGCAGTTGGGCCTCAGTAATCACCATTTCCTAAGGTTTCACAAATGACAGTCACACATTTATGATTGTTTGTGGGACCACAAAAAGGCTTTGGTTGGCCCTTGATAATAGCCTAACAGTAGCATAATGCCATTGTGAAAGTGATCATTGAGTAAAATGAGTTTGTCTGGAATTCACCTCCATCACATCTCTCTGTCTTTGACCTTGACTACAGGTATCTTTAAGCCCTGTCACTCTGTCGTGCCCCCTGAGCCATACTTTGGAAGCTGTGTGTACGACATGTGTGCCACTGGAGGTCAGATTGTGGCTTTGTGCCAGGCCATAGAAAGCTATGCTGACATGTGTGCTGCTGCAGGAGTCTCCATCGCATGGAGGAACAATACCTTCTGTCGTAAGTCTCTCTGTGTGTGTGCGGGTGTAGATAAAAAAGAGGATCTTTAGCATGTCATGTCATAACTACCAAGTTTATTAATGAAGCCATAATTTAGAGTATTTGATTGTTTTCTTGAAAAACCAGAACTATCACCAAGGATAGATCAATTTTATTTATATAGCGCCAAATCACAACAACAGTTATCTCATAGCGCTCATAAAAGAGCAGGTCTAGTCCGTACTCTGTGATATTATTTAGAGAAACCCAACAATTCCCACCAAGAGCAAGCACTAGGTGGAGCAAGCACTTCCTTTTAAGAGGCAGAAAGCTCAAGAGTTGGCAGCCATTTGCTTGAACTGTTGGGGGTGTGGGTTAGAGAATCAGAATCAGAAGGAGCTTTATTGCCAAGTAGTGTTTTACACATATGAGAAATTTGCTGTGCTACACGTAGACAAACATACAGTCAACATAAATAAATGTAGAAATATATAAAGCTGTAATGTTGTGTATTTTACAAAAAATGCTGCACACTACCCTTTTCCAAATGTCCTCTTCTCTCCAGCTCTGAAGTGCCCTACAGGCAGTCATTACAACTCATGCAGCACTGCCTGCCCCCAGCCCAGCTGTCAGGACCCTACGGGCCCCGGTGGCTCTTGCAACCAGCCCTGTGTAGAGGGATGCTTCTGTAACCCCGGCCTCGTCCTCAGCGGAGACAAATGTGTCCCACTCAGCGAGTGTGGATGTACTGATGGAGATGGAAAGTACAGGCCGGTAAGTGTGCTCAGTGGATCTCTGAAGGGGGATATTTTCCTGGCACTTTTGCAAGAAATAATGTTTGAACATGCATTGAACGTTTCTGTGTGTAGGTAGGAGACACTTGGTTCACAGAGATGGATTGCTCAGAGCGCTGCAAGTGTAACGGTAACCATAACATCACCTGTGAGCCCTGGCAGTGCAGCCCAGCGCAGGAGTGTAAAGTTGTTGGAGGAGTACTGGACTGCCACCCAAAGGTAAACTTAACAACTGGACTGGATGACTAATAGACCTGAATCTGTGTCAACAGTTAGAGAATAATTCTGATCCAATCATTTTATTATTTATTTTTTATCTTTAAATATATCAAGACTGTTTGTTGTCATTTCAGTCTAACAAATATTTAATTTTATTACATTTTATTTAATTGGTTTTAACCTCATTTAGCCTCATTATTTTTACTGAATAATTTTTATCAATAGCTTGCTGGTCTATATACACACATTATACACATACATATATGCACATACATATATGTATATATATATACACATATATATGTATATATATATATATATATATATACACACATGTATATATATATATATATATATAGCCCACCTTACCCATCATACATCTTCACATCTGATTACATTATCCTTAACATTAATCAAACCGCAGTGATTGATCGCAATATTAGTTCACCTTTATTACATTACCTTTGGCCCGCGGCCAGATTGCTTTCATAGCAGAACTTTTTTTTTTTTAATTGATAACGGCTTGTGCTAAAATAGATCTCAGTCATGACAGCAACAGTTACTCACATAACCACTTCCTCTTAAGTGATTGTGCCTCTAAAATAAAAGCGCAAGAACGTATTTTGCAGCAATGCTTCATGTCGAGTTTTATTAAGAGCTTCAAATTCAAAAGAGTCTCTGGCCAGCTTGACTCACCTCTGAAAAAGCAGTCAGTAAACGTGTGATTGGATTCCTCTGAATTTTCTTAGGGAAATGCAAATAAGTGTCCATAGGTTTACGAATGCGGATCAAACAGTGGAACGCACACACACTGCAGCACATGCTTTATGTGAGCATGTGCAAAAGAAAAAAATTTCCGCAATAAGATGGAATCGATCTCTCAACCTCTTTGGGAAAATTTGGCCGGATGCCAGACTTATTTACCGACCCCTGTAATAGAATATGCACTATGTTCTCCATTTTTCATCAACCAATTAATTTTCTTTCTGTTGTACAGAACCATGTCCTCCTGATGCAGAGTATATAGATTGTGGTCCAGCCTGTATCCCCACTTGTATGGAGCCCTCCACCAACTGTTCTGGATCCTGTATCAGTGGCTGCTTTTGTAAACCAGGGTTTGTCTTCAAGGGACGACGCTGTATGCCACTTGAGAAATGTGGCTGTCTGGATGGCCAGAATAACTATTATGAGGTCAGATATCCTAGTTCATATACCCATGTGCATACATTCCTGCGTAGAAAATGTGTAGATCTAGTGACATACAATACAACTTGCCAGTATTGATCCTTTCTTAAATTTTGTTTCAGCCTGGCGAGATTGTATTTGGTGATGGCTGCTCAAAGCTGTGCCGCTGTGTAGGGAACTACACTTTGGAATGTATTGATAACTCCTGTGACCCCACTGAAGAGTGCCGTGAGGTTAATGGTGTTGCAGGCTGCTATCCTAAAGGTAATATTGTCTGGTATGTTGCTAGAAGAACCTGTACTAGCAGATCAAAATGGTCGAGTTTGAACAATGTGTTGTCCAACCACATCTGAAGGCCAAACTGCTCCTAACAGCCACACTCTGTCTGTCTTCAAAGAGAGTGGCAAGACAGGACAGTTGTTGTAATGGGGGTAACGTTGCGTATAGTGGGCATGTTTCTCATGTGTAAAAACACCCTAAAAAGTGTTGGTGTAAAAGCAATATTGTTCAGACTAGTGAAACATATTTGTAACAAAATACCTGCTAACTGACAGTTTATCATTTGCTATTCTCTTAGGTACATCCACATGCATAGTGTCTAGTGATCCCCACTACACCACCTTTGACAAACGCCAGTACAACTTTATGGGCAACTGCAGCTATTTGATGTCTAAACCGTGCAATGAAACATCTCTGCCATACTTTGAGGTCCACGCTGACAATGAAAATCGCTACAACAATCCCTCCATCTCCTATGTGAAGGCTGTACATGTATATGTTCACATGGTGAAGATCTCCATCCTCAAAGGTGGCACTGTACAAGTAAGACATTGGTGGCAGGATGACAACAATCATACTATTGTCATATCTATGACATATCTACAAGCTGTTGTTCAGAAATCACTTGTATTCTCTGCAGAAAATGCACCTTTGGAGTTGGTGAAGCCATTCTAACTTTAAAGTGTAAGATTCTATACACAGAGAGACTGTTTCTGTTTCCTCAGTAATCACTCATTATGTTATTTACATTTTTTCCCCATTCAGGTTAATGGGACCAACGTAAACCTTCCAGTGACTCCGGCCCCTGGTGTCTCTGTGTTCAAGTCAGGAAAGCACCACACTGTGTCCATGAACTTTGGTGTGACTGTGCGCTATGATGGAAACCACTTTATGGACATCAAAATGATCAAAGAGTGAGACAGAATTCTATTTTTAATGTATACGTTTTAGAATGATGTTGAAAATAATAATATTTTACTTTAATGAAGCAAAACTCCTCCAAAACACCTGGTTAGAATGAAAACAAGTCACAAACTCTTGGAAATGGTTGAGAAGTGGCGAGATGTAGCTCGAATTGAATTGTTGCTCTCAATTCCACAAATCACTGACTTGCAGATTTTCTTGTAATCTGCAGCTATCAGAAGAAGCTTTGTGGACTGTGTGGAGATTACAATAAAGATGCCAAAGATGATTTCCGTAAACCAGATGGATTGTTAACCAACAATGCCAATGACTTTGGAAACAGCTGGAACACTGATCCAGAGTGAGTATCACACACGTCTACAGACACCCACATACTCACTTTCAGAACGTTATCTGACCACCAACCTCCCTATCTCTGTAGATATCAAATAAATGTAAAGGGTTACTTCACCCAAATCACATGAAAAGATGTTTTTGCAGTTAAAAATACCCCAGAAAGTAGCTGAAATTACCTCTGTGAAATTGTGAATAGAAGCAGGATGAAATAACATTTCACAATAATGAGCTTTTGGAAGAATCTGTATGAATGTAAGAATGTATGTTTTGGAATATTTATCAATGTGTGATGTCTTTTGTTATGATTATTAATGTCATAATGTATTTTAGATTTTTGTAATATTGTGTACTTTAGGTATCCATATTTACATACAAATAGGTATAGATCAATTTTCCTTTATTGTAATTAAAAGGGATGAAAACAAACCAACACACAGAGCTTCTCTAACTGACTGTCTGCGTTGACAGGTGTAATAAGAAACCCAACACCACCATCCCTGAGTGTAATGAAGAAAAGCAGGAACTGTATGAGAGCTCTGGATACTGCGGCATCCTGCTGGACAAAAAGGGTCCCTTCGCTGTCTGCCACCCAAAAGTCAACCCCAATGTAGGTCAAAACACACGCATTCGTTCACACACATGCACACGTGTGGTTGATGTGACTTAGTGGTAGAGTGGGTTGCTCACTAATCGTAAGCATGGCAGGTTGAACGTTGGCTCCTTCCCACCCCACCTTGCTGAATCCTGCAGGGAGCAAGGTGGAGTGCAAGGAAGGAGGTCTGTCAGATCAGCAGGGGATATTTTATGGAGAGCTTTGAATGTTACAATATTTTAATCATTTGTGACAAAGGGTAATTCTGACTTTGTCTGCAAGGCAGGAGGCAAAGTACTGACATGTCCCCACTTGCAATGTTAGCCAGAGGCACGGGAGCATCTGCCGTCAGTGGCTGAATGTGACATGTAGTGTACGCTGCTTTGAAGTACATTCCATTACAAAGACACACAAATATAAAGCAGTTAGGTCTTTTGATGTTGAAAGAATTCTACTCTATTGCAAAAGTCTTTATTGGATTATTGAGTTAATTATGGATTGACAAACAAGCTCCTAATGGCACTCCACGAGAGAGTGATAAGGTAAAGAGAAAGAATAAAGCATTGTAGCTCAACAAACTATGTGTGTGTTTTCAGAATTACTTCAGGGACTGTGTCTTTGACCTGTGTGAGTTGGGTGGAGCCAAGCCCATTCTGTGTGAAGCCATCGAAGCCTACGTCAATGAATGCCAGGACCGTGGGGTCAACATTGGACCTTGGAGGAATGAAACCTTCTGCCGTGAGTGTTGGGTGGAGAAATGATAAGTGGATGAAGGAATATAGGGAGGGTTAATGGAAGCAACTAGGGAGCTGCTTCCCAAGGGTCAGTAAGGTTTCTTAATTGATTGAAATTGAAATCTCACAACTGACCAAAAATTCGCACATATGAAGAATTTGCTTTGCTGATAAGGTGCTACACCCAGACAAATGTACAGGTGACATAAATAAATGGATGGAATAAACAAATGTAAGTTATATAAGAATAATAATAAAATAATAGGGATAGATATAATAACTATTACATGTGCATTACTCCGGTGTGTGTTGTGCAGATGTATTGCAACGGAAGAGAAAGTTGTGTAAATATATAAATTGACAATACAAAAATATAGAACAACGATTAACAACACATTTGTGCAATGAGCCAGGTTTGAGCATTATATGAAATGAATTAAAAGTTAGACGTGCAGAGACATTTGCATTATTCAGCCAGCATTGTTCAGCCAGAGTCCATGCAAGGAGAGATGTTTTAGATTCTGTGTACCATTTTTTATATAGTCTGTCTGTCTTTTATGTGGCAGAAGGGAGTTACAAACTCAATTTCACTCTATAACCTGTTATATTGTGACAAAATAAATCTACCTACCTACCTACTCTATGTCTACAACATCACTAACCTCAGCCTTCCATCCTCTCCTTAGCGCTGAGCTGCCCCCCCAACAGCCACTACGAGCCTTGTGCAGACCCCTGTCAAGAGACATGTTCTGGGAAACCTCCCTCCTGCGGTGGGCCCTGCTCGGAGGCCTGTGTGTGTAATCCTGGCTACATCCTGAGTGCCGGCAAGTGCGTCAAGAAGAGTTTGTGTGGTTGCAAACACACCAACGGCCAGTACTATGAGGTACAGTCAAGATGGTCTGATAAGCCACCAGGGGATAACGTGTCTGCTTGTGTGCTTGTATTTCTATCTTTGCTAGGACCGTTTTTAGTTTTAAGCCATCAAAGAGAGAACATTTTGGCATGATGAGACATTTTGTGCCGTCTTCATTACTACTATTAATAGAGAAGGCACTGAGCTCACACCAGCTCTTGAGTATGTTTGAGATATGTTGACTGCTTAGCTGAGTCTCCCATCTGCATAAGACCAGCAGCAACCACCATGTCATCAGCATATTTATACAATTGATATTGAACATTCACTGAGAGATGCTGAAAGATGATTGACTGTCACCCTTTCCCTACATTTACATAAAATGCTTGTCAATGTGACTGGTCTGAAATCATTGAGCTCTGTTGCTCTGTGGCTTCTTAGGAACAGGAAAAATATTGGAGAATTTTGATATTTTGGGAAAAGAATTTTCATTTAATAAAAGCTGGAATAATTTTGTGACTACTGTTTTGAGCTGAAACCTACACAATTTGATCATTCAATTCATATTTATAACTCAAGACAACCTTTGATTTAAGCCTTCCCCTGCTAACACAGTTTTTGTGTGTGTGTGTGTGTGTCAGCCTGGACAGGAGTTTTATGTTGAGGACTGTAAGCTGAAGTGTAGGTGTGATGTTCCCTTCGTCACCTGTGTGGCCTCTGAATGTGACCCAATGCACGAGTGTAAACTCCAGGATGGAATACTGGGCTGCCATCCCACCAGTAAGTTTACACCCACAGCAATACTTGCCAAGCAGTAAACAAACTGAATATAAATTAAACTGCAGCTAGCGTAGCATACAGAGTGACATGCTATTGCTACAGCTTATCAGAAAATGTATTCACTCATGAATTTAATATAAAGCACAAACATATTGTGGTAGATGCTGATCACTGTTAGTGAGTAAGTAGGGCTTTATATTAGACACCAAAACGTATTTTACCTTTTGTCTACATGGACGATTCAAAATTTCAAACCACCAAAATCCCAACAAGGGAGCAGTGGGAATGTGTTTTCTCAAAAAGAGCCTCTGCTTCGTCCTTTGCCAAAGTCCAGATCCCACGTACAGGCTGTGCCAACAGCTTCTTTAACTCAATACAAACTCCCATTGAGGTTTCTTTGATATGTCTTCATGAAAAACTGAAATGTGTTCCAAGGGGTTTAATGTCTCTGTTCTAAGATAAATGAGTATCTGCCACAGGACCTTAGTATTTTGTTAAGTTAAACAATGAGTCGAGGCCTTCCTCTCCTGCAGCGGCCACTCAGCTGACCTTAGTCGGTCAAGATGTTCAACCTATAAAGATCTTGGGCTTATTGGGAAACCACTAAAACCAGAAATAAAAGAGGTTTTAAAAGAGGTTTTTGCCCTTCTGGAAGAGAACCTGGATGTTCTGGTCTCCCATCAGCTCTCGGTAAGGCTGAAATATGATACTCTGTTGCACTGGAGAGTCAGTTTTTTGTATTACCACCCAATATATCTCCTTAATGCAAGTGAAGCAATGTTAACAAAATAAGTATTCTGTTTCTTTGTGAAATGATGAGGTGCTCAATTTTCACTCCAGTAATTGGTTATTGATTAAAACCCATGTAGCTTTCCCGGGAAGCTTGTGGAAATCAGGACAACTCAGAAGTAGTTCAATAACAGTAAAACATATTTGCATGGTCATACTCTGCTTGACAAAGTCTCTTTATCTCCCTAAAATACCTTTTGAATTTCCTGAGACAAGTTTTCTTTCACAGTGTGTGAAATGTTGCATTATTTCAGTAATCTAACTAATAGAACTGAGTTTATGGAAGTAACATAAAGCTCTGTCAACTTAAACAAAATATCTGGCTAAAGAGAAAATCTGTCAGATGTATCTGTCATATAATACCCATGTAAGTCAAAAGCAGAAGATAGCTGAACTGTCCTTGTTTCAGAGTTTAGGAAAACAGTCTGCTCGCAGCATAGTGTGAACATTGAGCCGAGGCCTTTAGCAAGGCAGTAATTGTATCAATGCCAAACGGCCAGTGCCATAGATTCCCTGGAGTGTGGCTGTAATGCCCCACTCTAAAATGAACTGCCCACACAGCTAACATTAGTTTGGCTAGACGTGTTTTGAACTGCCCGTGTGCCCTTAAAAGAAAGTTGCAGATTTCCTCATTTACACTAAATGTCATCACGCTGGACATCAACAGTAGCACGAGATTTAATTTTTTTTGCTTCCGCAAATATATGGGTTAACATTAACAGTAAACATTAGCAGCTAACCCGCTACCTGAAATTAGCTAACAATTAACAACAGCACAAACAGCTAAACATGTGCAGTGTAAATATTAATTCACTTGTTTTAAAGTTTACCAGGATATTGCTGCATAATGTTAGCCAACTATATACAAGAATAGAGTTTATTATTTGTTGTGAGATCTGTCAGGTTGCTACTTTTTTATTGTGATGCCACCAAAGGAACACACATATGGTATTTTTTCCCTTATAATGCTAAAGTTACACTGTGAACAACAAATCTGTGTTGAAATCATAGAAATAAACAAACTAAACATCGCTGTCAAAAAATCTTGACATCTGTGCATATATCTCTTCAGGACCAAAAGGACAGCAGCAAACTGGCTAGTTATTTGCTGGAAGACTCCTCAAACTGTCACATGACATAAATTAACAGTGTTATGAGTTGATTTAATTCAGTGTGTTTCTGATCCACCAACCAGCTTGTGAGAAATAGTGAGAAATCTTAATTTCTGAAACGATTTGCCTCTTCTCCCATTGCAATAGCACACCTAACCAATGGAGGCTGGTAGCAAACTGAGTCATTTTTGTGACTGCTCCTATGATTTCAGACTCAAATGCTAATAGTGTTGAAACTTTCAAAGGCCTGTAACTGTTAGCTCAGCTGTGTTGTAGTCTAATGTTCTTGTGGTAGTCACACTGCTTGTCCTTCTCTCTCAGGCTCTCAGGACTGTGTGGTGTCTGGAGATCCGCACTACAACACATTTGACAAGAAATTCTACAGCTTCATGGGAACATGTACCTACACACTTGCCAGAAACTGCAAGAACAGCACAGGTAGGAACAAGTTTAGACACTGAGAATTGTCTTTCATTTTCATTGCACCTGAACAGATTTTCAACCATTTAAAACTTTTGAACACTGTTTTCACTGCTGCTACAAATTCAACCATTCTTCACCAAATTGGCTAAAGGAAAGGGGGTTTTTTTTATGTGAATTGCTGCAAAATGCCCAACCTGCCACAACTCTTAATTACATTGTCCACATTTAGATGACACATGCATATATTTACTTCAAGTGATCACGTAAAACATGATGTCTTTACACCAGGAGGTGGCACTATGAACATATAACCATAGTAGACATTAGTCTAACTCATACAACTTTTTGCACATTTCATCCATGTATAAATCCAGAAACACTATTTTCTGATGAAGGCACATTTGGTGGTTCGTGGTAGAGCCTGACTGATTTCGATATTTGAGGATTTAAAAACTTGATATGCCGATATATCAGCTGATATGCTTTTCAAAAACACATAATATAAACAAAGATTTGATGTTATGAGACCTCATTAAGATAATAAAATGTTGAGCAAAAGTACAACAAAATATTTTAAAGTTTTGAAAAATAAGAGTCAAAACTACAAAAAAGATTTAACTACTAGTATTACTACTACTGAGTATTAAAAAAATTGTGTATGTAGCTATTGTGCGGGACTGCCAAACAGAAACTATAAATAAAAAATATGAATGTACTACTACTAGTACTAACAATAATAATACCATACAGTACTCAAGTCATTACAATTATTAAATTACATTTTATGATAAACAGTAGGGTTGGGCCGATATACGATGCCATCGGCCATCACAACGTTGAGCAGGCATCGTGATTGTAAACCCCACCACCCCCCTGCCAAAGAATCTAGATGTTTCACATTATACCACCACGTGAAAGCAGGTTTTAAACACAACAAACATATAAACTTTAAATATGCTTCGCTCATTCCTCAGATTTTTCTCCCCCCCCCCACACACTCAGACACACAGACACACAAGAGGCCTAGACGTCAGGTAAACACATCGACTTGCCCCACCTCTCTCTACTGTATGAAGGCGCCTAAAAGACACAGAACTCGTCTTTTTTCTGTATTTCTCCACCCGTGATCCGTTATCACTGCCGCAGGTGAGCCGCTTGTGGGCTTGTTAATGACGCAGCCTATCAAACAACCGAAACCAACATCTGAACTCTGAGTGTTTAATGCTGCTTTAGCTGGTCTGTGCTTGTAAAATATCCACCGCGACTTATAACATCATGTAGACATTGTCCTATGGAAATTTTGTAGACATGGCCCAACCCTAAAACACAGCTCTCCTACATACGCAATATATTTTTTTGTCATGCAGTAGTTATTACCTTACACATAATCTGTCACAATGACTATTTTCAATGTAGCACATTCACATTACGTCATCCCTTTTCCAGCACGCTTTTAATTCTGTCCAAAGATACGAGAATCTTTCAACCACCATCTATGATACAGTGACCCAGAGGAAACGCTGTTCTTGAATGCATCTAATACTACATGACTGTTTACAAGGACCTGCAACTGTGAGATTTCACACCAACGTTGCACATTTGAAAGGGGAGCTAGATCCCTTTGTTTGGCAGGAAGTCATGTTAGATACTTGTTCAGCTCACGTTTATTTACATGTCCCTCTAGTTTCATTTCCGACGCACTGACTGTAACTACAGACAAGCGGGTCGCAGATATACTGTATTTAGAATCCATTAAACACCATAGTTTAACCGCTGACTAATGTTAGCGCTCTTCCACTGAACATGCCATTAGCTTTGTGCAAATCTAATTTAGCAAAAAATATTTCAGAAATAAACAAAATAAACAGCATAGCCTCCACCGCTGACCTACTGAAACATTAACCCGCTACAGTAGAACAACCTGTCATAGCCCAAGCCATGCTGGACTGGAGGCTGAAACAATAAAATCTGATAACATAATATCAGCCAACATATTTTTATTTATTTATATCATATCTTTGGTTATTTATGGTGTTCTGCTCCGTGTGCAGGTCCCTGGTTCTCAGTGGAGGGGAAGAATGAAGAAAGAGGAGTGTCAGGTGTGTCCTACCTGAGGAAACTCTACGTCACAGTGAATGGAATCACTGTGATTCTGATGAAGGCCAGGAAGACACTGGTCAGTATGGACAACATTAGACATAGATAGTAAATCATAAATCATATTTTCATTGTCATCGCAATATCAACATGCACAATTAACACATCGCAAAAGAAAGACAATGAATAAGAAAAATCTTTTTATTTACATACATACTGGGTGTATTTATTTATAATCTGCTCTATCTTTTCCAACTTTTTGAACACATATATGGTAATATATGTAGCAGGGCGCACATTGCTAGTACACAACAAAATTGGAGGAGGAGGAGGACAGGAGGAAGGACTGATATGGACCAGAGTTTTTCATTCTTTCTAAACATCACTCAGTATTTTGATGTCAGGAAAATTATTTATTTTAGACATTTTAGATTTATTGCCACTGAGACATTATTGAGTTTATGTAATGACCTAGCAGTTTTAAACTTTACTGTTGCTGCTCTAGAAACATTTAGTTATATGTATATTTTTTATTTATATATATATTATATTCTTATTATTCTTATTATGCTTATTATTATTATTATTATTGTAATCCTGTTGACAACCAGGCAGCCAGTATATACACTTCAATATTTCTTTCTTTGTCACAAGTCATTTCATCATTGCAATATAGAACAATGTTTTTGCACAGATTTTCCTCATATTGTGGCCTAAATTGCATCCAGCTGCAACATCCTCACCGCACTTTTATGAGTGTAAAACAACTGTAACTGTACCTGTAGCTTCTGTTTAACTTTGTTTTTGTGTTTCCTTCTCTCCGGCAGGTGAACGGACTGCGGGTGGCCCTCCCTCACTCCCCCTCTCCTCTCATCTCTCTCAGTCTGGCCGGTCAGTATATTACCCTGCAGACGCCCTTTGGCCTCCAGGTGCGCTGGGATGGAAACCATTATGCCCGAATCTCAGTTCCCAGGTTGGTATAGAGGTTCCTTCCTCTCCAGGTATTTTGATAATTTAAAAATGGCTGCTGTTTGAATAAAATGAACAATGTTTTGATATAAGATTTCCTTGGCTGCTTGCATAGATGTGATTTTTCTTTTTCTTTGGAAAATTGTAAGTAAATGTTTCTATCATTTTCTATCTTTTCACTGATAATTCGGCTTTGATTAATTCAAGTTTTGGAGAAAGTATAAGGCAACATAGAAGAAAGAGATATAAGAGAACACTGTAATAGCTAATAACACTGATGCAGGAGCGTAGGCCATCTACTAACCTGCTGCCATCTCCTCCAACATCGGCTGATTATTGCCGCTTTCAGTGGGTGAAAACTTCTCCATTGTTCCATCACTCCTACTACAAGGTATACTCTTGGGGCAGCCATCTAGCTGTCCCTGTCCGGTTTGGCCTCAAGCCTAGGACTGATACATCTGCAGTTGGTAGCTAGCTGTCAGCTGCCTCCAGCTAGTCCTCCGTGCCTCACGCACCCCACTGCCATGATATGGACCATCTCACTGTGCAGTCTTCTCTTTGTTTGGCTAACGGCTAGCTCCAGGCTAACACTTTCGGCGACCAGCATAAAGCTCAAGTACTCTATCCCGCAGCTGCTAAATCTCAACAACCACACCATTCCAACGTGCATTGCAGTCATCATAGATCTTCGACATATGCGCCTATGTCGTTACATCCCATAGAGGTTCCCGTCAAAAGTTTGTTTACCATAAATTGCTTGGTCACTCTGCTTCAACCATTCCATCAATCTAGACAACTGTTGCACGTGTGCCGCGTCGAGAAGTGACGCTCTCGGTGCTAGTAACACGGGAAACACAGTGAGATCTCTGCACACCAAGCAGGCCAGAAAACATGGAGTGGATTCCAGTGTACTACGGCCTCTACAAAGAATAACCCCAGCATCATTGCTCAAAATAGAACTGCTTAATACACAGTCCCTCACAAATTAAGCATCCTTCATACAAGACCACATAATGGAAGTGGGATTAGACTTTTTGTGCCTAAGAGAAACATGGTACCAGCCAGGGGTTTAGTCAGTGTTTAATGAAGTCTGTCCCCCCAGGTTACAGCTATCTGGAAAAAGCCAGTATTGGGGCCTAGCTGTAATACAGAGACAGAACTTGGAGCTATCCCCCCCTCCCTCTGCCTACACTGTCCTCATCTGAATGCCTTGCATTAAAATGTAAACACTCAGCCCCCCGGTACACAAACTATGCGAACTATGGAAGAAGAAAACAGCTGGGTGTGTCCTTGAGTGGCACCTCAAGGCCTCAGGACTCACTGTTCATAGGCAAGCCTACAGAGAGCATCAGAAGTCCTATGCAAGGTCCTTGAGAGATGCACAGTCACGGTTCTACTCCACACATCATCAACAATAGCCCTTACAACTCCAAGCAACTTTTCTCCACTATAAATTACATCCTCAAACCTCAAACTCACTCTCATTCAGAAGCCAAGAGGAGAGGTGCAACAACTTCTTCACTTTTTTCTGGAAAACAGTAGACACCATCCTCTCCCTCATATCCAGCTTCTCCCCCCTCCCTGTCCCAACTTCCAACCCACAGCCTGGGATTTCCCAACCCCTCTGCTGTTTTTCTGACATCTCACAGCAAGAGGTTGAGGACATCATCAAAAAGATGAAACCCTCCACCTGTGCCCTGGACCCCTTCCCCACAGCCCAACATCCTTAAGTCCCCTGATCACTAACATCATTAACCACTCCCTCCAGGCTGGCCATGTTCCATCAACACTGACAACAGCTGTCATCAGGCCACTTCTCAAAAAACCCACCTTAGACCCAGATTCTCCTTCACCGTCTACATTCCATCATCTGTCGTTCTGACTCTGTCCATTACTCATTCTCAATATACCTCACCGGGAGAACTGAACATGTCGCCTGGGGAGAGGCTAAATCCCTGGCACACAACGTCACTTGTGGTGTCCCTCAAGGCTCAGTGCTTGGCCCCACCCTGCTTATTCTCTACATGCTCTCCCTTGGCCGTGTCATCAGCCGGCATGGAATTTCATTCCACTGCTATTCTGCTGTCAGTCAACTCTACCACAGGACAAACCCAACCCCCTCTCCTGCCTTGCCATTATCCCTTCTGGCCACCTGCCATTACAGGGATCACCTTCTCTGGCCAAGATATTCCACTTTCAACTTCAGCCACCAAGAGTGTTAAAATAGACTCTCATATGACCTTTGAGGCTCACATCAAACATCTCTGAAAGACCTCCTTCTTCCATCTCAGGAACATTGCTAAACTCTGTGGATCCCTGGCAAAAGCCTCCAGAAGCTGCAGTACATCCAAAACAGTGCTGCTAGGACCCTGTTGAGACACCAAATCACTACACTGTCTTCCAGTCTTACTCAGGATTGAGTACAATGTCTCCCTCCTCACCCAACAGTGCAGCCATGGTGTATCCCTCCCCCATCTCAAGGAACTTCTCACCCCACAAACCTCCACACGTACCCTCCGATCTGCCTCAGCATATATAATGAAACCTCACAGGACCAAGCTCCGTACAATGGGTGAGAGGGCTTTCTGCTCAGCTCCCAGGCTGTGGAATGATCTCTCTGACCATCTGTGGACACCATGCTTTAACATGCGGCCTTAAAACACAAACTTCTCTTGCCTTTTCTTTGCCTTATTGTTTTTATTTTTGTCCTGTTTTTATCATGTAGCACTTTGGGATTTGTTTTAATATAAAGTGCATTACAAATAAAATGTATTAGTATTATTATGGTTCAGTTCTTATGGCTATCCTCCAGACCATTCTCCTTTTCTTAGATATATTTATCAATTTAATGTAATCAAGTCAGTTTTTCACTGAGGTTGAAACATTGTCAACTATCGTGGACTACGCCTCAGTTCATGCCACCCAGTCTCCCAGCATTCCTAATACTTTGGTTCTTCCATCTTCCATGGACGATGCCCTGATATCAGATGAAGACATTTCTGCATTCTGTCGCTTTGCCAAACAGTGTTTGACCATTTAAATCTTCTTAAGACGTTCCTCTTCATCTCTTAATCCCGTACTCTCTTCGTCTTTGTCCCTCCAGCTCCTACTACAACCAGACGTGTGGTCTCTGTGGTGACTATGACGGGAACCCAGACAATGACTTCACCAAACCAGATGGCACTCTGGTAGAAAATGTCAATAACTTCGGGAACAGCTGGCAGACAGAAGAGGATGAGGATGACACGTGAGTTTACACGCATTCATCTTTCTGTAGTATAATGAAAATTTATGGATTCCCTTCAAACTCTCTTGAAGGCTCATGTATGGACTTAATCCAAAGATCGTTGGTTGCGTGTCAAAGTGTCCTTGGACAAGATACTGAACCCATCAGTGTGTGTTAGTTTCTGTTCAGAGCACTTAGGCTCAGTGAATGAATGTGTGTGAATGAGGGAATGTGATGTAGTGTAAAAGCACTTTGAGTGGTCGGAGGACTAGAAAGGTCGTTGGAGTCACCCGAGGCACAATGTGAACGACATCTTCACATGAGGCCAAAATTCAATTCAATTCAGTTTTATTTATATAGCGCCAAATCACAACAACAGTTATCTTACAGCGCTTTTCATAAAAGAGCAGGTCTAGACCGTACTCTGTGATGATATTTACAGAAGCCCAACAGTTCCCACCAAGAGCAGCACTAGGCGACAGAGGCAAGGAAAAACTTCCTTTTAAGAGGCAGAAACCTCGAGCAGAACCATGGCTCAGGGTGGGCGGCCATCTGCCTCGACCGGTTGGGGGTGAAGGAGAGAGAGAGAGAGGGCAAGAGAGGAACAGAGAGAAAGAGGGAGGGGGATGGAAGGAGAGAGAGAGGGGAGGGAGGCAGCCTACACAATATACACACTGTAGAGTGAATGAATAATGGTACAGATATTTATAGTAGTGTTAATGATAATAATCGTAATGTTAATGATTATAATTTACAATAATAACAATAGGACTAGTAACAAAAGTCGTTGCAGCAGAGGGTGTCGAGCAGGAACACGGGGGCAGCAGGTGACCCGCAACCACAGATCCAGACTCCACAGCTCCAGAGCCAGAAAACCTGCAGGAAGTGATAGGAGGAGAGAGGAGAGGGACGAGAAAGCACAAGACTACCGGAAAGGGGAGAAGTTGTGTTAGTAACATGCAATAATGGGATGAGGTTGCATACAGAGGGAGAGAAAGTAGAGGAGAGAGGAGCTCAGTGCATCATGGGAAATCCCCCGGCAGTCTAGGCCTATAGCAGCATAACTAAGGGATGGTTCAGGACTACCTGAGCCAGCCCTAACTATAAGCTTTATCAAAGAGGAAAGTCTTAAGCCTACTCTTAAATGTGGAGATGGTGTCTGCCTCCTGAACCCAAACTGGAACCTGGTTCCACAGGAGAGGAGCTTGATAGCTGAATGCTCTGGCTCCTAGTCTACTTTTGGAGACTCTAGGAACCACAAGTAACCCTGCATTCTGGGAGCGCAGTGCTCTGGTGGGGTAGTAAGGTACTATGAGCTCTTTAAGATAAGATGGTGCCTGACCATTAAGAGCTTTGTAGGTAAGAAGAATGATTTTAAATTCTATTCTGGATTTTACTGGAGAGAAGCTAAAACAGGAGAATAGGACAGGATGTTTGTCCATCCATCTATCGTCAACCGCTTTTTCTGCGTACAGGGTCGCGGGGGGCTGGAGCCAGTCCCAGCTTACATCGGACAGGTTGCCAGTCCATATGCAGGGCATATAAAAATTTATAATAATTTTAAAAAGAGTCAAATGTATAAAACTGCAGAAATGTTTATATAGAGTACTACTACTAATGAACATTAAATTAAATAGTGTATTGTGGGGGCCAGCATGTAATTGCTGTAATAATAATTATAAACAGGGCTCTCCTGCATAAACCAAAAATTATGTATATATTTTTTGGCATGCAATAGTTATTACCTTACATATAATCTGTCACAATGACTAATTTCTACTATGTCCATTAGGACGTTAAACCGCCACTGTCCGGTGTCGTGCCAGGGTAGTTATTTCTGAAAATGCACATGCATTCAACAGTGAAAGCTGACTTATGTCTTCACGAAAGTAAATAAAAATATAACATGTGGATTGTTTCATCCATCGTTTTAGTGTTGTTTAATCAACAAGGGTTTTGCAGAGCAAGCTAGCATGCGGATTATAAGAACGCTTTTATAGGCTAATGTTAACGTTATGTGTTATTGAACTTTGTATTATTCATTGCCCTTGTAAAGCAAACATTTTTTTCACGATAGTCTGACGATGTTATAACTGACCACATAGCTGATCACTTCCATGTTACTCTTTGGAAGCTAGATGCACCTTTTTCAAGTAAGCTGCTCCTACATATATCTACGCCATCAATACTGTAAAATCAAGATCACTGTAATCTGTTTAACACATTGCTCGCAACGTTCATCTAGTTGACTCAATCTACATCGACATTAAACTGAAAGCAGCATTGTAGACAATGTTTGTCCCTGTAATCTGTGTTTCTATTGCATGCATAGTCTTTGTATATTGCTGGAACAGCACTTTTCATACACAAAAAGTGATAACAGAAAAGGTCTACTCAAGATTACAGACATCATGGAGCTTGAATATAAATGTATTTTTCAATTCAAATTGAAATATACGATATGTCTGTATAGGGTTGTGTAATTATTTATTAACATACTATTTCACAAGATTGGTGTTATTCTTATTACACACAACTACGATAGTTATTCTTGAAATATCCCACTTTTTAACCACCGATTTGACCAGTGTCATATTCTTATGTAAAAATGGTGGGGCACCAACCATTTCAAAAGACCAGTAAAACTAGCATACTCTCTCTTGCTACTGTGTTTTTTAACATGTCAACAAACAGCATGGCTCCACAAAACACTTAACATGAGAGAGAGCTAGAGAGAGAGGAGTGCATTGTAACAAGTTACAGTACTACTGTCACAAACCTAAATTAAGAATGCAATATTTAAGCCGGCACAACCAAGCTCAGAACAATTCCGCTCCTTAACCAGTCACAATTTTAGAAACATGATTGCCATCTACATGGACAAATCAGAGGCCTCTCCTAAAGAATGTGCAGAGAATGTTACTCGAGTTTGTAGTGTTCATTAAACCTTACAAATAAGTGTTGCATCAGATAATGTACTGTAACTTGAGCTAAAGTTAACGGGAATGTTTTATTGTTTTTTTGAATAATGTCATTTAATAAAATTAAAACTAAGTTACTGAAAAGATCCTGTTTCTGAAACAAATAAATGTAAGTTACTAAAACATACTAAAACATTACATTATACGATAAACAAGCCTTTGTCTCGTTTCTCCCAGACTGAATGCGCGCCTCTGACCAAACGACTGGCCACAGTCTGGCCCCCTCAATAAAACTGGTCTAAAACCGCCACTGATTGGCAGCGTATTGTTAGGGATTATTTTGAAGTAATAAATTTGAGACAAATGAGAGGACCATTTACTAGAAGTGCAGCACTCTTTCAGAAATAAATATACAATGACATCTGTCAGCGTAACGTCAGCCTCCACCACTGACCTACTGTAACTAAACATCCTGCTGTGACCCGGGAGAGTGAAGTGAGGGTTTGCAAGTCTGGTATGAATGTTTTCAGGAGAGGTCAAGTGATGTTTTTAAAGACTGTTTTTTTTAAATTATTATTATTATTTAAGACAACTCAAATACAGAGTGTGAGAGCTACCAGGAGTTACTCAGCGTAGCTCTGGTAGAGCTGCAGATCGCCCTCTGGTGGGGAAAGCATGCAACACTATGTCCTGATGGAAGGATCCGACCGTCTGTTTCTTTTTTATTAGTCATATATCGGCTGTTATAAACACCGACGCAGGTATCTAGAAGTAGCTATATCGGCCCATAATATCTGCAAAAGGATGGATCGATCAGGCTCTATTTATAATTGGGGGATAAGTGGTGTCTCATTCCTCACTGCGTTGGACAGCATACACTAGGCTGCTCTTCTTGTGTTTGGGTGTGTGGTCTTTAGGGTGGACCAGTATCTGTATTAGCGTGTTCTTGAGTTTAAAAACCACTGGGATGTCTTGTTTGTTGAAAATCCTCCTGAGTTACTCTGATACTCCAAAAAAAATGTCAAATGATTTGTTGTGCTCAAAATTGAGAGACAAATATAATGTCACATACTGTCTAAATTCTTCCTGCAATAATTCTTGAGTATAAATTAGACTGAACAGACTGTTGATTTAAGAAATTGAATGTGACCGTCTTGTTGTGTTTGTATTGATCAGGTGTACCCCAGGCACCAAGCCTGACCCAGACTGTGACCCCAAACTTGAGGCTGAGGTGGTGAAGCCAGACAAATGCGGCAAAATCAAGGACCCTGCTGGACCCTTCAGGTCAGCTTCATTTTCTAATTATTGGTCCAACTGTTGGACTACAGGGTGTTCTACTTTTTAGAGGCACTACCATAGAGCTAGAGCTAAAACCATCAGCCTGCTCAGATACAGATTCACTCTAACAGGAAATATTTAAAGATATTGTACTGCTTTCAAATTCTCCTGTAGATCAAGTTTCCTAATTTCTAATTTGATTTTCATCCCTGCTGAGTCAACACACAGGCATTAAATGTGCATGTGGAACCAATTCACATCAATGATACATATAATATAAATATAATATTCATTCATTTATAACCCCTGGACTGAATAGTTCCTTTGTTTGTTTGTTGTCTGTAAAGTCATGATATGTAAAGAAAAAGAGTTATTGCTACGCCTTCATCTACTGATGAGTCCTGGCTTTTGGCAGAGAGAGGCCAGAGTTTTGTTTGTGTCCTGGTTCTCCATAGCAGAAACACAGTCAAGCACTTACTCAGATGGAAGAATTCTACCAGAGCAGTATGAGACCTGGAATAACGAGCCCCCCCTCGACAAGCCTTCTCCCTCCTACGCTCCCAAAGTTTGTCATCTAGTGCAACAGCCAATGAAATCTGAGGATCTAATCTGTATGCCTCCTCAGATTACAACTATAGCTTGTTCTAGGAATATTATATGAACAGCGCTGGACACACACACACACACACACACACACACAAGCACACACACGCGTACCTGAGTCCCTTAAAGGCTATTTTACTTATAGGATTCCATATTCTTTGTAGTTTCTTAAATCCCATGAAGAGACCATACCAACATTGTGTTTGGTGGTTTGGGTTTGTTTGACCATCTGCATTCTCCTACTCAAACTGAGTGAGTGTTTTTCTCTGTTCCAGGGAGTGTATCAGTGTGGTGAATCCTGCTCCATTCTTCCAGAGCTGTGTGTATGACATGTGTCAGTTCAATGGCCAACAACATGTACTGTGTGACCAGCTCCAGGCTTACACTGATGCCTGCCAAAGTGCCGGAGCCAAAGTTCACCAGTGGAGGACTCCATACTTCTGCCGTAAGTCTTCAGTATTTGAATTTGACAAACATTTTTCCAAAGAAGATCATTGTTTCCTCTGCTTCTGGTTTGGGCACAGGACATCCTGACTGCAGAACATCTCGACAGTTATCAGATGTATTGCCATGAAATTTGCTACAGACATTCATGTTCCCAACAATAACTTTGGTGATTCCCAAAGTCGAGTATTTACAGGAAGTATGGAAAAGTTTAATTGGAGTCATTTCCGAGTCTGAATAAGTATAGAAAAGAGAAAAATAATATTTGTTTCCAGACTATTGCCCCTGTTCTATTTTTTAGGATTGTCTTTGTTCAGTGCAAACTTGACTGTCTATCCGAAGTGAATGACGCACACCTCCATCCAGTGTTGTCTACATTGGTAACTATAGATACCGTAAATCACTTCCACCCTACGTAGCATACAGCTTAACCAGCACAACACCTCAGCAGATAAGTATATGTTGGCCTTAAGCCAGTAGCTTACTATACCCAGGTGTTACTGGACCAGGAAAAGCTCCAACAACTACCATCCCCCTACCCACAACCTAACATTCTTCTTTTCATCCATGTCCTGCTCCTTCTTTTATTTATCCTTGTCTCTACCCTACCCTCCTTCCTACCACCCCTCCCTAATCCATTCATCCATCCCTCTGTTCCTCTATGCAGCCCTGGCCTGTCCTCCCAACAGCTCCTACTCTCTGTGTGTGAGTTCGTGTCCAGAGACGTGTCTGGGTGTGGTTGGACCGCCCGGCTGTCAGGATGTGTGTGTGGAGGGTTGTGAGTGTAATCCAGGCTTCATCCTCAGCAACGACAAGTGTGTGGCCCTGAAAGACTGTGGCTGTGTGGACACCAGTGGATCCTATCACCCTGTAAGTGAGAAAGACCTCAAAGTGACTTTAATCACATTCCATTCTTCAATAATAAAAGGCACATAACTTCATGCTCATTTTGCAATGAAGTTTTAAGTTGGGATCTATATTGAAACCTGACTGATTTGCATAACATGATCAGACAAAAATAGTATCAGATGTAAAGGATAATTAAAGCTGAAGCAGCGTTGGGCAGGCCCTCGCATGTGTAGCATGTGCAAAATCTCGCATGTGATTTTGGACACCACGCCATGTGCACGTCATTTCACAACAACTCACCGTTTGTACAACATTTAATCGTCAGTGGGATTGGACTAGACAGTGTAAAGTTGAAGTCGATCAGAGTAATTCCATAGGAGGAGATCAGAAATGACCATTAAATCCAAAATGGCCGACTTCCTGTTGGGTTTAGGGCATTGCTCCAAGAGGCATTTTGGTACGTATACAGTCTATGGTCTGGACATGAAACATGTGCCACAGAAATTTCATACATGTAGGTGAAATGTGCTGTGGGGGCTGCTTCGTTGACTGTCACTTCATGTTGCCAGCAGGTGGCGCTATGACTATGGGTAGATGTTGGCATGTACGTGTAAAATCTGGTACAGATCTGAGCATGTACAGTCAGGTTACACAGCTTCTTGTGTCAAGGGTGAAGCGTTTAACTTCACCGCCATTCCACCTCCACGTCGTTAACCGAAAACTCACAGATTTTACAACATGGATTAATCAATGTGGGAGTGTCTGAAGAGATTTCTGGTACAGTTTTGAAGTTGACATGGCCTACTTGCTAGGAGTAGTTGATCACAACATAAAAGGTCATTTTAAATACGTAATATTTTGGCACTTCTGACATGTTTGCAAAGTTTGGTGAGTTTTTGAGCATGTTTACGCTGCCAAAAATGAGCTTACTTTGCAGAGGGAAAAATTCCTTCATTTTCAATAGGGAATGTTTCACGCTCAGGCCCTAATAACAGCCCAGTGAGTGGTTCACTGGTTCGTTCAGGTGAAGGAACATTAAATGATGTTGTCTAAGTGAAGAAGAGAGCTGCCAATCATGGGTTGTTCAGCTTACTTAAAATGACATCATCTGAAGATAATGCCTGCTTAGCCTTGATCCAGCACTTTCATACTCCACATCACGCTGCTGTTGTGATAGACTGAGTGAACATTGAAGGTGTGAAACTGGGTTGAGATTTGGTGACTGTACGCTCACTAAAATATTCAGTGAGTCCTGGTTCACCGAAATCTGAATTTTATATGTTTCTCCTCTCTTTTATTTAGGTGTTTCCCTTCATTTGCAAGTATTGATACATTCCTGGTGTTCATATTCAAAGCATGAATAGATAATAATAATTCAATCACATACTCTATACTTTATACTTAAATCCACAATTTAAGCACTTTTTATATTCTATTTTTGGCATTTGGTACTTTTATTTGGTAAGGTATATTAAGATTATGTGCTGTGCATCTTAACCGTTTGGCTATGGATGCCTTGATGTAAGCACTTTTTGTGAGAGCATCAGAAATTATGGTTGGAGATACTGAGTAAATACAATAATTTTTAAGATGGATTGAATATTATACAAACGAAGAGCTAGCAGGTGGAAGCTTGTGTCCAAAAATGCCAGTTCACATCAGTTGAGAGACTGAGAGAAGATTTTCAGTCACTGTACACTTGGGCAGCCTCAATGGGCTGTGAATGTATTTGACATTTTCGTGGAGGCTTGATGCATTCATGCACTGACTGTATTGCATACTGTATTCTATACAATGTATCATTTGCATTTTGTGTGTTTGTCAGATGGGTGATGACTGGTACTTGGAGGGTTGTGAGCAGAAATGTGTGTGTCACAGTGGAGGTTTGATCCAGTGTCACAACAGCAGCTGTAAACCAGCCACTGAGAGCTGCCAGCTACAAGATGGAGAATATGAATGTCACCCTCTGGGTACGTTAAACACACACACATTACATTACTTTTACATTTACTCATTTGGCAGACGCTTTTATCCAAAGCAACTTACATTTGATGAACAACATACAAGGATCAACAAATCATCAATACAGCACGAGATCTACTAGTAGTACATACTAGTAAGAGCAGCAATAAATACTAGTAAGAGCTAACAGCACATATGACATCCATGGGATTACCTCGGGAAAGAAGTAAGAGTTAACAAAAAAGTGCAATCAATACAAGAGAATTGTAAGGGGATAGAAGAAGTAGAGCACAGGAAATGCATGTTAGAGGTTAGGGTTTAGAGGTGTCATCAATCATGACACACAAGTTTCTTATCACCCTGGTTGGAGTGATGGTTGAGGAGTCAGTTTGTAGTTTGATGTTATGGTGATTATGTGATTGTTTGGCTGGAATGACCACGAGGAAGTGAGAGGAAGATAATTGCCACAAAACATTGTAGGAACGCCCCGAGAGGCAAGATTCAAACCACAGGAGCGCTTTGCCTGAGATGCCCATTGCTGAGAGTGCAAATAGCAGGATCCTGTGGTTGACTGTCAAAGGCAATTTCTTAACTTAAGATCAGTGAAGCCTGTAGATGATCCTGTTTAAGTTTTGGGATCAGTTATGATTGAGAAATTAGAAAAGCAAGTCAAGCATATTTTTTTAAATATAATAAATTTAGTTACAAAATAAAATTTAGCTCATGTGGAGTTCCTCAGGGGTCATTTTTAGGCCCATTACTAAGGTAAGGAGCTTTTTATCCCAGGAGAATGCAGAAAAAAACTTTCATGTTTTTATTAACAATTGGCTAGTGGTTGTTCAAAAGACACCACAATCATATTCTGGGTTATTCAATACTGAATACACAATCAGAATATCAATAACTACACATGCAGATAATGAATACATATTAGAAGCATGACTGTTGCCGGTAGAAATTATCCTGTGCCTCTGAGTCTGTAGCAGAAAGTATGCAGAAATGGTGCAGGTTGAAGTGGATTTAAAGATTACTCCAATCCTTAAGAGTTGAACACTTGACATTTCATTCAGCAGCTTCACTCTATCAGTAAAATCAGATACACCAGAAAAGTCCACATAGACGCCACACAGCTAAATTCTTACCTCTTTTGTACAGGAAATGGTATGTGCTCAGTATCTGGTGATCCACATTACATCACCTTTGACAAACACGCCCACCATTACATGGGAGCCTGCTCCTACACCCTGACCAAATCCTGCAACATCTCATCCGGTGTGCCACACTTCACTGTGGACACCCAGAATGAGCAAAGAGGAAGCAATAAGATGGTTTCCTACGTCAGGGCTGTGGTGATCAATGTGAACGGTGTGACTGTCATCCTCGGCAAGGGCCGCACAGTCCAGGTATGTTACCTGACATGTTGGTTCTTTCACAGCAACTGCTACACTAAAGATTTAGTTTTGCTTGAGTAGTAATCTCTACTGTCCCCATCGCTGACTCTATGTACTACCAGCTTACATTTGAAGGGAGAGCTTGCTGTACAGCACCAAAGAGAAACAGGTGCTTGTAATATTTAGCACTGAAACGATTATAAATCGATTAGTCAGTTCACAAAAACAGAATCAGCAACAATTCTGATAATCAGTGTACTCTTTTGTCATCACTTTTGTGCAATAATGGCCAAAGATTCACTGGCCCTAGCTTCTTCTATGTGAATATTTACTGGTTTTCTTAGCCCTGTATAGTAGTAAATTGAATATCTTTGGATTTTGGACAAAACCAGACATTCAAAGAAATCATCTTGGAGCCTGAGAAATTGTGATGAACATTTTTGTTGTTAAATTGGGGGGCTGGAGAACAACCAGGAAAATTGTGTAGATGAAAATGAAATGAAAATATATTATTTTCACAGCAGACCAAAATTTTATTTACAGTTAATGTCCAAAAGACACCACGATCATATTCTGGGTTATTAAATACTGAATACACAATCAGACCATTTTGCCTTCAAACCGTCAAACACAGGTGTAACTAATAACATTATTCATTCTGCATTTCATTGCAATGATTCCTGGAACTGAGTCAAAATTAATGTTTTTAGTTACATCTTACAGTTACAGGTCTATCAGTCTCATCTGACAGGAAGTTTGGCAACCTCTGGTTTAAATGAATGGCTCCACCTACAGACACTGTCTGTCCTGTCTTCTTTGCACTCTCTGCCCATCATCAGAATAAATCTCTCTCTTCTCTTCAGGTCAATGGGACAGTGGTTGTCCCACCTGTCACCTCCATCAGTGGAGTTAAGATCTACTTGAGTGGCAAGTTTGTTGTCCTGGAAACGTCCTTCGGCCTGAGGGTGCGATTTGATGGTGACCACCACGCTGACGTCACTGTGCCCACCTCCTACAATGGTCTGCTCTGTGGCATGTGTGGTAAGAACCAGTATGATTTATTCATTTCCATTTCAGCAGGGATGAAAAGAGTACTAGAGTATTATAATCAAGTAAAAGTACTCAAAAAAAGTGTTTTTGCAAACAGCTGATTATCAATTCTTCTATGGTCAAAATGGCATTATGTGAACCTTGTGAGCCACAAAGTCCTTCACAATCTACCCAGATGTGTACGCACCCTCCAAACCCCACTGACACTCAGCCAATGAACGTAAACATGTAACATGTACATTTGTAGTGTCAGCTGAGGTGCAGACTGTCACCTCTCTGGACATCATACTCCTGAAACTGAAATTTGAAAGCATAAGTCTGACAACCAGAAGCCATTTTTCACAATAACTGATCCAATCAAAATGTTGTTGACAGTTACTTGGTTCATAGTTTAATACATGGTTCTCCAACCCAGAACTACCAGGCCAACCAAGATGCTATGCCAAAGGCAAACCTGAATGTCCTTTTCAGCATGTTGACTGATCACTCTTACCGTTTGTTGCCCCGGCAGGAAACTTCAATGGAAACCCCAAAGATGACAACTTGAAACCAGACAATACACCAGCTGCTAACACCAATGAACTGGGGGGCAGCTGGCAGGTTCCTGACCCCCGGCCAGAGTGAGTCACATCATAGAATACATAAATACAGAACTAGACTCTGTCAATCAAACATACTGACGTACCGGTAAATAGTGGCTTTATTTATTTCAGTAGCAAAGGGAACCAGGCCTTTATTTATATCATCCTTTTATTAGAGACAAACTACATTTTGTCTATGTTTACCTGTTTATAAATTTAGGAGACAGCACTATTGCACCTTGATATACAAGTTTATTCCATTTACCATTGAACTTTTAATGTGAAACATCTGCCCAGGAAATGTTACACTGGCAGCAGCTTGACAGGGAAACTAAAATAATTCATTAACGAAAAGGTATTCCTGTTAGATGGTAAGTACTTGGATAACACCTTTCTTAATTCCCTCAAAGCGCTACATGTCACATTCACCCACTGATGGCAGAGGCTTATCAGAAAGAAGCTAATCAAACTCACATAGCAATTTGGGGTTCAGTATCTTGCCCAAGGTCACTTTGACATGCAGACAGATTTTAAAAAACAGTAGGCCACTCCACAGGCCACCTTAGAGAATGGACACTCAAGGTGGCAGGCATTTACATTTTCTCTCAGTCGCTTTGGTGCATTTCGAAACTACTTGTTCAACCTCCACGTCATCTATTCACTTGTGCACATCATTAAAGCAATTTCTCATTCTTTTGAACAAATTGCAGATACTTTTACACACTGATACAAATGATTATGTACAATTGTCGGCTGTTTCCTACATTATCAATTGCTAATGTCATGCTAATCACAATGTATTATACCAGTCTCTGTTGTATAGTCTAACCCTTCAAAACATCTAGGCATAAGTTCATTGCATAAGTTGATAAATGCAAAATGATTGAACATGTTGTCATGCAAGTATAAAGCTGAACGAAATGTGGTTTCCTATGGACCATTAATAAAGTAAGAATAGACAACAACAAATCACAACATGACCATTCACCCACAATACTGTTTTATATGAATGATAATTTCAAAAGCGTTCCCAGTGGGTTCCCAGTGGTTTGCTCAGTTGGTAGAGGACAGGACTCACAGTCAAATAGTAGTGTGTTCAGTCCTTACTTAGGACCATGGTTTCCTTTTTTATCTTTTTATTATCATTTAAACAAAGACTGTTTCACATGCTCATGTGCTGGGCTGTGTGCATCCTGGCGACTGGCCCACATCCATCAACCTATGGACTTAACAGAAGTTGAATTTATAATCTTTGGATTACAAGTCCTGTGCTCTACCAAGTGAGCTAACTAGTGACACTAGAAATTTTATTGAAATTATCCTAACACATCTATCCTACACACCTGCCGTCGACTGTATACAGCTATTGTTTATTTTCTCAAACAAAAAATGATCCTGTTATTACAGGAAACCAACATTCATTATCTCGAGACAAGGTACTTATCCCGTTATCATGGGAAAATGGCGTAAAATAAATATTTTAATAATCTGAATTGTTAGTGAATGAAAACAGTTTGGAAGAGACCGAATTGTACGTTATGCAAAATTCAACTGGAGATACTTTTACCCACCCCTCAGGCTTTTATTTGTTAATGTTGGCCACGCCTTCTGGAATTTAAGACTTCACCATTATTCAAGGTCACCAAAAATATTTTATCCTCATGGAAGCTAGAGTATCTGCAACAAACTTTACAGTTATGTGACCAACATGTTTTGAGATAAAGTATGGTGCTCTGGATAAAAGGTTGGGTGGGCAGACTGACTATGTCATCTATGTATACACAAACATGCACACAACAAAAATCATCACTTTTTTTCCATTCTACCTCCACACCCCTTCTCCAGCTGTAGCAATGATGGAGGACAGGAAGACTGTAATAAAGAGGTGGAGGAGGAGGCCAAGAAGCCCACCAGCTGCGGCATGATCACTGATCCCAATGGTATGGCATGCACTCATGCACAACGAGTGCATTGTGTTGAGAAGTACACTCTCCAGACGTGCCACCTGCATATCCTAATAAATTGACCACTCATCATCATCATCATCATCATCATCATCATTATCACTGTCATCACAATCACAAACAGGCTACTATGCCTAAGGAACATACAGATCATCAACATCAATGCTAAAGTCATTTTTAAAAAGGCATATTTTAAGTATTACTGAGAGCGATGCTCTCTTTTTTTAAAGGAACACCCTGATCACATTCACACAGTTACACATTCATACGTGGAAGCTGTCCAGTACAACCACAGTCTGATGTGCCGGCCACTGAGCAGCTCCATTGGAGCAGTTGGGCCTCAGTAATCACCATTTCCTAAGGTTTCACAAATGACAGTCACACATTTATGATTGTTTGTGGGACCACAAAAAGGCTTTGGTTGGCCCTTGATAATAGCCTAACAGTAGCATGATGCCATTGTGAAAGTGATCATTGAGTAAAATGAGTTTGTCTGGAATTCACCTCCATCACATCTCTCTGTCTTTGACCTTGACTACAGGTATCTTTAAGCCCTGTCACTCTGTCGTGCCCCCTGAGCCATACTTTGGAAGCTGTGTGTACGACATGTGTGCCACTGGAGGTCAGATTGTGGCTTTGTGCCAGGCCATAGAAAGCTATGCTGACATGTGTGCTGCTGCAGGAGTCCCCATCGCATGGAGGAACAATACCTTCTGTCGTAAGTCTCTCTGTGTGCGTGCGGGTGTAGATAAAAAAGAGGATCTTTAGCATGTCATGTCATAACTACCAAGTTTATTAATGAAGCCATAATTTAGAGTATTTGATTGTTTTCTTGAAAAACCAGAACTATCACCAAGGATAGATCAATTTTATTTATATAGCGCCAAATCACAACAACAGTTATCTCATAGCGCTCATAAAAGAGCAGGTCTAGTCCGTACTCTGTGATATTATTTAGAGAAACCCAACAATTCCCACCAAGAGCAAGCACTAGGTGGAGCAAGCACTTCCTTTTAAGAGGCAGAAAGCTCAAGAGTTGGCAGCCATTTGCTTGAACTGTTGGGGGTGTGGGTTAGAGAATCAGAATCAGAAGGAGCTTTATTGCCAAGTAGTGTTTTACACATATGAGAAATTTGCTGTGCTACACGTAGACAAACATACAGTCAACATAAATAAATGTAGAAATATATAAAGCTGTAATGTTGTGTATTTTACAAAAAATGCTGCACACTACCCTTTTCCAAATGTCCTCTTCTCTCCAGCTCTGAAGTGCCCTACAGGCAGTCATTACAACTCATGCAGCACTGCCTGCCCCCAGCCCAGCTGTCAGGACCCTACGGGCCCCGGTGGCTCTTGCAACCAGCCCTGTGTAGAGGGATGCTTCTGTAACCCCGGCCTCGTCCTCAGCGGAGACAAATGTGTCCCACTCAGCGAGTGTGGATGTACTGATGGAGATGGAAAGTACAGGCCGGTAAGTGTGCTCAGTGGATCTCTGAAGGGGGATATTTTCCTGGCACTTTTGCAAGAAATAATGTTTGAACATGCATTGAACGTTTCTGTGTGTAGGTAGGAGACGCTTGGTTCACAGAGATGGATTGCTCAGAGCGCTGCAAGTGTAACGGTAACCATAACATCACCTGTGAGCCCTGGCAGTGCAGCCCAGCGCAGGAGTGTAAAGTTGTTGGAGGAGTACTGGACTGCCACTCCAAAGGTAAACTTAACAACTGGACTGGATGACTAATAGACCTGAATCTGTGTCAACAGTTAGAGAATAATTCTGATCCAATCATTTTATTATTTATTTTTTCATCTTTAAATATATCAAGACTGTTTGTTGTCATTTCAGTCTAACAAATATTTAATTTTATTACATTTTATTTAATTGGTTTTAACCTCATTTAGCCTCATTATTTTTACTGAATAATTTTTATCAATAGCTTGCTGGTCTATATACACACATTATTCACATATATATGTATATATATATATATATATATACACACATTATACACATATATATATATATATACACACACATGTATATATATATATATATATATAGCCCACCTCACCCATCATACATCTTCACATCTGATTACATTATCCTTAACATTAATCAAACCACAGTGATTGATCGCAATATTAGTTCACCTTTATTACATTACCTTTGGCCCGCGGCCAGATTGCTTTCATAGCAGAACTTTTTTTTTTTTATTGATAACGGCTTGTGCTAAAATAGATCTCAGTCATGACAGCAACAGTTACTCACATAACCACTTCCTCTTAAGTGATTGTGCCTCTAAAATAAAAGCGCAAGAACGTATTTTGCAGCAATGCTTCATGTCGAGTTTTATTAAGAGCTTCAAATTCAAAAGAGTCTCTGGCCAGCTTGACACACCTCTGAAAAAGCAGTCAGTAAACGTGTGATTTGATTCCTCTGAATTTTCTTAGGGAAATGCAAATAAGTGTCCATAGGTTTACGAATGCGGATCAAACAGTGGAACGCACACACACTGCAGCACATGCTTTATGTGAGCATGTGCAAAAGAAAAAAATTTCCGCAATAAGATGGAATCGATCTCTCAACCTACACCAACTGAGCTAAACGAGCACATAATTTCATTTAGTTTGTTCTGTTCTGTTTGGGAAAATTTGGCCGGATGCCAGACTTATTTACCGACCCCTGTAATAGAATATGCACTATGTTCTCCATTTTTCATCAACCAATTAATTTTCTTTCTGTTGTACAGAACCATGTCCTCCTGATGCAGAGTATATAGATTGTGGTCCAGCCTGTATCCCCACTTGTATGGAGCCCTCCACCAACTGTTCTGGATCCTGTATCAGTGGCTGCTTTTGTAAACCAGGGTTTGTCTTCAAGGGACGACGCTGTATGCCACTTGAGAAATGTGGCTGTCTGGATGGCCAGAATAACTATTATGAGGTCAGATATCCTAGTTCATATACCCATGTGCATACATTCCTGCGTAGAAAATGTGTAGATCTAGTGACATACAATACAACTTGCCAGTATTGATCCTTTCTTAAATTTTGTTTCAGCCTGGCGAGATTGTATTTGGTGATGGCTGCTCAAAGCTGTGCCGCTGTGTAGGGAACTACACTTTGGAATGTATTGATAACTCCTGTGACCCCACTGAAGAGTGCCGCGAGGTTAATGGTGTTGCAGGCTGCTATCCTAAAGGTAATATTGTTTGGTACAAGGTACAAGGTTGTTTATTAGTCATTATACAGCACAAGGCTGATTAACGAAACGAAATTTGTAGTTCCTTCGTGCTACACACACAACATATAATTAAGTGTAGGCCTATATTAACATATGGTAACATTTACAATAAAATAAAACAATACAGTTATTTATATACATATATACATACACGTATACACCCCGACAGGGCTGGACTGGGACAAAAAATTGGCCTTGGCATTTTTGGCCGAGGCGGACCACCAAAATCCATCCGACACCCCTCACCAATAGCCTACACCATCGATCCATTTAGGGGGTCAGATAAGGGGTGTGATGAAATACTGAGATGTAACATTTGCACAAGATTGGTGTGCATGATTACAAGACAAAAATATATTGTAATAGACCTACAATTTTGAAACAATATTTATAGATGAAATATTTGAAAGTGGGGTCAGATGGTCTTCCCCCATAAGATTTTGAGCATTAAACACTTAATTTCCTGCATTCTGGAGACATTTTCTGTTCCATTTTATGGTGGAAAAGTCTTTATTTTTATAAAGGGAATCACAAAATTCACGTGGCAGGTGACAATTCACAATATAAAAATATAATAAAATAGAATGCAGTAATCAGTAGCTTATTATTATTTTTGGCTTAAGTTACTTTTTAGGACAATGCAGATGTTTCTTTTATATTTACATTGCATTGCAGGTTTATAATGGTGCAAATAAACCTTTCTCATAGCATTTTTATTTGTTAATCAACATTTCTTGCTGCAAGCTATTTTCAGAATATTTTTAACAAATGCTTTCAAAAAGTGGTAGCTACATGTCCCCAGCGTCCCTTGTGTTAATGACCCTCCGTCCCTGCTCCCTCCCTACAGGTTGAGCTACTCCATGCTAACCGCTTCACCTCCACTCTCTTGCTGCTTTCTCACTCAGCCCTGTCACTTTGTCACTCGTTAACACACTTCATCTTCACAATAAACCATCTGACACTTGGGAAACAGAGTCCATCTTGACTGCGTTTGTGCACCAAGCATCATCGATATAAAACACAGAGTCCACCTCCTCTAATTTTGCCAGAGTCTTGTGCTGACAGCTCAGAACATGGACCACCTGCCGAGTGCTTGGACCGGGATGTTGAAGGGGCAGGTCTCTGTAATGATGTGGGCAATTCCGTTGTTTGGTCAACATGAGTCCCATTTTGTCCAGAATGGATTTTTAGGAGCAAAATTAAGTCCAAGCTGGGCCAGCATGGCTCCTCTCCTGGCTCTCTTTCCTCTCCTCTGAGCGATCACCGCACCCGCCGTGACACCTGGTCCCATAGTTTGGGCTGGCTGCATCTTGGTCTGCTGCTCTTTAATGAAATAACCCCGTCTTAATTTTACAATGTATTTATGTCAGAGGTAACGCATGTTATGGCAATAAATGGTACGTTGTCAAGTAATTGGTACTAGCAACTCAAAACGATCTAGCTTGAACAATATGTTATCCAGCTACATCTGAAGTGTTTAGAACTGCTCCTAACAGCCACACTCAAAAGTCTGTCTTCATAGAGAGTGGCGAGACTGGACAGTTGTTGTAATGGGGGTAACGGTGCGTACAGTGGGCATGTTTCTCCCCCTTGGTCCACACCAAATGACAACAAAAACTACAAGTATGAAAGCACCCTAAAAAGTGTTGGTGTAAAAGCAATATTGTTCAGACTAGTGAAACATATTTGTAACAAAATACCTGCTAACTGACAGTTTATCATTTGCTATTCTCTTAGGTACATCCACATGCATAGTGTCTAGTGATCCCCACTACACCACCTTTGACAAACGCCAGTACAACTTTATGGGCAACTGCAGCTATTTGATGTCTAAACCGTGCAATGAAACATCTCTGCCATACTTTGAGGTCCACGCTGACAATGAAAACCGCTACAACAATCCCTCCATCTCCTATGTGAAGGCTGTACATGTATATGTCCACATGGTGAAGATCTCCATCCTCAAAGGTGGCACTGTACAAGTAAGACATTGGTGGCAGGATGACAACAATCATACTATTGTCATATCTATGACATATCTACAAGCTGTTGTTCAGAAATCACTTGTATTCTCTGCAGAAAATGCACCTTTGGAGTTGGTGAAGCCATTCTAACTTTGAAGTGTAAGATTCTATACACAGAGTGACTGTTTCTGTTTCCTCAGTAATCACTCATTATGTTATTTACATTTTTTCCCCATTCAGGTTAATGGGACCAACGTAAACCTTCCAGTGACTCCGGCCCCTGGTGTCTCTGTGTTCAAGTCAGGAAAGCACCACACTGTGTCCATGAACTTTGGTGTGACTGTGCGCTATGATGGAAACCACTTTATGGACATCAAAATGATCAAAGAGTGAGACAGAATTCTATTTTTAATGTATACGTTTTAGAATGATGTTGAAAATAATAATATTTTACTTTAATGAAGCAAAACTCACAGAATCAGTGAAAAACACCTGGTTAGAATGAAAACAAGTCACAAACTCTTGGAAATGGTTGAGAAGTGGCGAGATGTATCTCGAATTGAATTGTTGCTCTCAATTCCACAAATCACTGACTTGCAGATTTTCTTGTAATCTGCAGCTATCAGAAGAAGCTTTGTGGACTGTGTGGAGATTACAATAAAGATGCCAAAGATGATTTCCGTAAACCAGATGGATTGTTAACCAACAATGCCAATGACTTTGGAAACAGCTGGAACACTGATCCAGAGTGAGTATCACACACGTCTACAGACACCCACATACTCACTTTCAGAACGTTATCTGACCACCAACCTCCCTATCTCTGTAGATATCAAATAAATGTAAAGGGTTACTTCACCCAAATCACATGAAAAGATGTTTTTGCAGTTAAAAATACCCCAGAAAGTAGCTGAAATTACCTCTGTGAAATTGTGAATAGAAGCAGGATGAAATAACATTTCACAATAATGAGCTTTTGGAAGAATCTGTATGAATGTAAGAATGTATGTTTTGGAATATTTATCAATGTGTGATGTCTTTTGTTATGATTATTAATGTCATAATGTATTTTAGATTTTTGTAATATTGTGTACTTTAGGTATCCATATTTACATACAAATAGGTATAGATCAATTTTCCTTTATTGTAATTAAAAGGGATGAAAACAAACCAACACACAGAGCTTCTCTAACTGACTGTCTGCGTTGACAGGTGTAATAAGAAACCCAACACCACCATCCCTGAGTGTAATGAAGAAAAGCAGGAACTGTATGAGAGCTCTGGATACTGCGGCATCCTGCTGGACAAAAAGGGTCCCTTCGCTGTCTGCCACCCAAAAGTCAACCCCAATGTAGGTCAAAACACACACATTCATTCACACACATGCACACGTGTGGTTGATGTGACTTAGTGGTAGAGTGGGTTGCTCACTAATCGTAAGCATGGCAGGTTGAACGTTGGCTCCTTCCCACTCCACCTTGCTGAATCCTGCAGGGAGCAAGGTGGAGTGCAAGGAAGGAGGTCTGTCAGATCAGCAGGGGATATTTTATGGAGAGCTTTGAATGTTACAATATTTTAATCATTTGTGACAAAGGGTAATTCTGACTTTGTCTGCAAGGCAGGAGGCAAAGTACTGACATGTCCCCACTTGCAATGTTAGCCAGAGGCACGGGAGCATCTGCCGTCAGTGGCTGAATGTGACATGTAGTGTACGCTGCTTTGAAGTACATTCCATTACAAATACTCACATATAGAGGACACACAAATATAAAGCAGTTAGGTCTTTTGATGTTGAAAGAATTCTACTCTATTGCAAAAGTCTTTATTGGATTATTGAGTTAATTATGGATTGACAAACAAGCTCCTAATGGCACTCCACGAGAGAGAGATAAGGTAAAGAGAAAGAATAAAGCATTGTAGCTCAACAAACTATGTGTGTGTTTTCAGAATTACTTCAGGGACTGTGTCTTTGACCTGTGTGAGTTGGGTGGAGCCAAGCCCATTCTGTGTGAAGCCATCGAAGCCTACGTCAATGAATGCCAGGACCGTGGGGTCAACATTGGACCTTGGAGGAATGAAACCTTCTGCCGTGAGTGTTGGGTGGAGAAATGATAAGTGGATGAAGGAATATAGGGAGGGTTAATGGAAGCAACTAGGGAGCTGCTTCCCAAGGGTCAGTAAGGTTTCTTAATTGATCAAGCATCTCAGAGTAGGAAATCTCCCAACTGACCAAAAATTCGCACATATGAAGAATTTGCTTTGCTGATAAGGTGCTACACCCAGACAAATGTACAGGTGACATAAATAAATGGATGGAATAAACAAATGTAAGTTATATAAGAATAATAATAAAATAATAGATAGATATAATAACTATTACATGTGCATTACTCCGGTGTGTGTTGTGCAGATGTATTGCAACGGAAGAGAAAGTTGTGTAAATATATAAATTGACAATACAAAAATATAGAACAACGATTAACAACACATTTGTGCAATGAGCCAGGTTTGAGCATTATATGAAATGAATTAAAAGTTAGACGTGCAGAGACATTTGCATTATTCAGCCAGCATTGTTCAGCCAGAGTCCATGCAAGGAGAGATGTTTTAGATTCTGTGTACCATTTTTTATATAGTCTGTCTGTCTTTTATGTGGCAGAAGGGAGTTACAAACTCAATTTCACTCTATAACCTGTTATATTGTGACAAAATAAATCTACCTACCTACCTACTCTATGTCTACAACATCACTAACCTCAGCCTTCCATCCTCTCCTTAGCGCTGAGCTGCCCCCCCAACAGCCACTACGAGCCTTGTGCAGACCCCTGTCAAGAGACATGTTCTGGGAAACCTCCCTCCTGCGGTGGGCCCTGCTCGGAGGCCTGTGTGTGTAATCCTGGCTACATCCTGAGTGCCGGCAAGTGCGTCAAGAAGAGTTTGTGTGGTTGCAAACACACCAACGGCCAGTACTATGAGGTACAGTCAAGATGGTCTGATAAGCCACCAGGGGATAACGTGTCTGCTTGTGTGCTTGTATTTCTATCTTTGCTAGGACCGTTTTTAGTTTTAAGCCATCAAAGAGAGAACATTTTGGCATGATGAGACATTTTGTGCCGTCTTCATTACTACTGTTAATAGAGAAGGCACTGAGCTCACACCAGCTCTTGAGTATGTTTGAGATATGTTGACTGCTTAGCTGAGTCTCCCATCTGCATAAGACCAGCAGCAACCACCATGTCATCAGCATATTTATACAATTGATATTGAACATTCACTGAGAGATGCTGAAAGATGATTGACTGTCACCCTTTCCCTACATTTACATAAAATGCTTGTCAATGTGACTGGTCTGAAATCATTGAGCTCTGTTGCTCTGTGGCTTCTTAGGAACAGGAAAAATATTGGAGAATTTTGATATTTTGGGAACAGAATTTTCATTTAATAAAAGCTGGAATAATTTTGTGACTACTGTTTTGAGCTGAAACCTACACAATTTGATCATTCAATTCATATTTATAACTCAAGACAACCTTTGATTTAAGCCTTCCCCTGCTAACACAGTTTTTGTGTGTGTGTGTGTGTGTCAGCCTGGACAGGAGTTTTATGTTGAGGACTGTAAGCTGAAGTGTAGGTGTGATGTTCCCTTCGTCACCTGTGTGGCCTCTGAATGTGACCCAATGCACGAGTGTAAACTCCAGGATGGAATACTGGGCTGCCATCCCACCAGTAAGTTTACACCCACAGCAATACTTGCCAAGCAGTAAATAAACTGAATATAAATTAAACTGCAGCTAGCGTAGCATACAGAGTGACATGCTATTGCTACAGCTTATCAGAAAATGTATTGTCCAGATCCAAAATGCATTTCACTCATGAATTTAATATAAAGCACAAACATATTGTGGTAGATGTTGATCACTGTTAGTGAGTAAGTGGGGCTTTATATTAGACACCAAAACGTATTTTACCTTTTGTCTACATGGACGATTCAAAATTTCAAACCACCAAAATCCCAACAAGGGAGCAGTGGGAATGTGTTTTCTCAAAAAGAGCCTCTGCTTCGTCCTTTGCCAAAGTCCAGATCCCACGTACAGGCTGTGCCAACAGCTTCTTTAACTCAATACAAACTCCCATTGAGGTTTCTTTGATAGGTCTTCATGAAAAACTGAAATTTATTCCAAGCGTTTCTAAGATAAATGAGTATCTGCCACAGGACCTTAGTATTTTGTTAACTTAAACAATGAGTCGAGGCCTTCCTCTCCTGCAGCGGCCACTCAGCTGACCTTAATCAGTCAGTGATGTTCAACCTATAAAGATCTTGGGCTTATTGGGAAACCACTAAAACCAGAAATAAAAGAGGTTTTAAAAGAGGTTTATGCACTTCTGGAAGAGAACCTGGATGTTCTGGTCTCCCATCAGCTCTTGGTAAGGCTGAAATATGATACTCTGTTGCACTGGAGAGTCAGTTTTTTGTATTACCACCCAATACATCTCCTTAATGCAAGTGAAGCAATGTTAACAAAATAAGTATTCTGTTTCTTTGTGAAATGATGAGGTGCTCAATTTTCACTCCAGTAATTGGTTATTGATTAAAACCCATGTAGCTTTCCCAGGAAGCTTGTGGAAATCAGGACAACTCAGAAGTGGTTCTGCTTTCAATAACAGTAAAACATATTTGCATGGTCATACTCTGCTTGACAAAGTCTCTTTATCTCCCTAAAATACCTTTGAATTTCCTGAGACAATTTTTCATTCACAGTGTGTGAAATGTTGCATTATTTCAGTAATCTAACTAATAGAACTGAGTTTATGGAAGTAACATAAAGCTCTGTCAACTTTAAAATATCTAAAGAGAAAATCTGTCAGATGTATCTGTCATATAATGCCCATGTAAGTCAAAAGCAGAAGATAGCTGAACTGTCCTTGTTTCAGAGTTTAGGAAAACAGTCTGCTCGCAGCATAGTGTGAACATTGAGCCGAGGCCTTTAGCAAGGCAGTAATTGTATCAAGGTCAAACGGCCAGTGCCGTAGATTCCCTGGAGTGTGGCTGTAATGCCCCACTCTAAAATGAACTGCCCACACAGCTAACATCAGTTTGGCTAGACGTGTTTTGAACTGCCCGTGTGCCCTTAAAAGAAAGTTGCAGATTTCCTCACTTACACTAAATGTGACACAGCAAATAAACTCTCATTTCCGAGTGTCTCTGTCATCACGCTGGATATATGGGTTAACATTAACAGTAAACATTAGCAGCTAACCCGCTACCTGAAATTAGCTAACAATTAACAACAGCACAAACAGCTAAACATGTGCAGTGTAAATATTAATTCACTTGTTTTAAAGTTTACCAGGATATTGCTGCATAATGTTAGCCAACTATATACAAGAATAGAGTTTATTACTTGTTGTGAGATCTGTCAGGTTGCTACTTTTTTATTGTGATGCCACCAAAGGAACACACATATGGTATTTCTTCCCTTATAATGCTAAAGTTACACTGTGAACAACAAATCTGTGTTGAAATCATAGAAATAAACAAACTAAACATCGCTGTCAAAAAATCTTGACATCTGTGCATATATCTCTTCAGGACCAAAAGGACAGCAGCAAACTGGCTAGTTATTTGCTGGAAGACTCCTCAAACTGTCACATGACATAAATTAACAGTGTTATGAGTTGATTTAATTCAGTGTGTTTCTGATCCACCAACCAGCTTGTGAGAAATAGTGAGAAATCTTAATTTCTGAAACGATTTGCCTCTTCTCCCATTGCAATAGCACACCTAACCAATGGAGGCTGGTAGCAAACTGAGTCATTTTTGTGACTGCTCCTATGATTTCAGACTCAAATGCTAATAGTGTTGAAACTTTTCCAGGCCTGTAACTGTTAGCTCAGCTGTGTTGTAGTCTAATGTTCTTGTGGTAGTCACACTGCTTGTCCTTCTCTCTCAGGCTCTCAGGACTGTGTGGTGTCTGGAGATCCGCACTACAACACATTTGACAAGAAATTCTACAGCTTCATGGGAACATGTACCTACACACTTGCCAGAAACTGCAAGAACAGCACAGGTAGGAACAGGTTTAGACACTGAGAATTGTCTTTCATTTTCATTGCACCTGAACAGATTTTCAACCATTTAAAACTTTTGAACACTGTTTTCACTGCTGCTACAAATTCAACCATTCTTCACCAAATTGGCTAAAGGAAAGTGTTTTTCTTATGTTTTTTTTTATGTGAATTGCTGCAAAATGCCCAACCTGCCACAACTCTTAATTACATTGTCCACATTTAGATGACACATGCATATATTTACTTCAAGTGATCACGTAAAACATGATGTCTTTACACCAGGAGGTGGCACTATGAACATATAACCATAGTAGACATTAGTCTAACTCATACAACTTTTTGCACATTTCATCCATGTATAAATCCAGAAACACTATTTTCTGATGAAGGCACATTTGGTGGTTCGTGGTAGAGCCTGACTGATTTCGATATTTGAGGATTTAAAAACTTGATATGCCGATATATCAGCTGATATGCTTTTCAAAAACACATAATATAAACAAAGATTTGATTTATGAGACCTCATTAAGATAATAAAATGTTGAGCAAAAGTACAACAAAATATTTTAAAGTTTTGAAAATAAGAGTCAAAACTACAAAAAAGATTTAACTACTAGTATTACTACTACTGAGTATTAAAAAAATTGTGTATGTAGCTTATTGTGCGGGACTGCCAAACAGAAACTATAAATAAAAAATATGAATGTACTACTACTAGTACTAACAATAATAATACCATACAGTACTCAAGTCATTACAATTATTAAATTACATTTTATGATAAACAGTAGGGTTGGGCCGATATACGATGCCATCGGCCATCACAACGTTGAGCAGGCATCGTGATTGTAAACCCCACCACCCCCCTGCCAAAGAATCTGGATGTTTCACATTATACCACCACGTGAAAGCAGGTTTTAAACACAACAAACATATAAACTTTAAATATGCTTCGCTCATTCCTCAGATTTTTCTCCCCCCCCCACACTCAGACACACAGACACACAAGAGGCCTAGACGTCAGGTAAACACATCGACTTGCCCCACCTCTCTCTACTGTATGAAGGCGCCTAAAAGACACAGAACTCGTCTTTTTTCTGTATTTCTCCACCCGTGATCCGTTATCACTGCCGCAGGTGAGCCGCTTGTGGGCTTGTTAATGACGCAGCCTATCAAACAACCGAAACCAACATCTGAACTCTGAGTGTTCAATGCTGCTTTAGCTGGTCTGTGCTTGTAAAATATCCACCGCGACTTATAACATCATGTAGACATTGTCCTATGGAAATTTTGTAGACATGGCCCAACCCTAAAACACAGCTCTCCTACATATGCGATATATTTTTTTGTCATGCAGTAGTTATTACCTTACACATAATCTGTCACAATGACTATTTTCAATGTAGCACATTCACATTACGTCATCCCTTTTCCAGCACGCTTTTAATTCTGTCCAAAGATACGAGAATCTTTCAACCACCATCTATGATACAGTGACCCAGAGGAAACGCTGTTCTTGAATGCATCTAATACTACATGACTGTTTACAAGGACCTGCGACTGTGAGATTTCACACTAACGTTGCACATTTGAAAGGGGAGCTAGATCCCTTTGTTTGGCAGGAAGTCATGTTAGATACTTGTTCAGCTCACGTTTATTTACATGTCCCTCTAGTTTCATTTCCGACGCACTGACTGTAACTACAGACAAGCGGGTCGCAGATATACTGTATTTAGAATCCATTAAACACCATAGTTTAACCGCTGACTAATGTTAGCGCTCTTCCACTGAACATGCCATTAGCTTTGTGCAAATCTAATTTAGCAAAAAAATATTTCAGAAATAAATCAACAATCAAGTCTGTCAACAGCATAGCCTCCACCGCTGACCTACTGAAACATTAACCCGCTACAGTAGAACAACCTGTCATAGCCCAAGCCATGCTGGACTGGAGGCTGAAACAATAAAATCTGATAAGATAATATCAGCCAACATATTTTTATTTATTTATATCATATCTTTGGTTATTTATGGTGTTCTGCTCCGTGTGCAGGTCCCTGGTTCTCAGTGGAGGGGAAGAATGAAGAAAGAGGAGTGTCAGGTGTGTCCTACCTGAGGAAACTCTACGTCACAGTGAATGGAATCACTGTGATTCTGATGAAGGCCAGGAAGACACTGGTCAGTATGGACAACATTAGACATAGATAGTAAATCATAAATCATATTTTCATTGTCATCGCAATATCAACATGCATAATTAACACATCGCAAAAGAAAGACAATGAATAAGAAAAATCTTTTTATTTACATACATACTGGGTGTATTTATTTATAATCTGCTCTATCTTTTCCAACTTTTTGAACACATATATGGTAATATATGTAGCAGGGCGCACATTGCTAGTACACAACAAAATTGGAGGAGGAGGAGGACAGGAGGAAGGACTGATATGGACCAGAGTTTTAAATTCTTTCTAAACATCACTCAGTATTTTGATGTCAGGAAAATTATTTATTTTAGACATTTTAGATTTATTGCCACTGAGACATTATTGAGTTTATGTAATGACCTAGCATTTTTAAACTTTACTGTTGCTGCTCTAGAAACATTTAGTTATATGTATATTTTTTAATTTATTATATATATATATTCTTATTATTCTTATTATGCTTATTATTATTATTATTATTGTAATCCTGTTGACAACCAGGCAGCCAGTATATACACTTCAATATTTCTTTATTTGTCACAAGTCATTTCATCATTGCAATATAGAACAATGTTTTTGCACAGATTTTCCTCATATTGTGGCCTAAATTGCATCCAGCTGCAACATCCTCACCGCACTTTTATGAGTGTAAAACAACTGTAACTGTACCTGTAGCTTCTGTTTAACTTTGTTTTTGTGTTTCCTTCTCTCCGGCAGGTGAACGGACTGCGGGTGGCCCTCCCTCACTCCCCCTCTCCTCTCATCTCTCTCAGTCTGGCCGGTCAGTATATTACCCTGCAGACGCCCTTTGGCCTCCAGGTGCGCTGGGATGGAAACCATTATGCCCGAATCTCAGTTCCCAGGTTGGTATAGAGGTTCCTTCCTCTCCAGGTATTTTGATAATTTAAAAATGGCTGCTGTTTGAATAAAATGAACAATGTTTTGATATAAGATTTCCTTGGCTGCTTGCATAGATGTGATTTTTCTTTTTCTTTGGAAAATTGTAAGTAAATGTTTCTATCATTTTCTATCTTTTCACTGATAATTCGGCTTTGATTAATTCAAGTTTTGGAGAAAGTATAAGGCAACATAGAAGAAAGAGATATAAGAGAACACTGTAATAGCTAATAACACTGATGCAGGAGCGTAGGCCATCTACTAACCTGCTGCCATCTCCTCCAACATCGGCTGATTATTGCCGCTTTCAGTGGGTGAAAACTTCTCCATTGTTCCATCACTCCTACTACAAGGTATACTCTTGCGGCAGCCATCTAGCTGTCCCCGTCCGGTTTGGCCTCAAGCCTAGGACTGATACATCTGCAGTTGGTAGCTAGCTGTCAGCTGCCTCCAGCTAGTCCTCCGTGCCTCACGCACCCCACTGCCATGATATGGACCATCTCACTGTGCAGTCTTCTCTTTGTTTGGCTAACGGCTAGCTCCAGGCTAACACTTTCGGCGACCAGCATAAAGCTCAAGTACTCTATCCCGCAGCTGCTAAATCTCAACAACCACACCATTCCAACGTGCATTGCAGTCATCATAGATCTTCGACATATGCGCCTACGTCGTTACATCCCATAGAGGTTCCCGTCAAAAGTTTGTTTACCATAAATTGCTTGGTCACTCTGCTTCAACCATTCCATCAATCTAGACAACTGTTGCACGTGTGCCGCGTCAAGAAGTGACGCTCTCGGTGCTAGTAACACGGGAAACACAGTGAGATCTCTGCACACCAAGCAGGCCAGAAAACATGGAGTGGATTCCAGTGTACTACGGCCTCTACAAAGAATAACCCCAGCATCATTGCTCAAAATAGAACTGCTTAATACACAGTCCCTCACAAATTAAGCATCCTTCATACAAGACCACATAATGGAAGTGGGATTAGACTTTTTGTGCCTAAGAGAAACATGGTACCAGCCAGGGGTTTAGTCAGTGTTTAATGAAGTCTGTCCCCCCAGGTTACAGCTATCTGGAAAAAGCCAGTATTGGGGCCTAGCTGTAATACAGAGACAGAACTTGGAGCTATCCCCCCCTCCCTCTGCCTACACTGTCCTCATCTGAATGCCTTGCATTAAAATGTAAACACTCAGCCCCCCGGTACACAAACTATGCGAACTATGGAAGAAGAAAACAGCTGGGTGTGTCCTTGAGTGGCACCTCAAGGCCTCAGGACTCACTGTTCATAGGCAAGCCTACAGAGAGCATCAGAAGTCCTATGCAAGGTCCTTGAGAGATGCACAGTCACGGTTCTACTCCACACATCATCAACAATAGCCCTTACAACTCCAAGCAACTTTTCTCCACTATAAATTACATCCTCAAACCTCAAACTCACTGTCATTCAGAAGCCAAGAGGAGAGGTGCAACAACTTCTTCACTTTTTTCTGGAAAACCGTAGACACCATCCTCTCCCTCATATCCAGCTTCTCCACCCTCCCTGTCCCAACTTCCAACCCGCAGCCTTGGATTTCCCAGGCTGCTGTTTTTCTGACATCTCACAGCAAGAGGTTGAGGACATCATCAAAAAGATGAAAACCTCCACCTGTGCCCTGGACCCCTTCCCCATAGCCCTTGTAAAATCCAACATCCATGCCTTAAGTCCACTGATCACTAAGGTCATTAACCACTGCCTCCAGGCTGACTTTGTTCTGTCGATCGCTAAATCCCTGGCACACTACGTCACCTGTGGTGTCCCTCAAGGCTTAATGCTCGGCCCCACCCTGCTTATTCTCTACATGCTCTCCCTTGGTGTAGTCAACTATCGTGGACTTCACTTCAGTTCATGCCCCCCAGAGTGTACACTCAACTATAGAGGTATATATATGTAAGAAATCAGCTGGGCATCTATGCAAGTTGTAGTTCAAAGGTCATAGTGATATTTTTGATAACTCTACCCAGCATTCCTAATACTTTGGTTATGTATCTTCCTTTGATGATGCCCTGATTAATGATATCAGATGAAGACATTTCTGCATTCTGTCACTTTGCCAAACAGTGTTTGACCATTTAAATCTTCTTAAGACGTTCCTCTTCATCTCTTAATCCCGTACTCTCTTCGTCTTTGTCCCTCCAGCTCCTACTACAACCAGACGTGTGGTCTCTGTGGTGACTATGACGGGAACCCAGACAATGACTTCACCAAACCAGATGGCACTCTGGTAGGAAATGTCAATAACTTCGGGAACAGCTGGCAGACAGAAGAGGATGAGGATGACACGTGAGTTTACACGCATTCACCTTTCTGCTGTGTTATGAGAATTTATGGATTCCCTTCAAACTCTCTTGAAGGCTCATGTATGGACTCTATAAAGGCTGCCTGTATTCAGTTACTAATAGTTTAGGAAAGTTGTCTGTGGCTCATCAGGTAGAGCAGCTTGCCTGTTAATCGGCGCTTGCATGTCGAAGTGTCCTTGGGCAAGATACTGAACCCTGAATTGCCAACGTTTGCTGTTCCATCAGTGTGTGTTAGGGAATGTGATGTAGTGTAAAAGCACTTTGACTGGTCGGAGGACTAGAAAGGTCGTTGGAGTCACCCGAGGCCAAGTGTGAACGACATCTTCACATGACGCCAGAAGAGAACGTTTGTTTAGTTTCCTGAGAAGTGATGAAAGGACAGCAATATAAGTAGAGCCCGACCTATATGCAATTTTTAAGTCCGATACCGATTTCGATATTTGAGGATTTTAAAATCCGATAGCCGATATATCGGCTGATACTTTTTCCCCCTTATTTTAGGAAACGCATGACATAAACAAAGATTATCCCTAAAGGTTTGTTATGTTAAGACCTCACTAAGACACCATGACATAATGCAGTATAAATAGAAACTTTTTTTGTTATAAATAGTACTTTGAACAAAAGTACAACAAAATATATTAAAATTTTGATAAATAAGAGTAAAATGTATGTAATAAGTGTAATGTAATAATGTAGTATTGAACATTAAAGTAAATAGTGTATTGTGGGGGCCAGCAAAACAAACTATAAAAAATGCCTATATACTACTACTGCTACTTCTACTATTAATAATACCATATATCATATCTCATGTCATTGCTATAATAATAATTATAAACAGGGCTCTCCTATATAGGCCAACAATTATGTATATATTTTTTGGCATGCAGTAGTTATTAGTTTACATATAATCTGTCACAATGACTAATTTTTACTATGTAGCGTGTTCACATCTAGTTTATCCCTTTAACAGCGCTGTTAATTCTAGCCAAAGCTACGAGAAACCATTTCCTAATTGCGCTCTAAAACATGCCGTCTATGGTACAGTGACCCAGAGGATCCATTAACGTTAAACCGCCACTGACCGGTGTTGTGCCAAGGTAAGTGTTCCTGATAGAAAGTGTTCCCCCTGCCACGTGAGCGTACGTGCAAGTGCATTCAACAGTGAAGGGGGACTTACGACTTCACGAAAGTGAATGAAAAATATCCATCGTTTTAGCATTGTTTAATCAACAAGGTTTTTGCAGAGCAAGCTAGCATGCGGATTATAAGAAAGCTTTTAGATGCTAATGTTAACGTTTCGTGTTATTGAACTTCGTATTATTCATTGCCCTCATAAAGCAAACATTTATTTTGCGATAGTCTGACTGTGTTATAACTGAGCACGTAGTTGATCACTTAGTCATCCATGTTACTATTTGGAAGCTAGATCCAGACACTGAGAGAGTGTGAGAGCTACCAGGAGCTACTCACCGTAGCTCTGGTAGAGCTGCAGATCGCCCTCTGGTGGGGAAACTATGCAACACTCATGACCTGAGGGAAGGATCCGACTGTCTGTTTCTTTTTTAATAGTCATATATCGGCTGTTATAAACGCCTGCAAATAGCTTATATCTGCCCATAATATCTGCAAAAGGATGGATCGATCAGGCTCTATTTATAATTGGGGGATAAGTGGTGTCACATTCCTCACTGCGTTGGACAGCATACACTAGGTTGCTCTTCTTGTGTTTGGGTGTGTGGTCTTTAGGGTGGACCAGTATCTGTATTAGCGTGTTCTTGAGTTTAAAAACCACTGGGATGTCTTGTTTGTTGAAAATCCTCCTGAGTTAATGTGATACTCCAAAAAAAATGTCAAATGATTTGTTAATATAATGTCACAGGTTACATAAATACTGTCTAAATTCTTCCTGCAATAATTCTTGAGTATAAATTAGACTGAACAGACTGTTGATTTCAGAAATTGAATGTGACCCTCTTGTTGTGTTTGTATTGATCAGGTGTACCCCAGGCGCCAAGCCTGACCCAGACTGTGACCCCAAACTTGAGGCTGAGGTGGTGAAGCCAGACAAATGCGGCAAAATCAAGGACCCTGCTGGACCCTTCAGGTCAGCTTCATTTTCTAATTATTGGTCCAACTAAGATAAGAAAAAACCTTTGTTTGTCCCACACTGGGGAAATTGCGGTTTCCAGAGAAGAACTGTTCTACTTTTTCTCAGATACAGATTCAGAATCTGAACAAACTTGTTTTACTCTAACAGGAAATATTTTTAAATATTTTACTACTTTCAAATTCTCCTGTAGTTTTCTATTTTCTAATTTGATTTTCATCCCTGCTGAGTCAACACAGACGTAGGCATTAAATGTGCATGTGGAACCAATTCAAATCAATGAATTAGTTCATTTGAATTCATTAATAACCCCTGGACTGAATAGTTCCTAAAACTAGGATTACTCCAAGCGAAAGAGAATATGGAAAAACTACTTAGCAGTAATTGAAAACAAAGTTGGCCGAAGCACTTTACCACATAAGAGACATATAGTTACTGGAGGAGAGACTGTTACACAGAAATCATACACAAGTGTCTCTAAATCACTCCATAACGCAGATGGTAGTATCTTTAAAAAGATACAAAGATTATCTAACTCTAACTAACTATAGCTTGTTCTCACACACACACATACCTGAGTTGCTTAAAGGCTATTTTACTTATAGGATTCCATATTCTTTGTAGTTTCTTAAATCCCATGAAGAGACCATACCAACATTGTGTTTGGTGGTTTGGGTTTGTTTGACCATCTGCATTCTCCTACTCAAACTGAGTGAGTGTTTTTCTCTGTTCCAGGGAGTGTATCAGTGTGGTGAATCCTGCTCCATTCTTCCAGAGCTGTGTGTATGACATGTGTCAGTTCAATGGCCAACAACATGTACTGTGTGACCAGCTCCAGGCTTACACTGATGCCTGCCAAAGTGCCGGAGCCAAAGTTCACCAGTGGAGGACTCCATACTTCTGCCGTAAGTCTTCATTATTTGAATTTGACAAACATTTTTCCAAAGAAGATCATTGTTTCCTCTGCTTCTGGTTTGGGCACAGGACATCCTGACTGCAGAACATCTCGACAGTTATCAGATGTATTGCCATGAAATTTGCTACAGACATTCATGTTCCCAACAATAACTTTGGTGATTCCCAAAGTCGAGTATTTACAGGAAGTATGGAAAAGTTTAATTGGAGTCATTTCCAAGTCAAGTATAGAAAAGAGAAAAATAATATTTGTTTCCAGACTATTGCCCCTGTTCTATTTTTTAGGATTGTCTTTGTTCAGTGCAAACTTGACTGTCTATCCGAAGTGAATGACGCACACCTCCATCCAGTGTTGTCTACATTGGTAACCATAGATACCGTAAATCACTTCCACCCTACGTAGCATACAGCTTAACCAGCACAACACCTCAGCAGATAAGTATATGTTGGCCTTAAGCCAGTAGCTTACTATACCCAGGTGTTACTGGACCAGGAAAAGCTCCAACAACTACCATCCCCCTACCCACAACCTAACATTCTTCTTTTCATCCATGTCCTGCTCCTTCTTTTATTTATCCTTGTCTCTACCCTACCCTCCTTCCTACCACCCCTCCCTAATCCATTCATCCATCCCTCTGTTCCTCTATGCAGCCCTGGCCTGTCCTCCCAACAGCTCCTACTCTCTGTGTGTGAGTTCGTGTCCAGAGACGTGTCTGGGTGTGGTTGGACCGCCCGGCTGTCAGGATGTGTGTGGAGGGTTGTGAGTGTAATCCAGGCTTCATCCTCAGCAACGACAAGTGTGTGGCCCTGAAAGACTGTGGCTGTGTGGACACCAGTGGATCCTATCACCCTGTAAGTGAGAAAGACCTCAAAGTGACTTTAATCACATTCCATTCTTCAATAATAAAAGGCACATAACTTCATGCTCATTTTGCAATGAAGTTTTAAGTTGGGATCTATATTGAAACCTGACTGATTTGCATAACATGATCAGACAAAAATAGTATCAGATGTAAAGGATAATTAAAGCTGAAGCAGCGTTGGGCAGGCCCTCGCATGTGTAGCATGTGCAAAATCTCGCATGTGATTTTGGACACCACGCCATGTGCACGCCATTTCACAACAACTCACCGTTTGTACAACATTTAATCGTCAATGGGATTGGACTAGAAAGTGTAAAGTTGAAGTCGATCAGAGTAATTCCATAGGAGGAGTTCAGAAATGACCATTAAATCCAAAATGGCCGACTTCCTGTTGGGTTTAGGGCATTGCTCCAAGAGGCATTTTGGTACGTATACAGTCTATGGTCTGGACATGAAACATGTGCCACAGAAATTTCATACATGTAGGTGAAATGTGCTGTGGGGGCTGCTTCGTTGACTGTCACTTCATGTTGCCAGCAGGTGGCGCTATGACTATGGGTAGATGTTGGCATGTACGTGTAAAATCTGGTACAGATCTGAGCATGTACAGTCAGGTTACACAGCTTCTTGTGTCAAGGGTGAAGCGTTTAACTTCACCGCCATTCCACCTCCACGTCGTTAACCGAAAACTCACAGATTTTACAACATGGATTAATCAATGTGGGAGTGTCTGAAGAGATTTCTGGTACAGTTTTGAAGTTGACATGGCCTACTTGCTAGGAGTAGTTGATCACAACGTAAAAGGTCATTTTAAATACGTAATATTTTGCCACTTCTGACATGTTTGCAAAGTTTGGTGAGTTTTTGAGCATGTTTACGCTGCCAAAAATGAGCTTACTTTGCAGAGGGAAAAATTCCTTCATTTTCAATAGGGAATGTTTCACGCTCAGGCCCTAATAACAGCCCAGTGAGTGGTTCACTGGTTCGTTCAGGTGAAGGAACATTAAATGATGTTGTCTAAGTGAAGAAGAGAGCTGCCAATCATGGGTTGTTCAGCTTACTTAAAATGACATCATCTGAAGATAATTGCTGCTTAGCAGCACTTTCATACTCCACATCACGCTGCTGTTGTGATAGACTGAGTGAACATTGAAGGTGTGAAACTGGGTTGAGATTTGGTGACTGTAAAGGCCATAGCTTTTCTTGAAATCATTTTCATATTCAGCAAAATATTCAGTGAGTCCTGGTTCACTGAATCATCTGAATTTTATATGTTTCTCCTCTCTTTTATTCAGGTGTTTCCCTTCATTTACAAGTGTTGATACATTCCTGGTGTTCATATTTAAAACAATAATTCAATCACATATTCAAAAATTAAATCCACAATCCACTTTTTATATTCTATTTTTAGCATTTGGTACTTTTATTTGGTAAGGTATATTAAGATTATGTGCTGTGCATCTTAACCGTTTGGCTATGGATGCCTTGATGTAAGCACTTTTTGTGAGAGCATCAGAAATTATGGTTGGAGATACTGAGTAAATACAATAATTTTTAAGATGGATTGAATATTATACAAACGAAGAGCTAGCAGGTGGAAGCTTGTGTCCAAAAATGTCAGTTCACATCAGTTGAGAGACTGAGAGAAGATTTTCAGTCACTGTACACTTGGGCAGCCTCAATGGGCTGTGAATGTATTTGACATTTTCGTGGAGGCTTGATGCATTCATGCACTGACTGTATTGCATACTGTATTCTATACAATGTATCATTTGCATTTTGTGTGTTTGTCAGATGGGTGATGACTGGTACTTGGAGGGTTGTGAGCAGAAATGTGTGTGTCACAGTGGAGGTTTGATCCAGTGTCACAACAGCAGCTGTAAACCAGCCACTGAGAGCTGCCAGCTACAAGATGGAGAATATGAATGTCACCCTCTGGGTACGTTAAACACACACACGTTACATTACTTTTACATTTACTCATTTGCCAGACGCTTTTATCCAAAGCAACTTACATTTGATGAACAACATACAAGGATCAACAAATCATCAATACAGCACGAGATCTACTAGTAGTACATACTAGTAAGAGCAGCAATAAATACTAGTAAGAGCTAACAGCACATATGACATCCATGGGATTACCTCGGGAAAGAAGTAAGAGTTAACAAAAAAGTGCAATCAATACAAGAGAATTGTAAGGGGATAGAAGAAGTAGAGCACAGGAAATGCATGTTAGAGGTTAGGGTTTAGAGGTGTCATCAATCATGACACACAAGTTTCTTATCACCCTGGTTGGAGTGATGGTTGAGGAGTCAGTTTGTAGTTTGATGTTATGGTGATTATGTGATTGTTTGGCTGGAATGACCACGAGGAAGTGAGAGGAAGATAATTGCCACAAAACATTGTAGGAACGCCCCGAGAGGCAAGATTCAAACCACAGGAGCGCTTTGCCTGAGATGCCCATTGCTGAGAGTGCAAATAGCAGGATCCTGTGGTTGACTGTCAAAGGCAATTTCTTAACTTAAGATCAGTGAAGCCTGTAGATGATCCTGTTTAAGTTTTGGGATCAGTTATGATTGAGAAATTAGAAAAGCAAGTCAAGCATATTTTTTTAAATATAATAAATTTAGTTACAAAATAAAATTTAGCTCATGTGGAGTTCCTCAGGGGTCATTTTTAGGCCCATTACTAAGGTAAGGAGCTTTTTATCCCAGGAGAATGCAGAAAAAAACTTTCATGTTTTTATTAACAATTGGCTAGTGGTTGTTCAAAAGACAGCACAATCATATTCTGGGTTATTCAATACTGAATACACAATCAGAATATCAATAACTTTACATGCATGCACATGGTAGAAATTATCCTGTGCCTCTGAGTCTGTAGCAGAAAGTATACAGAAGTGGTGCAGGTTGAAGAGGATTTAAAGATTACTCCAACTTATTTAACTTACCTTGTTGTCCTTAAGAGTTGAACACTTGACATTTTATTCTGCAGCTTCACTCTATCAGTAAAATCAGATACACCAGAAAAGTCCACATAGACGCCACACAGCTAAATTCTTACCTCTTTTGTACAGGAAATGGTATGTGCTCAGTATCTGGTGATCCACATTACATCACCTTTGACAAACACGCCCACCATTACATGGGAGCCTGCTCCTACACCCTGACCAAATCCTGCAACATCTCATCCGGTGTGCCACACTTCACTGTGGACACCCAGAATGAGCAAAGAGGAAGCAATAAGATGGTTTCCTACGTCAGGGCTGTGGTGATCAATGTGAACGGTGTGACTGTCATCCTCGGCAAGGGCCGCACAGTCCAGGTATGTTACCTGACATGTTGGTTCTTTCACAGCAACTGCTACACTAAAGATTTAGTTTTGCTTGAGTAGTAATCTCTACTGTCCCCATCGCTGACTCTATGTACTACCAGCTTACATTTGAAGGGAGAGCTTGCTGTACAGCACCAAAGAGAAACAGGTGCTTGTAATATTTAGCACTGAAACGATTATAAATCGATTAGTCAGTTCACAAAAACAGAATCAGCAACAATTCTGATAATCAGTGTACTCTTTTGTCATCACTTTTGTGCAATAATGGCCAAAGATTCACTGGCCCTAGCTTCTTCTATGTGAATATTTACTGGTTTTCTTAGCCCTGTATAGGAGTAAATTGAATATCTTTGGATTTTGGACAAAACCAGACATTCAAAGAAATCATCTTGGAGCCTGAGAAATTGTGATGAACATTTTTGTTGTTAAATTGGGGGGCTGGAGAACAACCAGGAAAATTGTGTAGATGAAAATGAAATGAAAATATCTTATTTTCACAGCAGACCAAAAACTTTCATGTTTTTATTTACAGTTAATGTCCAAAAGACTTATTCTGGGTTATTCAATACTGAATACACAATCAGACCATTTTGCCTTCAAAACGTCAAACACAGGTGTAACTAATAACATTATTCATTCTGCATTTCATTGCAATGATTCCTGGAACTGAGTCAAAATTAATGTTTTTAGTTACATCTTACAGTTACAGGTCTATCAGTCTCATCTGACAGGAAGTTTGGCAACCTCTGGTTTAAATGAATGGCTCCACCTACAGACACTGTCTGTCCTGTCTTCTTTGCACTCTCTGCCCATCATCAGAATAAATCTCTCTCTTCTCTTCAGGTCAATGGGACAGTGGTTGTCCCACCTGTCACCTCCATCAGTGGAGTTAAGATCTACTTGAGTGGCAAGTTTGTTGTCCTGGAAACGTCCTTCGGCCTGAGGGTGCGATTTGATGGTGACCACCACGCTGACGTCACTGTGCCCACCTCCTACAATGGTCTGCTCTGTGGCATGTGTGGTAAGAACCAGTATGATTTATTCATTTCCATTTCAGCAGGGATGAAAAGAGTACTAGAGTATTATAATCAAGTAAAAGTACTCTAAATACATTTTAAGCAAAAAAAGTGTTTTTGCAAACAGCTGATTATCAATTCTTCTATGGTCAAAATGGCATTATGTGAACCTTGTGAGCCACAAAGTCCTTCACAATCTACCCAGATGTGTACGCACCCTCCAAACCCCACTGACACTCAGCCAATGAACGTAAACATGTAACATGTACATTTGTAGTGTCAGCTGAGGTGCAGACTGTCACCTCTCTGGACATCATACTCCTGAAACTGAAATTTGAAAGCATAAGTCTGACAACCAGAAGCCATTTTTCACAATAACTGATCCAATCAAAATGTTGTTGACAGTTACTTGGTTCATAGTTCCTTTAATACATGGTTCTCCAACCCAGAACTACCAGGCCAACCAAGATGCTATGCCAAAGGCAAACCTGAATGTCCTTTTCAGCATGTTGACTGATCACTCTTACCGTTTGTTGCCCCGGCAGGAAACTTCAATGGAAACCCCAAAGATGACAACTTGAAACCAGACAATACACCAGCTGCTAACACCAATGAACTGGGGGGCAGCTGGCAGGTTCCTGACCCCCGGCCAGAGTGAGTCACATCATAGAATACATAAATACAGAACTAGACTCTGTCAATCAAACATACTGACGTACCGGTAAATAGTGGCTTTATTTATTTCAGTAGCAAAGGGAACCAGGCCTTTATTTATATCATCCTTTTATTAGAGACAAACTACATTTTGTCTATGTTTACCTGTTTATAAATTTAGGAGACAGCACTATTGCACCTTGATATACAAGTTTATTCCATTTACCATTGAACTTTTAATGTGAAACATCTGCCCAGGAAATGTTACACTGGCAGCAGCTTGACAGGGAAACTAAAATAATTCATTAACGAAAAGGTATTCCTGTTAAATGGTAAGTACTTGGATAACACCTTTCTTAATTCCCTCAAAGCGCTACATGTCACATTCACCCACTGATGGCAGAGGCTTATCAGAAAGAAGCTAATCAAACTCACATAGCAATTTGGGGTTCAGTATCTTGCCCAAGGTCACTTTGACATGCAGACAGATTTTAAAAAACAGTAGGCCACTCCACAGGCCACCTTAGAGAATGGACACTCAAGGTGGCAGGCATTTACAATTTCTCTCAGTCGCTTTGGTGCATTTCGAAACTACTTGTTCAACCTCCACGTCATCTATTCACTTGTGCACATCATTAAAGCAATTTCTCATTCTTTTGAACAAATTGCAGATACTTTTACACACTGATACAGATGATTATGTACAATTGTCGGCTGTTTCCTACATTATCAATTGCTAATGTCATGCTAATCACAATGTATTATACCAGTCTCTGTTGTATAGTCTAACCCTTCAAAACATCTAGGCATAAGTTCATTGCATAAGTTGATAAATGCAAAATGATTGAACATGTTGTCAAAAATCAAAGTTAAATAACGTCACACTTTATTCATATTGTTCGCATACAAGTATAAAGCTGAACGAAATGTGGTCTCCTATTTTTACGGTTGTGCTATGCAATGCTGTAAAACAGTGCTGTCATTTTCTTTTCTGTATCACAATGACATGCTCTGTCAACAAATTACAGTACGAACAGTAAAAGTGTAACTGTGTCCTGTCCTGTCTCCTGCAATGTATAATTGTACTAGTGACTTATTGGGAGAAAACTGGTAGTTCTATGTAAAATCAGATGTTGAGCACCTCCACATCGCCAAAATGGCGTGATCCTTGTTTCACTGCGAAGCTTCGACTGTGAGATTGACAGTCGAATCAGGCTCCGCCCATCGAAGCATCAAATCTTCGACTAGTGGGGATCAGCCCTTATTAACAGCATGGCTTAACATTTTGACCATCTAGTACGTAAACAATGACACATGGAGTTGTCATTCTGATGCCTCTGACAAGTTCACTGACCTAAATATTTACTTTTGAGAGAAAGACTAAGGATTTTGAGCAAGTTACGGGCTTTTGCAGGTAAACCACTGCATTGTGCTTGTGTGTACTACCTGTTTCAAGAAATGCACTTGCTGTTTTGCAAATGTTAAGGATAATTTGAAAATGTACCAAAGCTACTGAGAAAAACTGTAAAAGCTGTGAAAGCAAGGATTGAGTTTCATTGACAGTAGCTTAACAGTGATTGAAAGAGCAACAAAGCGAAAGCAGCTCTGAATCGTTAGTGAATGAAAACAGTTTGGAAGAGACCGAATTGTACGTTATGCAAAATTCAACTGGAGATACTTTTACCCACCCCTCAGGCTTTTATTTGTTAATGTTGGCCACTCCTTCTGGAATTTAAGACTTCACCATTATTCAAGGTCACCAAAAATATTTTATCCTCATGGAAGCTAGAGTATCTGCAACAAACTTTACAGTTATGTGACCAACATGTTTTGAGATAAAGTATGGTGCTCTGGATAAAAGGTTGGGTGGGCAGACTGACTATGTCATCTATGTATACGCAAACATGCACACAACAAAAATCATCACTTTTTTTCCATTCTACCTCCACACCCCTTCTCCAGCTGTAGCAATGATGGAGGACAGGAAGACTGTAATAAAGAGGTGGAGGAGGAGGCCAAGAAGCCCACCAGCTGCGGCATGATCACTGATCCCAATGGTATGGCATGCACTCATGCACAACAAGTGCATTGTGTTGAGAAGTACACTCTCCAGACGTGCCACCTGCATATCCTAATAAATTGACCACTCATCATCATCATCATCATCATCATTATCACTGTCATCACAATCACAAACAGGCTACTATGCCTAAGGAACATACAGATCATCAACATCAATGCTAAAGTCATTTTTAAAAAGGCATATTTTAAGTATTACTGAGAGCGATGCTCTCTTTTTTTAAAGGAACACCCTGATCACATTCACACAGTTACACATTCATACGTGGAAGCTGTCCAGTACAACCACAGTCTGATGTGCCGGCCACTGAGCAGCTCCATTGGAGCAGTTGGGCCTCAGTAATCACCATTTCCTAAGGTTTCACAAATGACAGTCACACATTTATGATTGTTTGTGGGACCACAAAAAGGCTTTGGTTGGCCCTTGATAATAGCCTAACAGTAGCATGATGCCATTGTGAAAGTGATCATTGAGTAAAATGAGTTTGTCTGGAATTCACCTCCATCACATCTCTCTGTCTTTGACCTTGACTACAGGTATCTTTAAGCCCTGTCACTCTGTCGTGCCCCCTGAGCCATACTTTGGAAGCTGTGTGTACGACATGTGTGCCACTGGAGGTCAGATTGTGGCTTTGTGCCAGGCCATAGAAAGCTATGCTGACATGTGTGCTGCTGCAGGAGTCCCCATCGCATGGAGGAACAATACCTTCTGTCGTAAGTCTCTCTGTGTGCGTGCGGGTGTAGATAAAAAAGAGGATCTTTAGCATGTCATGTCATAACTACCAAGTTTATTAATGAAGCCATTGCCGAGTATTTGATTGTTTTCTTAAAAAAACAGAAAGTTTGAGAGAGTTGACCTGAAAGTGTCTTATTGTAAGTGGCAGCCATGATAAGTTGTAGTGGTTCATCATTTTATGCCAGATCATGTAACTTTTGAAAGGCACAGTAACGAAATGTTCCTTCCCAAATGAAAAGCTGAATTAATAAACAAATCACCCTTTGTCTTTGGGTTTTTCTGCTACATACTTACTTGCTCTGGTAGCAGCAGCTTATGTTGGTTCCTGTATTTGCCATTTGTTGCCACAGTGGCTGCTTTTCAACAAATGTTATATATGTGTTACATTCGGCTCTGATGCTGACATGACAAACAGCATTTTTGGGCCCAGGCGCAGACACATATGACAAGGAGGTATAATTAAAAGGATTTATTAAATAAAAGGTGAAACCTACAGGTGAGGAGAGGTGAGGTTGACAGTCCAAAAACAGAGCAGAGTAATCCAACAAAGGAACAAGTGAGAAGGCCATAAATTCAAAAACAACACAAGATCATCCAAACAAAAGGTAAGTCTAAACAACACGATCAAACAGGAGTTAAAATCGTGAGACATGAAACACTGGTATGACACAAGACGGGACAGAACTGGAAAACAGTCACAATTGTGAGTCAGGCATGGGGGTCGGTGGAGCCAGGGACACCTGAAGCTGCTGATGCTCAGGTACTGATGGCTTCTGACAGCAAATCCTCCGCAACGCTGGGCTGAGTTGCTGGGCAGCGATGTGGACTAAGAGCTGGTCAGTGGCGAGGATGAGGAGCTGAGTGGGAATAAAGATGAAAAGCTGGTCAGAGTGGAGGCAGTGGAGGGTGGGGGCGTCTTGCCGGCTACTCAGGAGCTCCGGAAGGGAGACTCCATGGATGGATCTATGGATGAGCAGGAAACAGAAACAGGCCTATATAAGTGCGGGTGGTAACAGGAGGATAGACAACAAAAGGTTAGGGTTACTTGGCTCTTGCTAAAAGAAAATAAACTTTAGCCCCTTTAGCTATGTATGCACAAGACTCTGCTTCATGAATAAAAACGTCTTTCCTTTTTGTTTAGAGATTGATAAAAGCTGTAATGTTGTGTATTATACAAAAAATGCTGCACACTACCCTTTTCCAAATGTCCTCTTCTCTCCAGCTCTGAAGTGCCCTACAGGCAGTCATTACAACTCATGCAGCACTGCCTGCCCCCAGCCCAGCTGTCAGGACCCTACGGGCCCCGGTGGCTCTTGCAACCAGCCCTGTGTAGAGGGATGCTTCTGTAACCCCGGCCTCGTCCTCAGCGGAGACAAATGTGTCCCACTCAGCGAGTGTGGATGTACTGATGGAGATGGAAAGTACAGGCCGGTAAGTGTGCTCAGTGGATCTCTGAAGGGGGATATTTTCCTGGCACTTTTGCAAGAAGTAATGTTTGAACATGCATTGAACGTTTCTGTGTGTAGGTAGGAGACGCTTGGTTCACAGAGATGGATTGCTCAGAGCGCTGCAAGTGTAACGGTAACCATAACATCACCTGTGAGCCCTGGCAGTGCAGCCCAGCGCAGGAGTGTAAAGTTGTTGGAGGAGTACTGGACTGCCACTCCAAAGGTAAACTTAACAACAGATGAAAGATTCACTAGACCTGAATCTGTGTCAACAGTTAGAGAATAATTCTGATCCAGTTATTTTCCATTTTCCAAAAGTATATCCAAATTGAAGAATGAGTTTTGGGTTGTTGTCATTTCTGTAGTTATTTCTGTAGTTTTGTTCATCAGTTCTTATTGAACCGATTATAGATGAAATCATGAAGTGTACTTTATATATCTTACCGATCCTCATTTTCCCCCTCAGGTAAAGGGGTGTGTCACGTGGCTGGAGATCCTCACTACTACACCTTTGATGGTGTGATGCACACGTTCATGGGCACCTGCACTTACATTCTGGCGGAGGTTTGTGATGCATTCGACCTGTATTTCACATTTCACTTATGGCTGTGCCAATGACTGCTTTGCCTTCTTTGTCTGTATGTTGTAAATCATTCTTAAACTATAGGGAGCATAAAAATAAAACCTAAAACTATATGCTTGTTTTTTCTGAATCCTTTAGGTGTGTAACACCACCAACGTAACTCCCTTCAAGATAGTGGCTAAAAACGAGGAGCGTGGTCAACCAGAGGCCTCTTATGTTCGCTCTGTCAAAGTCTACCTGCCTCATGACACTGTGGTTGAGCTGCAAAAGAGCCACAGAGTTCTGGTAAGGAAAGTTGAAAATAGTATTGGGATACAGCATAGTGAAATGATAAGCAGCTGAGCACGTCTTTGTTCTTTTCTTCTTGTGTTAGCTGAATGGACGACGGGTGAGAACCCCAGTTTCCATTGATTTGGCTGGTGCCAAGGTGATAGCCAGTGGATCATACAATCTGCTGGACACAAACTTTGGTTTGCAAGTGAAGTTTGATGGAGTCCATCACCTGGAGATCACTGTTCCTGGAGAATACTTCAACAAGGTATGAAGACATGTCTTATTGTTCCTCCACCAAATTTCTTAGGGTCAGACAGTCAAAGACAAAAGGTTTCACAATTCGTATCATTCTAATTGTACTGGATTACAAATGCTACAAGATGCAACCTCTTCAGTGTATGAAACATTGTGATAACCCTATACCACCTCCATCTTCTCCAGCTGTGTGGCATGTGTGGAAACTACAATCACAACTCCTCTGATGACAACCTGATGTCCAACAAGAAACCAACTAATGATGTGATTGAACTGGGCAACAGCTGGAAGTCAGATGGAGACAGTGATGCTGGGTCAGTGGGTTACAGCCATTACATATACTCCATACTAAGACACTTAATGTTGTTTTTTCCTTTCATTGGTCACCCATCTGTGTATATTTAATTACTTTAAGTGGTCGGGGGGCATACACCGTCACTAAGGAGTTTTGTGTTGGTAACTGCTAAAATGGGAGTGCAGAGAAGAGTGTTAGACTGCGACTCTGGCTCCTGGTCCCAAATCTGGCTTGTCTTGGATTTGGTCCACTAATAAACTTGGCCAGATTTCTACATATGAGAGCTGCTCCATCCAAAGTGGGATGAATGCCGTCTGGCTTCACTGGCGCTGGCTTCACTGGCGTTGGCTTCGCTAACTTCATGTTTCTCAAAATGGAGCTGCCAATAATCAGAGTTGGTTCCTCTTCGAGGGAACTCGAACTGCGTCGGTGACGACACTGGGCGTGGCAGGGCTGAACTATGAATGAAACTACTCCAATCCTATTGGTGTTACTAGAACGGTAGTGTGTGACGGCGTAACTGGAGGGGGTATATAAGCACGCGGGCACATAGGACACATTAGCTTCTTTCTATTCAGCAGGCACTCTGGCATCCTGGAATCCTCGTCCCCGATCGGGAGCCCGTTTCTCGGTTTCTCCAACTCGAGGGGTGAGTCCGGAGAGGCTGACACAACCTGGCTCTGAGGAGCTAGATGTGCTTAGCATGGAGAATGACTTTGGGGAAACGGAAAGTCATCAGCCCTCGCCAGTATACAAGGAGTTGTTAGAAGTGGTCATGCGGGCTGTGGCCAAGCTGCAAATTTGATTGGTCACAGGCGGTGCAGCAGCCATCGGTGGGCAGCAAACTAGACGAGCGGTTTCTGCAACACCCAGCACCACCCCCGCGTCGGCCCCTACCCTTCTCTGCACGGCTGTCTACGTCCACCCGGCTGGACTACGGCAACGTGACGGAGATCAGACAGCAAGGCTACGGAGCGATGCCACAAGTGGAGGAGGCACTGGCTAGCTACCTCTCTCTTCTCTCTCTTCGCCTCATCCCTCTGGACGCCCCATCTCCACGATCTCCTGGTCCCAAATCTGGCTTGTCTTGGATTTGGTCCACTAATAAACTTGGCCAGATTTCTACATATGAGAGCTGCTCCATCCAAAGTGGGATGAATGCCGTCTGGCTTCACTGGCGCTGGCTTCACTGGCGTTGGCTTCGCTAACTTCATGTTTCTCAAAATGGAGCTGCCAATAATCAGAGTTGGTTCCTCTTTGAGGGAACTCGAACTGCGTCGGTGACGACACTGGGCGTGGCAGGGCTGAACTATGAATGAAACTACTCCAATCCTATTGGTGTTACTAGAACGGTAGTGTGTGACGGCGTAACTGGAGGGGGTATATAAGCACGCGGGCACATAGGACACATTAGCTTCTTTCTATTCAGCAGGCACTCTGGCATCCTGGAATCCTCGTCCCCGATCGGGAGCCCGTTTCTCGGTTTCTCCAACTCGAGGGGTGAGTCCGGAGAGGCTGACACAACCTGGCTCTGAGGAGCTAGATGTGCTTAGCATGGAGAATGACTTTGGGGAAACGGAAAGTCATCAGCCCTCGCCAGGATACGAGGAGTTGTTAGAAGTGGTCATGCGGGCTGTGGCCAAGCTGCAAATTTGATTGGTCACAGGCGGTGCAGCAGCCATCGGTGGGCAGCAAACTAGACGAGCGGTTTCTGCAACACCCAGCACCACCCCCGCGTCGGCCCCTACCCTTCTCTGCACGGCTGTCTACGTCCACCCGGCTGGACTACGGCAACGTGACGGAGATCAGACAGCAAGGCTACGGAGCGATGCCACAAGTGGAGGAGGCACTGGCTAGCTACCTCTCTCTTCTCTCTCTTCGCCTCATCCCTCTGGACGCCGGCGCTCCCCACCAAGCCGTGTCGGATGACGTCCGATTTGGTGGGCAAGGCCTACATGGCAGCGGGTCGAGTTGGTGCCAGCCTGCACACGATGGCTGTCTTTCAGGCATACCAGGCCGATCTCCTTCGCGACTGTGACATAGGGGGAGGTCCCTCTGAGGAGGACCTGACGGAGCTCCGTAGAGCGACGGACTTGGCTCTCTGTGTGACCACGGAAACGGCCCATTCCATCGGCCGATCCATGGCGGCTTTGGTGGCTACGGAGCGCCATCTGTGGCTCAACCTATGGGGCATCCAGGGGAAGGAGAGGGCTTTTCTCCTGGATGCGCCCCTCTCGCCTTCTGGCCTGTTTGGCGAAGCAGTGGATGCTGTCGTCAACAGGTTCCAGCACGCCACAACTCAGGGAGAGGCGTACACAGCCTTCGTCCAGCACCTACCGCCACAGCCAGAGCGTTGCTTCATGGGATCCCCCTCAACCAACCTGGGACGCAAGACGGCGCTCTCGCCCACAGCCCCCCGGGAAGACGGATCTGAGGACAGTCATTCAGTCTCGGCGGGCCCGAGGAAAGAGGTCCTGAGACTTCGAGTAGGGGGAGCTCTGGCTCCGTTGAGGCTCCAAGGCATCCGCATACTGAACTACATTGATGACTGGCTCGTCCTGGCCCAGTCTCAAGAGTTAGCGGTTCGAAATCGAGATGTCGTCCTCGCCCACCTTCAGCGCTTGGGGCTGCGGCTCCATCTGATATGGGTTACGAGCGGGTGCCTTCGTTCCCTGTCTGTATGGAGGAAATCTTGGTTCCTGTCCCAAGATCCCGTGTTGGGAGCGATCTGTCGCCGAACAATTATTTCAACAGACGCCTCACTCACGGGATGGGGCGCGGTCATGGACGGCCGCTTCGCGAGAGGCTCCTGGGAGGAGCATCATTTCTCTTGGCACATAAATTGCCTGGAAATGTTGTCGGTTTTCAGAGCTCTGCGGCCCTCCGCGGTCGCCACATCCTTGTCAGAACCGACAATACGGCAGCGGTTGCCTATTTGACTCACCAGGGGGGTCTGCGCTCGCGCCCATTATGCAAACTGGCACATCAGATCCTCCTGTGGTCCCAGCAGAGACTGCTGTCCCCCAGAGCGATGTACACGCCTCACGTTCTTAGTGGGTGTGTCGTTGAGTGGGCAAAATCTGTTAGAAACATGAATAGGTTGATGATGGGGACGACTAACAGGAGCTAGCTCAGGTTTTTTATTGGGGGCTGGCCAACTACAGTAGTTAACAACTGACTTTCCATGGTGCTGATCAGACTGATCTGATACATCACAACAATACTGCAGTTTCATACCAGAGTGAAGACAGCAGAAAGATAACAGATTTAAAGTGTATCACCAAGCCAAGTTGTTATATTTGATTTGTTTTATGATTCACCGTCTAGTTATAATCTGTGTTCTCTGTAGGTCTGTAGAAACGTAGACAATTAAGAGAACTGAGAAGCACCCATAGAAGCCATCGCCAGCTGTTATGCTAAAGTACGGCAGCTGACTTTAGCAAAACTGTAGTTTGTAAACAACTGAGATTTAGAGAGAGTCGCTAATAGAAGGACAGACCTTTGAGTGCTTGAGCAGATCTACTGTAAGATTAAATGTATAGTGGATAATTAGTCACTGTAATGAAGAATCTAACATGTTTAACTGTGTTGCGCTTAGAGCAGCAAAATACACTACCAAAAGACATTGCAACATGCAAACATGCATGTAATGTTTTTGTGTAAATATATCAAACATTGAACATTTATATTAAATTATGCCTAAATGAGCTGAATGTTTTCCTTCATTTAACACATACATTTCAAAAGTGGCTGATAACATTTCTGAGAGGCAGACAAAAAAACTTGTGAAACCAGTGAAAAAAGTTAATTTCAGACTCTGGCCAGATTCGTTCCACCTGCATTCATCTAAATAACAAGCAAGGATGATCATGATTGAAAATAATGTCATTTGAAGAAACAACACAACATTGATTTTATCCCTCTCATTCCCCCTACTCATCCAGCTAGCGGGTTCCTAAAGTGAGGCCAGTTCTTTTAACTCATTTTCTAAATGGAAACAACCCTTATTGTAAGCAGACGAAAAAAAGAAGAGTTTGATATAGCAACAACTACAGTGTCCTGCTCAGAAGTGAAAATCCTTCTTCTCTCCCCAGTGGGAGGTAACCGCCCTAAAGCACAAATACAAAAGAAACAGTACTACTGAAGTGTGCAGTTTAGTCAGATGCTTTTGTAGAAAATACATCTGCGTTTGCTGGAAGTTTTGGACAATTAATACTTCTGTTGAGCATTGTACTCTCAGTGCAGCCTCTCCTGTTGACAAACCATGGTTAATGACATGATCAGTTTAAGTAGCTATAACCTCTAAAGCCCCTGCATCCCAGAAAGGCTGCAATTTTTATTACATTCAACAAATGTTATTTTGAATTCACAACAATTTACAAATTGTCAACTGAATAGCATAAGTTAATACGTCAGCTCAGAAAAAACACTGCAACATCCCAGTGCCTGACTTAATCATTCATCCAAACATTCTCCCCTCCAGCTGTCAGCCAGACACTCGTCCAGATGTCCGACCTAACTGCACCGCAGAAGAAGAGAAGACATACGAGGCTCAGTGTGCCGAGGTCATCCTGTCTGACAGATTCAAGCCCTGCCATTCTCTGGTGCCCCCAAAGGCTTTCCTTGGTAACTGTATCTATGACATGTGTGAGTATGATGGCATGAAGGCAACGCTCTGTGACAACGTGGAGGCATATGCTCAGGCCTGTCAGAGCGCTGGAGTCACCATCAGCTGGAGGAACAACAGCTTCTGTCGTAAGTTACAGTAACACTGATCAACAGTTTAAATATTATATATAATATATATTATATATTAAAATATTGTTGTTTTAAGATTCGCATACATAATTATCTTACATCCCTGCAGCCCTGCCCTGCCCTCCTAACAGCCACTACTCAGACTGCACCGCCCCCTGCCCCCCACCTGCGCTGACCTCTTCCCCATCTTCTGCCATCTCCCTCCAACCACCTGTGTGGAGGGCTGCCAGTGTGATGCAGGCTACGTTCTCAGTGACAACAAGTGTGTTCCTCTGGACAAATGTGGCTGTCTGGACACAGATAAAGTGTACCATAATGTGAGTGAAGCAGAGTCTATACTGCTGTTTGCTGATGGGTATCATAGAACATCCTGAATACTGAAATCAGAAACACGTGCATTATATACATTAAAGATGTAGAAGAACTTTTCTTAGTGTACAAATCTTAGTAGTATCCTGCTGTAAAATACATAAAATAAATCTTTCTGACTTTTGTCTAATTTATGCTTTTTCTTGTAACTCCACAAATACAACTTAAGTTATTTCCTCAGCAATGAAAGGAAAGATTGTAGAGGTACATTATTATATTGTACAGTCAAACAGAAACTGACACTTCTGCAAATCTAAATAAATCTGTTGTGTGGATGCAGGTAGGAGACTCGTGGCTGACTGACAAATGTGCTAGCTCATGTAAATGTAACCTTGGTGGCCAAATCACATGTAAGGACCACAGCTGTGATTCCAACTCACTGTGCACCCTGGACAAATATGGAGACCTCTACTGCAAACCCACCAGTGAGTCCACCACTCTAAACAGCTTCAGTTTTCAACATGTTGTAACTACTAGGCAGTGTACAGTTTAGAGACTTTGGATCTTTAGAATGTAATTAAAATATTGGTATTGTTTGGTCATAACCCATTTTGACCATTTCATATATTTTATCATCCTCTCTAGAGTTTGACAAGTGCAGCATCTCTGGAGATCCTCACCACCGAACATTTGATGGTTTCACCCATCACTTCCAGGGTCCCTACACCTACGTCCTTACTCAGGACCACAACCTGCAGAACTCCTTGTCACCACTAGTGGTGAGGGGGAAGAATATCAGACGTGGGGGGAACAGGAGGGTGTCATTCCTGGATCAAATGTACATCGACGTTTACGGTGTCAATGTTCGCTTCTTGCAGAAGAAGATCATCCTGGTCAGTACTTTGTCTTTGTCTGATGAAAGCACCATTTATATTTTGCTGTTGTGTCGTTAAAAGTACTGCAATTATATTATATTTCCTTTAGGTGAATGGAGAGCGTGTTGCACCTCCTCTCAGTCCAGTTAGTGGTTTGACCATCACGATGAACTCCAGGCAGGTTCAGCTCACCACTGACTTTGGACTCACTGTACGCTTTGATGGCAACAGTCGCGGAGGTAAAAGAAGAAGAAGCCTCTGTCCTCACTAACTGAGCACTTCTTTGGCTTGTTTGTGAATCCACTCATTTCCCTCCTATGTCTCTGTGTGTGTGTATCAGAGATTATACTGCCCAGCACCTACAAGAACTCTGTCAGAGGGCTGTGTGGAAACTATGACGGCATCACCAGAAATGAGTACATGATGCCTGACGGGACTGTAGTCAGGGACCTGAACAAGTTCGGAGAAAGCTGGAGGGTCAATGACCGACAGGCTGATGGACTGAAGATCTCTGACCTTCCTCACACAGTCCACACACACAGGTAGGACTACAACCAGGGCCACTGCTTTAGCTGTACAGCTGCTATGAAGGATTTTTATCTCCTTGCTGCCTCTTGCTTCCCCCACAACATTAGCTGCCTCTGGCTTATAAACATTATCAGTATTACTTGCTTGTCCTTCAGCCTCCACCATCAATCCCTCTTTTTTCACCTCGTTTATCAACCACAATACAATTATTGGGCTTTCTAAAGAAACTTCAGATGCGATTGATAGGCTGCTATGTAGCAATATATATACATATGTTTTCCAAACATTTCTGACTGACAGTATGGCACTGTTGCCTTCTTACATATTGCTATTCCTTCAACTTCTTCAATGATATCTCACTTATAATTAGACATCAGATTAGACACAGCAACTTTAACAAAGCTCTGATTCTTCTGTCTTTCCATACTTCTCTGTCATCTGTCTCCAGGAGAGAGGTGGAGACTGATCCAGATTCAGGATTTGAGACATCAGAATGCTCTCAGCTTCAGCTCAATGATTACAACAGTGTGACTCAGTGTGGAGCGCTGTCTAACTCCAAGGGATTGTTTGCTGCCTGCCATGCGACCCTGCCACCTAAAACCTACCAGGAGTGAGTAGTGTGTGTGGAACTGTTCTCTGGGGGGATTTACAGTGCAGGCTTTCTTTTGCATCGATGGGTGTGATATGGATCATGTCTTTCAAATTGTCCTTGTATGAAAGGATGTGGTTGTGTGAATTGGCAGCCTTTGCTCATGCTCAGTATGTGTGTGTGTGTGTGTGTGTGTCTGCTTATATCCCTCAGTGACTGTGTGTTTGACCTGTGTGCTATACCGGGCAATTTAGCGCTGCGTTGTGCCAGTTATGAAGCGTATGCTGCAGCCTGTCAGGAGGCTGGCATTAAACTGGGATCCTGGAGGCAGCAGCTGGACTGTGGTAAGATGCTGAACACACACATAAACTCTGTGGAAATAACACATGAAGAGATTCGTAGCACAAGAAGCGTGTTAGAATGAGGACCATACCAGTGGTATGCTTGTTTTAGCCCATTTACCTCAAATCATGGATACTTTACATTTGTTGTTTTGGAATGCATGCTTTTGATGTATATTTCCTATTGTTGACATCCATTAATTTAATTCAATGAATGAAAACCAATGGAAGCACGTAACTTGGAGACAAAAACATTCATATTTTTAAAACATATTACCATTATGTGCAAAGAGGTTTGCTGTAATGCGTGTGAAATATACTTAATTTGAAATAAATGAAATTAAAAAAACAAGCAAATAAAAAAAGCATGTGGTCAAAGTACTTCTTGTACCACTTGATCTCGCAGGTGTAGCACAGCAATTTCTATAATGCTTTATGTGTACTAAAAATTATCAGCCATTATCCATATTAGACTTGAGACTTCTCTCTCTCCCAGTCCTCTCCTGTGATGCCAACAGCACCTATTCCTCATGTATGTCACCCTGCCCCGCCTCCTGCGCTGACCTGGCAGCACCCTCCGAGTGTGACACCACTTTCTGTGTGGAAGGGTGCCAGTGTGCCCTTGGCTCGGTCATGAGTGAGGGAATCTGTGTACCATACAGAGAGTGTGGCTGCACCTTCCTCAACAGATATTACCCTGTAAGAAGTCTATGGCACAGTTGAAGTAGTGACTCTGTGTGTCATTGTATTGATGATATGATCTCATCTCATCCTCATTCTCACCTCCTGCAGCTGAAGGAGAAGTTTGTTACTGATGACTGTTCTCAGTCCTGTGAATGCACCAGCACTGGCGTTGTGTGCCAACCCAAGATCTGCCAGGAGGGTTACATCTGTACCGTCTACAATTTTAAGCGGGACTGTTTTAGAGGTGTGTGTTTGTGAGTTTTTTTGGAAAGATCTCTCGAAAATGAAAATTCATTCATCACTGTATAAATTCCACTGACTAAGCCCATATTTAGCCAGTATGAGACAAAACCAACTAATATCAACACCATATCTTCATATCAGATATTTTATTACAGGTACTGAGTTACTATCATGACATTAATTCAATGTGCACTGTGTGTTATTAGCAATTAATTTACACTATCTACACCTGGTCTTCAAAAGGAAGCTATTTTTCTGTAGACTTGTAAGGTCGTCTTGAACTGTAAGAAGGTACTCAGTGAAGAAGCACACAACATCAAAGTTGTAAAACTCTCTACATCGGGGTGCTGGGGGGTTCTAATGCAATCGGTGCATAAAAATTCAAATGTTTAAATGATGATTGTGAGAGACTAAATTAACCTGTCAAAAGCTCAATATCTGTTTTGTGTAGCAGCGAATCCGTGTCTCAGTTACCCCTGTCTGAATGGAGGAACATGTAAGGTGGACAGCAACGACATGTACACCTGTCAGTGTGCAGAGGGCTTTGAGGGCACAAACTGTGATGTGGAGATAACACAGAAAGGAGGATTGGGTACGCTTGCTTAAACATCTCTTTCACTCATCAGGGAATAAATAAAGCTAAAATAAAAAAGTTTGCCATTCCCCTAAGGAATTAATATACAAACTAATAACACTTTCATGATGCCAAACGTCTATATCAGACTACTGCTACATACACTATTATCAATTTCGGCAAAGCTACTCTACTTCCTTCTTTGAACGTGCACATTGTTGCTAGCAGCTATATTTATTTGTTGTTTATTACAGAAACCAAGTGGATTATCCTGATCTCGGTCCTGGTGTCAGTCGCTGTCATCTTCATCATAATCACCATCGTGTGTGTTTGCAGACACAAAGTAAAGTAAGTCTCAACTGTTTCTGTGCTGTTCAACTATCAAAGCATTTGTGTGTGTAGAAGGATGTGTACTTGCGAGTTTCATGACTGCTGACTGATTCCTCAAAAAAAAATTTTTTTTAAATAAATATATACCAATATGTGTGTATGTATGTATGGGCTTCGGTTTACCACACCAGCAAGACCCTAGGACAGTACAGCACATAACAGCAAGATGCAGGCAGGAACAGCGTACATGGACGCCATAACCAGGTAGCTGGTATAGTGTTCTGGAACATCTGCTATAAGTACGGGCTAGAAGTCCCAAGGTCAAAATGGAAAACACATCCTAAGGTAGTGACCGAGCTAAGATCCTGTGGGACTTCAAGATCCAGACTGACAAACTGGTGATGGCTAACCAACCAGACATCGTGTTGATCAACAAACAGCAGAAGAAGGCTGCAGTGATGGATGCGGCAATCCCAAGCGACAGCAACATCAAGAAGAAGGAACACGAGAAGCTTGAGAAATACCAAGGGCTGAAGGAGGAGCTAGATGTGGAAAGTAAGAGCAACAATGGTAATCTAGGAAACTGGTCCCAGCAGATACCAGGTACAACATCAGAGGTCTCTGTCCAGAAGTGTGCAGTCCTAGGACCAAAATACTGCACAGAACCCTCAAACTCTCTGGTAGAGAACCCGAGCTTAAGGATGACACATACCACCATACCTTTTATCCAAAGCGACTTACAATTGCTATACATGTCAGAGGTCACAGGCCTCTGGAGCAACTAGGGGTTAAGTGTCTTGCTCAGGGACACAATGGTCTCCCACACCAAAGGCAAGCATCTTATCTATGCGCCATCTCCACCCCTGGGATATACTGTATATACAGATAGATAGATAAGATGTGTAAATATATATGTGTGTATATATATCAAACACACAAATTAAAGGAAAAACAAACATCAAGTCTCATAGTATGGAGTCACGCCACCACAAAACTCCAGAACAGCTTCAGTGCTCTTTGCCAAGTCTGTGGCACTTTTATAGGAATCAACACCATTCCTCCACAAGATATTCTCTCAGTTATATTTACTACCGTTATTTAAGCAGGTAATCTCATTGAGATCAAGATCTCTTTTACAAGAGATAGCAGAGTACTGTAGATAGAAAGACATACAAACACAGCCAGGCATAACAAAAGGACATATAGTATCAGACAGTCACTTCATGAAATAGATTTAAAGATGAAAGTTTACATCATATATTTCAGTGTGATGGTGGTGGAGAGCATTGTCTTATATGTTGGTCCAAAATCTTCCGTAAGTGTAAAACTGGGTTGAGAAAGGCCGTAGCATTTTATTCATGTCATGTTCATACTCACCAGTTGAGCCCTGGTGCACTGAAGCATCTGCGTTTGATATGTTTCTCCACTATTTTTTAAGGTTTTTCCTTTTATTTGTCCACCGTCTGTGTATTCCAGGTCACAAGTTTATGTAATTCAGAAGCAGCAGTCATCTCACAGTGGGTGAGAGAAAATTACAGACTCATCTCCTTATTGGGAATTTCTGGGAGCATACTGTATCAGCACTGGGAAATAATGGGGTTTTATTCACTGGAATGCTTTCCTTCAGTATTTAAAAATCCTCAGTACTCTTACCTGCAGGCAGGTAAGAGTACTTATTAATTATGTTCATGTTTAAGTCTCTCACCTTTGTTCTTTCTCTCCCTGCAGGAAATTTAAGTTTGAGGAGAAGAAAATCAGCATGAAATCAACAAGTAAGAATTTTCAATGCTGTTAATGGAGAAATATGCTTAAGTTGACTAAACAGCACCTAAACTCACATGTACTTTTAACCTTAAGACTAAGAGTACATTTATAGATAGCTGACAAAATTTAGACCATATTAGTCACCATTTTCCTTTTGCCACAGTTGTCGTCATGCAGAGTTTTACCACCTTATCGTATATACAGTAAAATATAATGTTAGACTTAGTACTGCCTGGCCCAGGTGCTTGCATGCTGACTCATCAGTAATTAAATGCTGACTTGCATTGTAATTAAACATTCATCAAAAGTTCAATTAACAAGACTAGGTTGAAACCTAGTATAAAGCTGGACTGTGTATGGTCAATTTGCTCCTAAGGATGTTAATTTTATAAGAGCAGTGGAGAAACTCCAACACTTGACTAACCAATTGTGGAACTTCATCACTTGCCGGTTGAGACAAAAATGAGACTTACTACTCATAACACCATTGTCTTAAAACTGAATAATAATTAATATGGACCCCATAAAAACAGTCTGAGTTGATAGTTATAGAGGCTGACATATATTGGCAGGCTGATACCGGTGGAGGCAGATGGCCGCCCACCCTGAGTCATGGTTCTGCTCGAGGTTTCTGCCTCTTAAAAGGAAGTTTTCCTTGCCTCTGTTGCCAAATGCTTGAAAATGGTGGGGTTGTTGGGTCTCTGTAAATAATATTACAAAGAGTATGGTCTAATGACTTAAAACTCGCAATCACTGTCACTGATAACTGTTGTTGTGAGTTGGCGCTATATAAATAAAATTGAATAGAATTTAATTAATATTGTCTGATATTGACCTGTCACAGGTGCATTGACATATATCCTGAAAGATAAGCAAATAGAAAATACAGTACAGAAATGTATTAAAGGGGACCTTTTATGCCTTTCCTTATTTTCTGTCATATTACACTGTCAGATGTTCATATTAAATGTACGTAAGTAAGTTTAAAATAATGATGTGAAAGTAATCTCTGTGAGCAAGAAGCTCAGGCTTCAGAGTGCTCTAAATACTAAATGTCCATCTTTTTTTCTACTTTGCCTTATCCAGCTTGTGATCTGCGCTAGGCACAGCACACCCACAAAGTACAGGGACACGCCCATCCACCTGCTCAGTCTGTCTCAGGGCAGTAATGATGTGTCAGTTGCAAACTTTTAGGGAATGATGGAGCCAAGCTAAATTGGCTTGTTTCAGACAGGATGAACTACGAGGGCTGTAGAAGAACCATTCAATTCAATTCAAATCAATTTTATTTATATAGCGCCAAATCACAACAACAGTTATCTCACAGCGCTTTTCATAAAAGAGCAGGTCTAGACCGTACTCTGTGATGATATTTACAGAAGCCCAACAGTTCCCACCAAGAGCAAGCACTAGGCGACAGAGGCAAGGAAAAACTTCCTTTTAAGAGGCAGAAACCTCGAGCAGAACCATGGCTCAGGGTGGGCGGCCATCTGCCTCGACCGGTGTTGAAATGTATATTGTAATAGACTGATAGTTCTATGTAAAATCAGACGTTGAGCACCCCCATATCGCCAAATGGCATGATCCTTGTTTTACTGTGAAGCTTCAACTGTGAGATTGACAGCCAAATCAGGCTCCGCCCATTGAAGCATTGAATCTTCAACTATTGGGGGTCAGCCCTAGTTATGACCTTTGTATCGCGGGTATTAAAGAGTTTTGATAACCACAAAATTGACAAGAAATATCAGGTTCATGTTTTCTTTAAAAAGAGGAAAACAGACTACACACTACATACAGTCCCCTCCAAAAGAATGGTAAGGCAAATCCCTTTGTTTTTGTTGTTCACTGATGGTATTCACATCTAGATGTCTTAAACAACTCAGGACGTACCACCCTTTGTTTGAACCCACCCATTTTTCAAGTGAGCAAAAGTATTGGAACATGTGACTGACAGATGTTTCTTGTTGCCCAGGTGTTGCCTTTTAGGTTGATTGTAAATGCTCCATATTTGTATAGTGCCTTTCTAGTCTTTTCGACCACTCAAAGCGCTTTTACACTACATCCACCACACACACACATTTATACACTGTATTATACAAGTGCTCAAACGGAAATTCACACTTATTCATACACATACACAATTCGGGGTTCAGTATCTTGCCCAAGGACACTTTGACATGCAACTAGGGGGAGCCAGGGATTGAACCGCCGACCTTCTGATTAACGGCCAACCCGCTCTATCTCCTAAGCCGCAGCCGCCCCCGATTGTCCAAACATTAAATAGCTCTGCATGACTAGTCTACGTTTTCATCCTTGGTTCAAACCTGTAAAGACTGCATTTCCTGTTAAAGAGGATAAACCAACATGAAGACCAGAGAGCTGTCTATGGGAGAAAAGCAAGCCACTGTCAAGCTGAGAAAAGAAGGAAAATCGAGCAGAGCCATTGGACAAACATTGGGCATAGCAAGCACAACAATTTGGAATGTCCTGAAAAAGAAAGAAACTACTGGTGTACTGAGCAACAGACGTCCAACAGGTCGGCCAAGGAAAACAACAGTAGCTGATGACAGAAATATGGTGAGAGCTGTGAAGAAAACCCCCAAAACATCAGGAAGTGACATCAGCAACGACCTCCACAGTGCAGGGTGAAGGTATCACAATCCACTGTTGGAAGAAGACTCAGAGAGCAGAAACATAGAGGCCACTCCACAGTGATCCGAAGCAAACAAGCTCATCTGTGAAGCATGCTGGAGGTCATGTCATGGCTGCTTCTGGAACAGGCTCATTAATATTTATTGATGATGGAACTGATGATGGTCGCAGCAGAATGAATTCAGAAGTGGACAGAAACATTTTGTCTGCCAGTTTACAGAGAAATGCATTGAAACTAATCGAGAGGAAGTTTATCCTGCAGCAGGACAATGAGCCAAAGCACACTGGCAACAAAACAAAGGACTTCATCAGAGGAAAAAGTGGAAGGTTTTAGACTGGCCAAGTCAATCAGCTGACCTGAACCCAACAGAGCTGCATGTCACCTCCTTAAGAGGAGACTGAGGGGAGAAACACCCCGAAACAAACAAGAAGTGAAAGAAGCTGCGGTAAAAGCCTGGAATAGCATCACAAATGAAGAATGCAACAGTTTGGTGATGGCGATGGGTCGCAGGCTTGAGGCAGTTATTGCAAGCAAAGGTTAGGCCACCAAATATTACATGTTATTTACTTTAAGATTATTTGTTCCATTACTTTTGCTCACCTAAGAAAGTTGTTCAACACATCTAGATGTGAATACCAGGAAATGAAAGCTGAAATTCTGACCTCTTGTCTCATACTCATCTTTTGATCTTAAACCCAAATGTCTTCAGTGAACAACAAAAACAAAGGAATTTGCCTTACCGTTCCAGTACTGTTGGAGGGGACTGTATATTAAAAGTGCAGGGTAATCCTTTAAGGATCTGTACTCTCCAAATAATTCCCAAAAAGTCTCCTGGAAGGAACTCTGCTCTTTGGTACTAATTACAGGGAAACTACAAAGCTCTGAGAAAGTTTGTGATTAGTTAGCAGTGCTGAGTTATTCACTTCCAGAGGAATGTCCTTTAAACTCAACTTTAGTCTAAGTCTCCATTTATGTTGAATGTCTATAAAGCACAAAGTGTCAATCTCACAGCTGATCAACTATAAAACTATTCCTGATGGTAATTATTTGTGCAGCTCTAATATCCATCCTTTTTTTCTCTTTTAGGTGTTCCATATACAAACATAGATGACCAAAGAGATAAAGTGTCTACTATGTGATGAGAAACTGTTTAACCTGTGTAGTGTTTACCTGAATGTAATAAAGTCCGGCTGTATGAGGTGAACATGCACAATCTGTTCTGAAGCTTATTCAGCAGGGATCCAAAGAAAACTAGAACATAAATAAAACCAAGAAATGAAGGAATGAGTTTTAGTCTTGTGAGAGTTCTGAATATTATATTATGTTCATTATCCTATGTTTTGCTTTAACTTGTGCTTTTGAAGATATCATTTTAGGCAGATGTGTTCATTTAATAAATAATAAAGTGCATCTGTGTATGTATTGGAATGAAAAAAACACAATGTGTGTTTGTCTTACAACACACATTACACACAGTAGATAAAACTCAATGTAAGGCCACACTTGTCATGAAACAGGATGAATTCCCATGAGATTTCATCTAGGTAAACCAGCAGGTCAAAATTTATGTCCGTCAGATACTTTATCACCAAATATTTAAAAGGAAGAGTCTGGAGGGAAAGTTCTAATATGAAAGACAAACAGACAAACATCTGAGGTCGTCAGTATGCAACTTTTCTGCAACCTCTTGCCTTCTCTTTAGTTTCTTTGTACTGTAAGAAGTGAAGGCGTCCATAAGATGACTGGTCTTGGAAAAATCTGATAAGTTGACAGCTAAAGGGAAAACAAATCAAGAGCTTTTACTTTGAAGAGTTCTGATGGAAATTCAAAAGTCTCTGGCCTACTTGAAAACACCTCTGAAAAAGCCATCAGCAGCCTAAACGTGTGATTGGATTCCCCTGAATTTTCTTAGGGAAATGAAAATAAGTGACTATAGGTTTATGAATGCGGATCAAACGCCGGAACACACACACTACAGCACATGCTTTATGTGAGCCTGTGCAAAAGTGTCCTTTTATTTAATTTGTTTAACAAGGGAGAAAAAAGAATTCCATAATAAGATGGAATTGATCTCTCAAGTCCCGCACTGCACCAACTGAGCTAAACGAGGATATGATTTCATATGGTTTGTTCTGGTCCGCCATATAACGGCTTGGAAAAATTTGGCCTGATGCAAGAATTATTTGCAGACAGGGAGGCTATAAGATGGCTAAAGTGCAGGTAATCTGAATGGACAGTAATATGTACGGATCAATGTATTGTGTTTGTAAGATCGATGAATCGTGAATCTTTCATGATCTTCTCCTATTTTTTTCCAATAAATTTTTTTCAAAACACTGTGGACTTGTTTTCACAGGAGCAAATGTATACAACTGAAAATTTAGATTTTTTTTTACCTAGCAATACTTTATTTGTCAACAAAGTAGGCAGAAAACAGGAGATCCAAAACACTGGAAGATTCAACAATAATCTTCCTCACACACTGAATATGACAAACATTTAAGCCATTGGAAATTTATTACCAAGGAATGACATTACAAGGCACATTCAGATTGTCTTACCTGTGTTAAAGCAGATAGTTCAATACATTCTGCTATTTGAATTCCAGTGTAAATAAAATTCCCCAAATTTACCCACATTTCAAAGCTTCAATTTCAAGACTTTGATGATGAACATGTCATCGTACATATATGAGATGTCAGTGGTCTGTGATGTGTATTTGCTTAAACACTGGGATGGTACAAACATCCTGTATTTCAACAACTGGCCATCGTTTAATTGAAGTGGTCATATTATGCTCATTTTCAGGTTCATAATTTTATTTAGGGGTTGTACCAGAACAGGTATACATGATTTCATGTTCATAAAACACCATATTTATTGTCACACTGCACGTTGCTGTAGCACCTCTTTTCACCCTGCATGTTATACGCTCCGTTTTTGCTAAGGAGTAATGCATCTCAATTCTTCAAGATCTTTGTTGGGAGTTGCACATGCGCAGTTACTGGGTAAGGACTACTAGCCAATCAGAAGCAGAGTAGGGCGTGTCCTGAAAAGCCTGAAAACAGCTTTGGCTAAGCTGTACATATATAACCAGCTTAGCAACATGGACTGGAGCAAAAGTTTCAGAGTGGTGACTTATTAATTTGTAACAAATGAATCTTTCATCTATAAAGTTTCAACTGAGCTCTGTCTCTACTTCACGGTAACAACTTAATGTCCATTGACTGCATGGAGGGTAGCTAGTGTTTGGAAGGGAGAGGAGAGGCAGCAGGTGGACATCTTGTCACCGTGTGCTGAAGCTCTGTGTTTTTTCCACCGGTGTTTTTGAGGGAGTGTCTGACTAGCCGCTAGGCGAGCATAATGAAACAAGAACGTTACAACATTACAAGTACGTCACATAATGCGACATAACATGGTAATGGGAAAAAAGGCTGGACTACAAACAAGCTGTTTTCAGGCAGTTCAGAACAGTGTTTTCTGTGGGACTTTGGGCTTTTTCACTTTGCAAACCTATTTACATGATATATTTACATTTATTTATTTAGCTGACGCTTTTATCCAAAGCGACTTACAATTTCTATACATGTCAGAGGTTGCACGCCTCTGGAGAAACTAGGGGTTAAGTGTCTTGCTCAGGGACCCAATGGTGGATGGGTCACAGCGGGAAATTTAACCCGGGTCTCTCACACCAAAGGCATGTGTCTTATATATTGCGCCAAAAAAGCTATGTAAGAAAATAAAGGACAATGAAAAAGCCTAAAAGCATTATATGACCTCTTTAACTTCTGTTCATGGTTCCAATGACTTAATTGACTCCTTGACCTTTTGTCTGGCACCACCGCTAGCTCAGAATTACCCCCAACAGACAACAAAGTCAGATTTACACGATATTTGCTGTGGACATTTATGCTTCCCAGAGGATGGAACCTTTCAATGTTTTTTTCATAAGATAGAAGATTGTGTTCTCCAGGGGATGAACTCCATGGCCTTTCCTCTGACACTATGTTTTATTCTTTTTTAAATAAGTAAGGCCTCAGGAATAATTACAGTAAATCATCAGTACGTTGGTCTTTCTGTCCAACACTGAGCTAATGCGGAGTGTAATGAACATTTCAGTTGGACTGGTGCTGCTAGCAGTAATTCTACTTTCTACATTAACTATTCAGATGGGTGAGTGCTTAATATCCATAAACAAGCTGCAGCAGAAAGCTTTAACTTCAAAATGTTGTAACTAATGTCATATAAGGCTAAACCTGTGGGTTTTAGACCACATTCTACATTCAATGGAATGTCAATCAGTGATAATACTGTATGGTAACATAACATAATACATCATATCAGTCTTTACAGACAATGTTTGTAATTTATAATGAAACCAGTTACCATAACCCAATGAAGCAGCCTCTCTGCTATAACATATACCAAGAGTTGCCTGATATATAAATATAAATACGTATCACAATGCTGGAAGCAGTTTTTAGTTTTTCAGTTATTACCAACCACAGATAAATTTTAGCTCAGTTATCAACATTCTTGTTTTAACAGTCCCATAGTTTCCTAGCAATTTTCTAGAAAGGCCCTAATGTGTAACTGCAAATTCAATCAATTGGTTACTAATTATTCGGCTAATAGAGACAGTGTTTATAGGTTACACTTCCAATTACTTAACTCCAATTAACTGCTGGTAAGACTGTTTTCAGAGTATTTTAGTCAGTCTCAACAGGTCAGGTAAAATGAAAAAAATGTAAACTTGTCATCTGGCAAACATTCAACAGACATGAAGAAAAAAGTTCCCAATAATAAACATTTACCTGGGTTTAAATAGATTTCTATCAATATTTTCAAGTCATTAAGATTTTAACACTTCTCTGGAATTGAACAACTAAACAAACTTAAATGAGCAGGGTTTCTATTTTCTCCATAATTCGGTTGACCTGCCTTTTACAGCTCCTGACCTCTGCTTGAGTAATTGATAATCTATGTATTTCATTGCACAGAAATATAAGAAAACTGAATTTCAACACAAAACTCTGGGTCCAAGCAACATCAGTCCAACAACATCTCATTTGAGGTGGACCCTGTTTCCACTGCAGATACATAACGTAATTTGCAGCTATTATTTATATGCTACACTGCTGGGGTTTGAATTATTGGACAATGAAACAAGACTACACTGTAAAATGTGGACAATACAGAACTGGAAAGTAACAACCCAACATAAAAAATAAATAGATTGGATTAAGACAGAGATTAATAAATGGATCCAATTTACATTCATTATTCATCATTTTTTTTAAATAACGTTTTTTCAGTGGAAAAGGGCTGCATCTTTCCTAGTAGGAAGTGGGTAATACTAAGGTTGACTAGACAAAAAAATATATATTTTAAATAGTGAATAATGAATGTTCCAGTATTACCCTCCTCCTACTATGAAAGATGCATCACTTGAAGTCTGAGTTGAGATGCAGCTCTCATCAAGTGTAGACCTGCAGGTTCGGGTAAGCTTACTGGACGGCATTGTCTGCAGTAGTTCACCTTCTCTTCCCCTCTCTCTGCCACGCTCTCAAACACAGAGAGCTCTCTAACTGCTACAGCCGCAGGATCAGTACCCAGGAGAGGAGAGGAGTCAGTCCTGACATTTGATCTAGGCCCTGCTATAATGTATAAAGCTGGAGGTTTTGGGGTCGAGTTTGGCTGGTGTATTAACGCTTATTTTTGCGGGGTGAGTGGTGCGGACTGGCTCTCATAACAGTGAAAGCGACCCATGAAAACGAGGAATTTAAGAAATTAAATTCATTTGACCTGTTATGGTCTAAATGCAAGTTTGGAGGGTTTTTTTCACCATAGCAACGATAACATTTTAATAAATTTGTCTAGTGTCACCTACAGTCACAAAATGGTCAACTGAGAATTTAAACACTGTTAGGAATCCGTTTTTATTTTATTTTTTATATATTTTTTAAATAGTGAATAATGAATGTTCCAGTATTACCCTCCTCCTACTATGAAAGATGCATCACTTGAAGTCTGAGTTGAGATGCAGCTCTCATCAAGTGTAAACCTAACAAACATAATATGTTTGTAGTTCAGTTTAAAATCACACTCAATTACATTATTTTTCCTGAAACCCTAAATCTATCAATATTTATATCTTATAAATTTATATTTATATATAAGTAGAAGTAGAGAACGCTTTCAGATAGTGATGATGCAACCTAAGCTGGCACGTGTTACAGAACATAAAAATGCCAGACCAGCATACTACTCGTCATTAATAGAGGAAAATAAGAACAACTTTTCTTTCTTCTTTTCACCACTGTAGCCAGGCTGAGCCAGGCTGACAAGAGAGTCACAGCTCTATTTAGCCATGTATTCCCATAGCTCTCAGTAGTAACGACATTAGCTTCTTTAATGATACAATTCTAACAATTAGAAACAAAATTCACCAAGACCTGCCCTCAACTGGCACCGACTTATCTCTAAACTCAGGAACCTTAGAAACAGCTGTAAAACCAGATACATGTTTAGACTGTTTTGCTTCCCTCGATCTTTACCAACTAACTTCAATAATTCCTTCATCTAAACAATCAGCCTGCCTCTTAGACCCCATCCCGACTAGGTTGCTTGAAGAAGTTTTACCCTTAGTCAGCACTTCTCTACTAGATATGATCAATCTATCTTTATCAACAGGCTATGTACCACAGTACTTTAAAGTAGCTGTAATAAAACCTCTTCTGAAAAAGCCCAAACTTGATCCAGGGGTTTTTAGAAAACTACAGACCTATATCTAAACTTTGACCTTGACCTTTAACCTTTAACCCTTGAGAAAGCAATGGCCAAACAGTTGTGTGACTTTCAACATAGCAACAGTTTGAGGATTTTCAGTCAGGATTTAAAGTTCATCATAGCACAGAGACAGCACTGGTGAAAATTACTAACGACCTCATAATTGCATCAGACAAAGGACTTGTTCCCGTTTTATTAGATCTTAGCGCTGCATTTGATACCATTGACCATCAAATCCTATTATAGAGACTGGAACATTCAATTGGCATTAAAGGAACCGCTCTAAACTGGTTTAAGTCCTATTTTTCAGATCGATTTCAGTTTGTACATGTTAACGATGAGTCCTCCATGCATGCCAAAGTTAGTCATGGAGTTCCACAAGGATCTGTGCTGGGACCAATCCTCTTCACTTTATATATGCTTCCTTTAGGCAATATTATCAGGAAACACTCCTTAAACTTTCATTTTTATGCAGATGATACTCAATTAAATCTATCGATCAAGCCAGATGAAACTAATCAATTAACAAAATGAACAAAAATGTGCCTTCAGGATGATAAAACCTGTAATTTTCTAATGTTAAACTAATAAAACTGAAGTCATAGTACTGGGGTCCCAGCACCTCCGTGACGCATTATCTAAAGATATAGTTACTCTGGATGGCATCGCCCTGGCCTCCAGCACCACTGTGAGGAATCTTGGAGTTATCTTTGATCAGGACATGTCATGTAAGTCTCACATTAAGCAAATTTCAAGGACCGCCTTTTTTCACCTACGTAATATTGCAAAAATCAGGAACATCCTGTCTAAAAATGATGCAGAAAAACTAGTCCATGCATTTGTTACTTTTAGGCTGGATTACTGCAATTCAATCAGTCTGAAAAGTCCATCAAGACTCTTCAGCTGATTCAGAATGCTGCAGCACGTGTTCTGACAGGAACCAGGAAAAGAGATCACATTTCTCCTGTTTTAGCTTCTCTGCATTGGCTTCCAGTAAAATCCAGAATAGAATTTAAAATCATTCTTCTCACATACAAAGCTCTTAATGGTCAGGCACCATCTTATCTTAAAGAGCTCATAGTACCTTACTACCCCACCAGAGCACTGCGCTCCCAGAATGCAGGGTTACTTGTGGTTCCTAGAGTCTCCAAAAGTAGACTAGGAGCCAGAGGGTTCAGCTATCAAGCTCCTCTCCTGTGGAACCAGGTTCCAGTTTGGGTTCAGGAGGCAGACACCATCTCCACATTTAAGAGTAGGCTTAAGACTTTCCTCTTTGATAAAGCTTATAGTTAGGGCTGGCTCAGGTGAGTCCTGAACCATCCCTTAGTTATGCTGCTATAGGCCTAGACTGCCGGGGGATTTCATGATGCACTGAGCTCCTCTCTCCTCTACTTTCTCTCCCTCTGTATGCAACCTCATCCCATTAATGCATGTTACCAAATTCCTCCCTCCCTCTTTATGGTTCACTTTCTCTCGCTCTCTCTCTCTCTCACCCACCCCCAACCAGTCGAGGCATTCTGGCCGCCCATCCTGAACCATGGCTTTAATCTTTAACACTTGAGAAAACTAAAGTCAAATTTTATGCTTTTAAGACCTTATAAGACCTCAACAAATATAAATTTAAGGCACAGGTCTCGTTGAAACAGAAAGGGTCCAAATAGTGTAGAAGGTGGAAGTAATAAGAAAGCAATAAAAATAACCATTGAGTAAAATTAAATGAAGGCTTGAAGGAAATGTGAAAAAAAATGGAATTAATGGGATGAGATGGATGATGTTGATTTGAAGGAGGGGTATCTCTTCAGAAATGAAAACCAGTGAAATTAAGAACTTTTGTGACTCCACAAGGGCTTTTCTTTTCTTTTATCATCTCTACTATGCAGCATCATTCTATCCCTTCCTCTCTCCTCATCAGCACAACTCCTCCTCTCTAGCCAATCATTTTTGTTTCCATTCTTCTCTGTTCCTCGTCCTGTTGACTGCAGCACATTGTTTCTCTATATGTCTCCAGTAGATCCTTTCACTCCAGGTTATCTGACAGGAGAAACAGGGCAAAGATTTGATTAACATGTTGTAGTACTAGTTCTTTTTTTGTGTACAAATGGTTGTTGCTCTGATATGGAATAAATATAGTCCCAAATGTATTGTAGCTGTGTGAAAAAGTTTTGTACTCGTGAAAATGTTTTGAACTTGTGAAAATGTTTTGTAGCTGTGTGAAAAAGTTTTGTAGCTGTGTGAAAAAGTTTTGTACTTGTGAAAATGTTTTGTAGCTGTGTGGGAAAGTTTTGTACTCGTGAAAATGTTTTGTAGCTGTGTGGGAAAGTTTTGTACTCGTGAAAATGTTTTGTAGCTGTGTGAAAAAGTTTTGTACTCGTGAAAATGTTTTGTAGCTGTGTGGGAAAGTTTTGTACTCGTGAAAATGCTTTGTACCTGTGTGGAAAATGTTTGAATGTGTATCTGAATATCAGAAAAATCCAAAGTTTACAGGTACGGATCGATTCTACAGTTACAAAACAAATCTACATTTACAAATACTTTTGTCCCACATTTGACATGTTCTACTGGATAGCCAATGGGAGTGCTCGGGTTAACATGTCATTTGACTATCCAATCAGGAATCTCAGTTCACCATCCAATCACAGATCCAGGAAGGCAGGCCTTTCTTGCCGACAGGAAGTGCCCCGTGAAGTAACTTTTACTCACGGTCAAACCAGTGAACTGTACCTGTAAACTTTGGATTTTCACAAAACATTTTCACGAGTACAAAACTTTTTCACACAGCTACAATACATCTGGGACTATATTTATTCCATACTCCACCACTTTCAGTTATAGGCATGAAACACAGTTTGCTGTCCAAGAGTCAAAATCAATGAGTGTTGCTAAAATATAGCGACATAAGCCCAAACATGGTAAGTGCACTTTTCTTATCTGTCTTTGAAGGGAAACAGAGGCCAGATGTGTCTTGGTTGGCTTTTAAACAAAGGACTAAACGAATCACATTTCACACACAGTTCAGATTCACATTCAGCACTATGAATATTCTCCACAAGGGGGAACCGTTTGTTGGCTGTCATGCAAATCTGACTCATACCAACCTGCAAACCAGGGCTGATTATCTTTGGAAATTTTTAAATACAAGAGGCAATAGGAAAGCTTAGTTTACATACCGTTCTCAATACAGTCCTTGATAAACAGTTCTCAAATGCAATCCTAGACAAATTAATTTGCAGAGTTTTTGTCAACTTTAGTCCTTAAAAACAGACAAAGTTATTATTGTAGGGGATTTTAATATTCATGTGGACGAATGACAGCTTCAGTATTGCATTTATCTCTCTGTTAGATTCCATTGGCTTCTCTCAGAGTCGACTCACTGTTTTAATCACACCCTTGACCTTGTTTTGGTATATGGTATTTTAATTGAACATTTAATAGTGTTCCCACAGAATCCCTCTTTATCTGACCACTGTTTGATAACTTGAGTTTGTATTGCTGAACTACATGCCATTGGGCAAAAATTTCTATACAAGATGTCTGTCTGATAGTGCCATAGCTAAATTTAAGGATGCGATTCCATCAGCTCTAAATACATTATCTAGTCACAAAGTAACGGAGGACTCCTATGCTAATTTCAGTCCCTCCCAAATCGATCATCTTGTTGATAGTGCTGCAGGCTCGCTGCGAATGACACTCGACTCTGTAGCCCCCTCTAAAAAAGAAAATACTAAAACAAAGACGGTTAGTTCCATGGTATAATACTGAAACTCGCAAATTAAAGCAAATATCGCGGAAACTTGAGAGGAATTGGCGTTCCACCAAAGTGGAAAATTCTCGTTTAATCTGGCAAGATAGTCTTAAAACTTCGTCCTCCGTAATGCCAGAGCAGTGTACTACTCGTCATTAATAAAGGAAAATAGGAACAACCTCAGGTTTCTTTTCAGCACTGTAGCCAGGCTGACAGAGAGTCACAGCTCTATTGAGCAAAGTACTCCCATAGCTCTCAGTAGTTACAACTTCATGAGCTTCTTTAATGATAAAATTCTAACTATTAGAAACAAAATTCACCAAGACCTGCCCTCAACTGGCACCGACTTTTCTAAACTCAGGAACCTTAGAAACAGCTGTAAAACCAGATACATGTTTAGACTGTTTTGCCTCCCTCAATCTTTACCAACTAACTTCAATAATTTCTTCATCTAAACCATCAACCTGCCTCTTAGACCCCATCCCGACTAGGCTGCTTAAAGAAGTTTTACCCTTAGTCAGCACTTCTATACTAGATATGATCAATCTATCTTTATCAACAGGCTATGTACCACAGTACTTTAAAGTAGCTGTAATTAAACCTCTTCTGAAAAAGCCCAAACTTAATCCGGATGTTTTAGCCAACTATAGACCTATATCTAACCTTCCATTTCTCTCTAAGGTTCTGGAGAAAGCAGTTGCTAAACAGCTGTGTGACTTTCTACAGAGCAATAGTTTATTTGAGGATTTTCAGTCAGGATTTAGAGCTCATCATAGCACAGAGACAGCACTGGTAAAAATTACTAACGACCTCATAATTGCATCAGACAAAGGACTTGTCTCTGTACTGGTTTTATTAGATCTTAGTGCTGCATTTGATACCATTGACCATCAGATCCTATTGCAGAGACTGGAACATTTCATTGGCATTAAAGCGACCGCTCTAAGCTGGTTTAAGTCCTATTTATCAGATCGATTTCAGTTTGTACATGTTAACAATCAAGGATCTGTCCTCAGACCAATCCTCTTCACTTTATATATGCTCCCCTTAGGCAATATTATCAGGAAATATTCCATAAGCTTTCATTGTTATGCAGATGATACTCAGTTATATCTATCGATCAAGCCAGATGAAACTCATCAGTTAGCTAAACTTCAAATGTGCCTTCAGGATGTTAAAACCTGTGGACCCAGGTTCCAGTTTGGGTTCAGGAGGCAGACACCATCTCCACATTTAAGAGTAGGCTTAAGACTTTCCTCTTTGATAAAGCTTATAGTTAGGGCTGGCTCAGCTGTTATAGGTCTAGACTGCCAGGGGATTGCCCATGATGCACTGAGCTCCTCTCTCCTCTACTTTCTCTCCCTCTGTATGCAACCTCATCCCATTAATGCATGTTACTAACACAACTTCTCCCCTTTCTGGTAGTCTTGTACTTTCTCGTCCCTCTCCTCTCTCCTCCTATCACTTCCTGCAGGTTTTCTGGCTCTGGAGCTGTGGAGTCTGGATCTGTGGTTGCGGGTCACCTGCTGCCCCCGTGTTCCTGCTCGACACCCTCTGCTACAACAACTATTGTTACTAGTCCTATTGTTATTATTGTTATTATAATCATTAACATTACAATTTTTATCATTAATACTACTATAAATATTTATACCATTTTTCATTTAGTCTATAGCAACATCTCCTTTACTGTCTGTACCTCTGTGTGTATATTGTGTAGGCTGCCTCCCTCCCCTCTCTCTCTCCTTCCATCACTCTCTCTTGCTCTCTGTTCCCCTCTCTCTCTCTCTCGCCCTCTCTCTCTCCTTCACCCCAACCGGTCGAGGCAGATGGCCGCCCACCCTAAGCCATGGTTCTGCTCGAGGTTTCTGCCTCTTAAAAGGAAGTTTTTCCTTGCCTCTGTCGCCTAGTGCTGCTCTTGGTGGGAACTGTTGGGCTTCTGTAAATAACATCATAGAGTACGGTCTAGACCTGCTCTTTTATGAAAAGCGCTGTGAGATAACTGTTGTTGTGATTTGGCGCTATATAAATAAAATTGAATTGAATTGAATTGAAATGCATAATTTAAAACAGTAGACCCGAAATGGTTAGTTGATTAATTGATTTTGAAAGTCTGAATTGTTTTATGGCCAGAAACTTAATCCATAAATATTTTGATAATTAAAGAACAAACTAACTGTTGGTTAACCATGTGCCCCCTATAGTGTTGGAAATTATGGTTTGATAGTATTATGGTATTATTCTTGACTGCTTGTCTGCTCAAAATTTTACCTTTTTTTTAAACAAGTCTCTGAGTGCCTCAGTGTTAAACTGAAGAATTTTTCTTTTGACTTTTTGATATATTTTGTGCCACGAAGCCTCATGATTTTTATAGCACACTATTTCCTGTTTAAACTGAATTATTTAAGCCATACTGACAATGTTAGTGTAGGCAGATATATTTTATCCCACAAGCCACAACATCACAGATTTGACAGAAGCCTGCTGTGTTGCACAGCTGTATGGTAGTGAACACACCTGGGTGTTTACTACTGTAATAAGACTTCTATGGGTTCCACCACCCTGGGTTCCTGTAGAGTCAAAAAAATCCAGAAAGGGTCTTCCTATCTTCACAAAGGTTTGAGAGGACTCTGAGTGTGTATTTATTTATTTCTAGATTTAGAAAACAACATCTCTGACCCAATGAAAAAAAAGGACGGGGGAGCGTTCCGTTTTAAGGATCACATGTGTGTAGTGACAGCTAATACACAAAATTGGTAAAAGAGCATTCCGTGATGTTAAACCAAATATGCACAGACTGGGTCAGGATCAAACTGGATTTCAAACATCTCACTAAAACCTTTAAAAGTACTTGTCCAGAACATGTGCATTACATCCAGGGCATAATGGCTCAGTGTTCATATAAATCTTTACCAATCTCTAATCTTTCCCCCTACCATTATTTTGGAGAAGAACGACCCCCCACCCCCGAAAGAAAATATTGTACATTTTAAAGTTAAATGCATTAATTTAGGAAGGAATCTATGAAGAACTTTGCACTCTTGTAAACCATGTTGTGCTCTGGTAAACTATTTAATCATAAACCCATGGTATAGCTATAAATGTGATGTGATGAAACAGCAACAAAAGTCAACCAATTTATCTAATGTTTTTCCAGCAACCCTAAATCAAAGAATAGAAAATAGAATTAATAATTATATAATAGTAATTTCCCTAACATTTTATTGTTGTTGTTTTTTTTACTTTTAATGGACACATGTATATTTGTTCCATACTTTCTGTGAACATATCCAATTAATCTTATTTCCATACCGTATACACTTTATTTTGAAAACTAGACGTTGTCATGTTTATCCTCACACTAAATTCATCAAGTCAAAATAAAGTCAAAATAAATAGATAAATTATGTAAAATGAAGACTTCACAGCCTCTCTTCAGGTCAGACTCTCATACAGCAACACATGTCTTTGTAAAGTGAGAAAATAACAGGAAGGATAAAGTCGCTAACCTGCTAACCTAGTTTCAGTGGATTTACCATAAAGGCTTTAGTATGTGTGCACTCCAAATTTAGGTGTGGCTAACTTAATTGCCTTCTCACGAACGAGTGACAGAAACAGGCCGTTAATGTTACCGTAGTTACCTCAAAAGAAAAGTTGTTGTCTGGAGTTGGATGCCAAAGTGTGTCAGCATGCGAGCTTACCGCAGCACCCAGATAACACGTTAGAGGTTATCAAGCCACATGGCCCAATGTAAGCAGCTTGTCTGTCTATTCTGAAAATAAACATATTTCACTAAATATAAATGTAAAACCATATTATAAAAGTGTGTGTTAAAAGAAATGGATTTGTTCTAGTAAAAACAAATCACCAATTAACATAGGCCAACATTGTTTGTATAAAATAGTGTGTGTTATATGTGTTTAACAGAAAGTGTGAATATTATATAGGCCTAAGTCTGCAAAAGTAAAGTTCCTTTCATTGTCTGTATTTGTTTGTCTGTATGGTGGACTTAAAGTAGTGGATAGTATAAGACCCAGCAAAACCAAAGAGAATGACTAGTTCACTTGTAAAAGCAATTTTATGAAGTTAGAACAGATAACTTAGCAGAGGATGCCTGACATCTAAAATAATTGGAACCATTTAAAAACTCTTATGTAACTCTATTAGCTGTAAAGTAATTACTTTGAGGTAGCCTGGGCTTTTATTTGAGATGTGGTGGGTTAATATGACTTATATTTCAGTGTTACAATTGCCCCCACACACTGCAACTTCTTGCATTTAATTAAATATTTTACTCTTGTTCTTATACGTGAAAATATATCAATTGTATTATTAATTAGTGCACATATACAGTATATCTTGTATCAAAAGATGACTAGTGTAGTATCTCAAGTAGTTTGTGAGTTATTAAGGAAAATGTAAAATATGTTACAATTGCCCCCGGTCTCCCCAACTTTTAATGCATCATACATTTACTCTTACTTGAATAGATTTTTAGAGAAAAATCATTACTTTTTCTCCGTTACATTTGGATACATTCATCATGTAACTTCTATTTATTTATTATTTTATGCATTCATGATCTTTGAGGTGGGTGGGTTGGAAGCTAGTCCCAAGTCTGCTTGTGCTTTGTTATCACGCATTAACATGACTGTTCAGAGCAGAACAATGGCTGAAGTGGCATTTAAATGTTGCTAGCAGATCACTATTTTGATAACACATTTTGTGCATGGTGCAGACAACCCGGTCCCACCCCAGGGCATCCATACTAACGCTTTGTCAGGCTTTCTCAAACCGACGCTTTGTCAGGCTTTCTCAAACCGACGCTTTGTCAGGCTTTCTCAAACCGACGCTTTGTCAGGCTTTCTCAAACCGACGCTTTGTCAGGCTTTCTCAAACCGACGCTTTGTCAGGCTTTCTCAAACCGACGCTTTGTCAGGCTTTCTCAAACCGACGCTTTGTCAGGCTTTCTCAAACCGACGCTTTGTCAGGCTTTCTCAAAGCGTTGATATTTGATGCGCTGGAAGAGGTGGTAAAGGGGGGGCTCCGGTTGTGAAATCAGTAAAGTAGTACTTATGTACTCTTACTCGAGTAGTTATTTTGATGACAACTTTTACTTCTACACGAGTACTTGTTTTTGCAGTAAAAGTACCAGTACTTTTACTTGAGTGCAGTTTTTGGCTACTCATCTGCATAATACCTATCCTTACATAACATGGTTTTACGTCAGGTTTCCCACAGTTTTAACCACTTTTACCTGCATTCCTCCATACTCTGACTAAACATTTAAACTGGTGCCAGAAACATGTATTCTGATCCTGAACTTACTAAACATAAAGAATTACCACTGCAGACCACTGTAATTGTACATTTAGATAGAAATTAAAGTGAATTAAAATAGGCCATTTCATAAATGCGAGGTCATTATACACTGTAAGCATATCAAAGCTGTTTTCTTACCTGCTGTGTGCCTCTTGGATTGGTTCCAGCACCAACACCTTACACTCTCTCTTGGCTATTTTGTCCATTGAAATGACGCTGGGGTCAGGGGGCAGGTAGAGGGCTCTGCCCGTTGGAGATCCAACAGGAGGGGTGATGGCCCCACACTCCACCACACTGCCTGACCTGGAGCAAGCAGAGAATTACAGATGGTTCAATCTGACACACCATTTGAAGAAGTCCAAAGAGTTATACATTTCCAAACGTACATCAGCTTTTGGGCTAAGGCAAGGGGAACCATTGGTGAGATGCTGATCAATAGGGCTGGCAGACAGATGTTAACTTCACTGCAGCCAGAAAGTACCGCCTCACTTAGAAGCCTGTCTAATGGTAAGAGGAAGGGCATTCCCACCCTTGAGGTGATGCATCGTGTTATTGAATTGAATCGCTGACCTGATAATCGTAATCGAATCGAATTGTGAGACCAGTGAGGATGCACACCCCTAGTGGACACCACAGAGAGTCCGCTGCTGCACTTCCGCATTTCCACGCTCCACCTTTTTCATTCTGTCAACATTATGTTATCAATTAACCTCTAGATAATTGATTGACATTTGTGAATCGATTCATAATCGTCCAAGTCCACATCACGATGCATCTAAAAATCAATTATTTTCCACACCCCTAATCAGCAGCCTCTATGAACAACGTTAATGGCAGAGGCAAAGAGGACGTTGACGGAGGAAGCTAAGAAGTGAAGAAGAGTGACCAAGCAGGGGGCGTGGGGGGGTTATCAAATCTTACACAATGTTGCTTTAACAGAAAGATATTGGAAACATTGTTCCACACTAATCCTCCATACCTGACCTGGTGAGACCTGGATAGATGCGGATATGAGAAGCTCTGGGATCGGTTTAGCCTGTGTACATCCAGCAGCTTTCTGACTGCAGGGCTGGATGACATAGATGAGGTCCTCAGTGGCGATCGGGGATCCACTGGAGGGGTGGACACCGAGGCTATAAACTGGAGCTTCAGTTTCATATGCTGGCTCAACTACAGTGTAGGATAGAGATGGAAAAGATGAGTATTACTGAATGTAGCAGTGTTCATTTTGTCATCAAAATCTATGACTAAAATATTTTTTCATAACATTGAATCACGTGAAACCAATTTGTGGTGAACTGGGTAATGGACTAATAACTAATAATGGACTAATAACTGTTTTTAATGCATCTGTGGAAACATGCATTATAACAGTGTAAAACATATTCAAGATATGTATGTACCACATTTATTATACCAAATGTCATCTGCCTCCCAAAATCATTTCAGCGAAGGAAAATATTACCTTTGATAAATTAGGTAAGTATGAAATGTTAAAATAACATTTATATTTAGACATTTTAGCATATTATTTAATTACAACAAACCACCACAACAAGATAAGCAAACTGCAGAAGAGTTGAAAGTTTTCATTTGTTTTTAGTCTTAAAAATGATCAAAGGACTGTAATTTCAACTGTTCTGCAGTTCATATCAGTTGATTCTACAGCTGGATATTAGTAAAAAAAGAAATGGTAACCTTATTTATGTCTACAATTTGTTGAAAACATCAAAGTTGTTGTGAGTGCTAATTATTTTACTTTAGATTATCAGCTATGCAAAAACGGAAAGAGAAAGAAAGATAGATTTAGGTGATATGAGATGGACCACAAAAGAAGAAATAACTCAGCTTGGATTCATTACAGCCATTCAATAAAGGAACACTTGTAGTGCTGTCAGTATACAGGCAAGCAGTGACATCCCCACACTCAGACAAATAATTTTCTTTGGTACCTCAAAAAGTCCAATCCTTAGGATCTGGAAGGCCACAGTGAATGAGAGGGTGGAGCCCTTCCTACACTGTCCCAGGTGGTTGAGGGAAGACTGGCACACCACTGCCCCTCTGGGGTCCTGCTTATCTCCACTTTGAGCTGAGGAACAAAAGAATGAATGGAGGTAGGGACCAGTTGTCAGGGGCAGAGGAGATAACAAGCACATGTAGGAGAAAACATGTTTAAGTAGATTAGGATCGAAAACTGGATCGCTCAATAGAGGTTTGCTTGAAGGCAGAATGAGTTGGATTTGTCAGTTGCGGTTTGCAAACAAAATTTAATGTTGCTTCCCCAATCTTCTAAACAGAAGGTCAGAGGTTCGATCCCCTGGCTCCTCCAGTATGCATGTTGACATGTCCTTGGCAAGATACCGAGGTAAATGGACTGTTTTCTGTTTGACAGTTGTCAAACCATATTCATACCTTCCTCTCATCCTCTTATTGACTGGGGGCTGCACATCCACTACTTAAAGGCTGACACCCAGAAACAGAAGGTAGTGTCTCTGTAGATACAGACAACAGCACACACTTCTAGTTGGCCATAAGTGATCATTGAGAGGGACTATTACAGCCTAAGCATGAAACATTTGAGGACCCTATTGAAATGCAAGGAATTCTTTGTTTGTTTCTAATTCTTTTTCCAAATTAATCACATTTTTGATGGCCTAAAGGTACATAACCCCTACAATATAAGTCCCATAAAATGATGTTTTTTATCTTGTGTGCACAAAAAAATTCAAATTAAAACATGGCTACAAGATTCCCACGTTTTACTTAACTTGTGGCCCCAAGATAAGTTTATATGAATAGAGCCCGCACAATGGAGCAGCTTTTCTTCCCAAAGTAGAGAGTGCACAGTGCCTGCTCCAGCTGCCACCTGCTTAAACCACTCCATGGGTATGGAAAGATTGAACGCAGCCGGTGATACCGCATTCATTATAACCACAAGTGACTTGAGACTTGACTTGGACTCTAGCTCAAAGACTTGTGAGCTTCTCTGTCTGTGACTAATGTTTGCATGTAATGTGCGACTTAGAAAGAGCAGTGAAAACGCCTTTCATTGTATATATTCTGGCATATAATTCAGCACCACGGACAGAGAGCGGAGGTTCATTCATTCATCATTAGATATTGGTAATTTATTTAAACTTCACCAAAAATAAAGAAATGTATTGAATTACATGCTCATTTTCAGTTATTGTTTTCTGAATAAATGATGGCTGGTAGCCTACTGAGCGAAAGCCAAGATCAGTTTCACCGGTGACATTATATCTAATGAATTCAACATTGGGCATCGCTATAACACAAATTGCAACCAATGATGATTAGAGATATCAAATGCTATGCACAACGAGAGGAGTCTGTTAATATATCAGAATCAATAGATGTACATTGCCTAGCCTACATCTGTCCTGCATACTAAATGGGCCTTAATATGCATTTAATGAAAAGGGACAGTATTTCTGCTGGCTTTTGAAAGGGTGATACAGGCTGCTTTCCAACACGGCCACCAGTGGCACAGATGTGCATTTACTGGATTGAGTTACATGTATGACAAGTAAATCAACATATGACATGACATGTATAGCCGCATGTCGTCATTCCACCGCTGGTTGTCGAGGTGGTGTCCAGCAAACGATGTGGGCTTTGTAGATCATTGGCAGACTTTCTGGGGAAGACCTGGTCTGATCCGGAGAGACGGCATCCATCCCACTTGGGAAGGAGCAGCTCTCATTTCTAGAAATCTGGCCAAGTTTATTAGTGGACCAAATAGAAATCTGGCCAAGTTTATTAGTGGACCAAATCCATGACAACCCAGAGTCGCAGTCTAACACACTTCTCTGCTCCTCCATTTCAGGAGTTACTTAGTGAAAATCCTATAGTGACGGTGTCTGCCCCCCCGACCATCGAAATTATTTAAATCAAAGGTAAACAGAAGAAGAGCTGTGCATAAAAACCAAAAATTAAAACCACAAGAGCAATAGTGCAAACTAATAAGAGAGTTAAATGTGGACTCTTAAACATCAGATCTCTCTCTTCTAAAGGTGTACTAGTAAATGAACTAATATCAGATTATGATATTGATTTATTTTGTCTTACTGAAACCTGGCTGGGTGATGGAGAATATGTTAGCCTAAATGAATCCACCCCTCCCAGTCATATTAATACTCACATTCCTCGAGGCACAGGCCGAGGAGGTGGAGTTGCAGCTATCTTCGACTCTAGCCTACTAATCAGCTCTAAACCTAAACCAAACTATAACTCATTTGAAAGCATTGTTCTTGGTCTTTCGCACCCAAGTTAGAAATCACTGCAACCAATTCTCTTCGTTATAGTGTACCGAGCACCTGGTCCGTACTCTGTATTCTTATCTGAATTTACAGAGTTTTTGTCAACTTTAGTCCTTAAAACAGACAAAGTTATTATTGTAGGGGACTTTGATGGCAGGGTGGTGATGGCGCAATCGATAAGACACATGTCTTTGGTGTTAGAGACCTGGGTTCAATTCCCCACTGTGACCCTGAGCAAGACACTTAAACCCTAGTTGCTCCAGAGACATGTGACCTCTGACGTGTATAGAAATTATAAGTCGCTTTGGATAAAAGCGTCACGTAAATGTAATTTTAATATTCACGTGAACGTTGAGAATGACAGCTTCAGTACTGCGTTTATCTCTCTTTTGATTCCATTGGCTTCTCTGTGTTCATGAACAGACTCACTGTTTTAACCACACCCTTGACCTTGTTCTGGTATATGGTATTGAAATTGAACATTTAATAGTGTTCCCACAGAATCCCTCTTTGTCTGACCACTGTTTGATAACTTGAGTTTGTATTGCTGAACTACACCCCATTGGGCAAAAATTTCTATACAAGATGTCTGTCTGATAGTGCTGTAGCTAAATTTAAGGATGCGATTCCATCAGCTCTAAATTCATTATCAAGTCACAAAGTAACGGAGGACTCCTATGCTAATTTCAGTCCCTCCCAAATCGATCATCTTGTTGATAGTGCTGCAGGCTCGCTGCGAATGACACTCGACTCTGTAGCCCCTCTAAAAAAGAAAATAATAAAACAAAGACGGTTAGCTCCATGGTATAATACAGAAACTCGCAAATTAAAGCAAATATCGCGGAAACTTGAGAGGAATTGGCATTCCACCAAAGTGGAAAATTCTCATTTAATTTGGCAAGATAGTCTTAAAACTTGGCTGTTTTAAGACTGACAAAGCTGTTCTTCATCTAAACCATCAATTTGCCTCTTAGACCCCCGACTAGGTTGCTTAAAGAAGTTTTGCCCTTAGTCAAAATTCTATACTAGATATGATCAATCTATCTTTATCAACAGGCCACAGTACTTTAAAGTAGCTGTAATTAAACCTCTTCTGAAAAAGCCCAAACTTGATCCGGATGTTTTAGCCAACTATAGACCTATATCTAACCTTCCATTTCTCTCTAAGGTTCTGGAGAAATCAGTTGCTAAACAGCTGTGTGACTTTCTACAGAGCAATAGTTTATTTGAGGATTTTCAGTCAGGATTTAGAGCTCATCAAAGCACAGAGACAGCACTGGTGAAAATTACTAACGACCTCCTTATTGCATCAGACAAAGGACTTGTCTCTGTACTGGTTTTATTAGATCTTAGTGCTGCATTTGATACCATTGACCATCAGATCCTATTGCAGAGACTGGAACATTTCATTGGCATTAAAGGAACCGCTCTAAGCTGGTTTAAGTCCTATTTATCAGATCGATTTCAGTTTGTACATGTTAACGATGAGTCCTCCATGCACGCCAAAGTTAGTCATGGAGTTCCATAAGGATCTGACCTCGGACCAATCCTTATATATGCTTCCTTTAGGCAATATTATCAGGAAATATTCCATAAGCTTTCATTGTTATGCAGATGATACTCAGTTATATCTATCGATCAAGCCAGATGAAACTCATCATTTAGCTAAACTTCAAATGTGCCTTCAGGATGTTAAAACCTGGATGACCTGTAATTTTCTAATGTTAAACTCAGATAAAACTGAAGTTATTGTTCTGGGGCCCAAGCACCTCCGTGATGCATTGTCTTCAAGATATAGTTTCCCTGGATGGCATCGCCCTGGCCTCCAGCACCACTGTGAGGAATCTTGGAGTTATCTTTGATCAGGACATGTCGTTTAAGTCTCACATTAAGCAAATTTCAAGGATCGCCTTTTTTCACCTACGTAATATTGCGAAAATCAGGAACATCCTGTCTAAAAATGATGCAGAAAAACTAGTCCATACATTTGTTACTTCTAGGCTGGATTACTGCAATTCCTTATTATCAGGCTGCTCGAAAAAGTCCGTTAAGACTCTTCAGCTGATCCAGAACCAACAGACAGGAACCAAGAAAACAGATCATATTTCTCCTGTCTTAGCTTCTCTGCATTGGCTTCCAGTAAAATCCAGAAATCATTCTTCTTACCTACAAAGCTCTTAATGGTCAGGCACCATCTTATCTTAAAGAGCTCATAGTACCTTACTACCCCACCAGAGCACTGCGCTCCCAGAATGCATTATTGGACATGATAAATACCGAGTGACATTTATACATTAACGGCATTTCAGACGATGGCATGTAATACTTATTTTGTCCACTTCGGGGAGCTCAGGTTACATGAGGATAGCTCTGATTGATCCTAAAACAATCTTCTTAAGAGCTGGGGAATTTAGTAATTTTTAACCTTAAATTCAAGCTGGAAAAGTGTAGGATGACATTTCTTTATCATATCCTTTCTAAAGGAAAGTGCTGAGAACAAGCATTGGTTACACATAAAATGAAGGAATGTCATTATAATAATAATAATAATAATAATCCTTATTTGTAGAGCACTTTTCAAAAACAAGTTACAAAGTGCTTTAACAAGTGTAAAGAATAATACAAAAAAAAGATAAGAGCATGAAAATTTAATATAAAATTAGTAAAATACAATAAAATAAAAGGGATAAAAAAGTCAAATAAGATCGGGAAAAGCTCTCCTATAAAAGTATGTTTTAAGAAGGGACTTAAAAGAGTTCACTGACTCAGCCGACCTGATTTCCTCGGGCAGGCTGTTCCAGAGCCTCGG